ATCGTGCATCTTATTTACTACTCAGAGCTGGCAGCGACCCCACTTCTCTGTGCTATGTGGTTTTGGTTTTGTTGTTGTTTGCGTGTCGTCGGTGTTGGTGGTTTGTGGTTTTGTTTGTGTTTGATGATTTGCCATTTGTATTATGAAACCAAGGCGTTTCATGTTGAATTTTCTAATTTGTTTACTCGCTTATCCCAATGTTAGGACCGAGCCTCAGAGCGATATCGGCCGCAACAGAGGAAAAAAAAAGCTTTTCTTGATATGTTCTCGATTCTATTTTGATTGAGAAATTTATATTATCTTTTCTACCCCAAGTACTTAAAGAGCAACGGAAGATCATGGTTTTGGAACCAGGTGGTGTTGCAATCCCAGCCATTGATGATGAAATGTGTGAAGACCCTCCAGATGAATCAGAAGAACCCGTTTCAGCAACTCCAATTCCAGATTTGATTCCAGTCTAAACTGCAGTTGCAATGCGCCTTCCATGAGCAGGCGGGGCTTCCTGCCCCCAGTCTTGGGCCCCTTGGTCCTTGTGCATGCAGTTGTGCCCACTGACATGATGGAAGTTGAAGAGTCTGGAGAACCTAGTGCTAAGCGAAAGAAGCTCTCACCCTTGCGTGTTGGTGATGAAACCCTTTTTCACATGGATTTGCAAGAGATTGATGAGAACATGCTTGACTTTTCATGTGAGTTTGCTGCAGTTGCTGAAAATCTTGACTTTGAGGAAACGTTGGAGAATGAGTTGACCGAAGATAGTCTGCGGCAGCCCTTTTCACAGTTCGAGCCTGAACTTTTTGCAGAAAGAATGCAAGTCAAGTCATTGATGATTTTGCAGGCGTGGTAGAAATTCAGAGATTGCTTGGCATGTCAGTGTCTTGCAAGCATGAAGACTATAAGGGGCAACTTGGAACTCAACTCAGTGCGAAATTTGTGAGAACCTGGAGGAAGAAGAATCGTTTGCAATGTGATTCAGAATGGCAGGTAATTCCAAGTGAGCCAGGCTGGCTGAGACGTTCACGTCTTGTGGCACGTGAATACAACTGGCTAGATGTGCGAGATGATGTTTACAGCCCATCCTCCAGCGCAGCAATCGCCAAATTGTTTCCTGCAATTTCAATGTCAAATAGCTTTTGTGAGAACAGTGTACTTGGCACACGTGACATTGGCCGTGCATTTCTGCAGGTGCCAGCATGCCTAGAGTGGTGCGCTTTGGAACAGTTGATTATGTCATCTTGCGTTGTTTGCTAGGTCAGCGTGATGCTTCAAAACCTTGGTACGAATTCTTTGTGGAGAAGCTTCAGAAGTTGTTTGGTGCCACCGTTTGCAAAGAACAGCCTTGCGCTTCGAAGGTAGAACGTAAAGCTGCAAGGGTCATGCATGTGGACGACATTCGCTTTCTTGGAGAGCAGTCTTGGATTTGCAATGTCTTTCTGCCTGGACCCGAGAAGGAATTCAGGTTGAGCAGCTCAGTGGCAGACCACGCGGAAGGTGGGAGTTTCGAATTCCTTAAGCGTTTCCATGTGGTTGAATCCAACTATGAGGGGTTGACTGTTTTCTCGGAGTCTAAGCATGTGCAGACAATGTGGGCGGTTTGCAAAAGCTGATGGTAAAGTAGCAAAGATGTTAAAGACGCCTTAACAGTGTGACACCGAGTGCAGTTTCTGGTGAATCACCCAAGCTTCTTACAGAGAGCATGGCTGCTGAGTCTGCTGAGTATCGCTCACTTGTGGGTACATCAGTCAGCAGCGCCTTGATGTCCAGTTCAGCGTCAAGACCTTGGTGTCGAGCTTACAGAGCCTTACAGTGTGTTCATGGCGTGAGCTTGGAAAGCTGATTGGAAATTTGAAGCAGAGAGAAAAGTAGGCATTGGACACGAGAAAAACAATGAAGGGATGTAGCTTTCTGGAAAGTTTAAATGGCGCATGCAATGCTGAGGAGCAAAGGCCCAATTGCCTTGAAACCTTTTCTGGCGCAGATAGGTTTGGAATTGAAAATCAGAGGTCTATACGTCAGCAGTACATGTGCTGAATGGCTTGGTGATTCAATTCACAGCAGCTGCAGAACTCAGCAATGCGTATCTCTGTCCAGTACGGAGTCTGAATGGTATGCAGCCAGTTCTGGAACATGCGATGGGCGGCTTTACTTGCATCACATAGTGTCGTTCGTTCCTGTGTGATGGGGACATCAGCCCTTTAGTTCTGCATGCAGACAGCAGCGCAGTTCGAATGTTGTCAGTGCCATTGGGAGCAGGACGTTTGAGGCACATCAAGGGACGCCTGCTGTGCAAAGTGGCTTCTGGAGATTTGCATACAAAGCAGGTGAAGACGTCCCTGAACATAGCAGACCTCAACACAAAACCGTTGAGCAGAGATCGGTATTTTTGCTTGCTCTACATGTTTGGTTTTTCTGCAAATGGTGAAAGGGTTTGAGAGACTGAGTATGAAAGGATGAAGGCAAAAGAGATTTTGAAACAGCAAGTGTGGATTGTGAGTGAGGTTGTGATGGAAAGCGGGCACGCAGCCCAAACTTCGAAGTTGCACAAATTTGCCAAGCAGATCCTGCGTGTGCTGGCATCATGCAGGCTTATGTCTTTTGCAGAAGGGCAAAGCGATGTTGATGAAACAGTATACAATGGGAACTCCTTTGCAGGAGGCACCTTGGAAGCCTTGGGTCATGGGCTATGGCAGCTGAGCCCAATTTCATTTGCGCTTTGCTTTTCAATGTGCATTCTGCTTGGAATGTTTGTCATTTTCATGACACCTGGTGGGCGTGAATCTGAGCCGGAAGATGGAGAAGGCTTTGAAAGAGAGCCAGCAGCTGAACCGCTGACTTCAAGGTATGATATGAACAATGGCTCACTGGGAAATGTCTATGCACACATTATTTCAGTCCCGATGTTCAGAGTTGAAGGAATGCTGGTGTGGATGTACCACAGATGCGAAGGAAGAGTGCATCGCAACTGAATGGTTTTCGTAGGGGAACTTTACAACAGATGGTGCATGTATGCTACAATGGGATGAGTGAAAATGAGTCCCAAAACATGCTGGACAACGTTGTTGCAATGACAGACCTTTCTGAAGATGAGGGGTCGCCGAGACATGGAATGACAGGAGACAATGCGCAGACAGAGATCTTTCAGGCTTACCAAGCATACCAGGTTGGACTTGATCTGATACAGGTGAAGCTACAGCGAGTGCAAGAGGAAAACTCATCTGGATCGGAGAATTTGCCTGACCAATTAGGCGCTACCTCCACATTCCATTGGGGGAGGCGTCAGATCCAGAACTTTGGGTGGAGATCCACCATGGAGGAAGTGAGAATGCAATGGATGACAACGAAAACCGTGAGAGAAATGCAGGCAGTGGAGAAAGTGGTTGAGAATTGCAGTGAGTTAACATGATATCAATGAAGTCATTTACATTTTGCAGACGAGTGCAGCTGTGAGTCAACCTGATCTCACAGTGCAGCTGAGAGAAAACACGTTTCACCTAAAGGTGACAAACTTTAATCCAGTGTCAACACTTGAGATTTCACGACGGTGAGCCTGAAACTTTTGCCGAAGTCTACGTGAAACTCTTGTGATGTTGTGTTTCGCTGTTGGTTTACGTTAAGGTAACCATCTAGCAACTTGGTGCGTTGAGTCGCAATGACTCATCTACCAAGGGCGGGGTAACTAGATGTTTCCGCACCGTTCTAGCTCAGTTTTGCCCGTTTGCTAGTTGAAAACAACTCCACAAAATGTGGTGCACACAAAACCGAATGCAACTCCATGCAAAACGCATGAACAGTTGGATGCGTGTGACGTCCAAGGCTTTGGTGTTTCAAAAGGAGTTCAGACATAGGTAGGTTTGAGTTTGAGGTCTCTTCATGACCTGTTGTTGAGATTTCTTTGGGGTGAAATTAAGTTGATGAAAAAACTGGTTTTGCCAATCTTCATATTTCAGTGGTCATTGCACGAATGTGGCTCAATCATGCATGGGCAATTTGACGTTGCATTGGGCGCAGTGTGCGTGACTACGCGGAATTTATCCTTACCAGTTTTCTACATGTCATGTTAATTTTTTCATCATTGGAAAAAAAGGTTCGGTGCACGAACTATTTATTGTATGAATATATGCATCCAGCCTGCTCATGCAAATGCTGAAATCAAGGTATTTCCGACCAATGTCAGTATTTTGTTTGAATGGGTTTGGTAGTCGGAAAAAAAATGGACCATTATCTTGAAACAAAAAAAATGTTTTGGGCACACACATTCCGCTTGATGCGCCTGCAAAGTCGTCTCATTGGTATCATGTTGCAACCGGGCGTCAATTTTTTTTTGGTTTAGGCAGGCACTAAATTTGGCATTGTTTTTGATTTTTCATGTAGGTATTTTGCATTGTGTTTCGGTGCTTCCTAGCGCGGGTCAATTTTTTTACAGAAAATCCTGCAGAACATGGGATTTGGAAAAAACGTTTCGGCGAACGCATGTAAATAAAATAATCCCAACGTTTAATTCGTGTAAAGTACCGTGTAAACCCCAGGTTTTGAACCAAAAACACTTTGCTAACTGACTTTCAGGCCGATTTGTGCAGTTTTTCCTCGTTGGGTTTGTTGAATCTGTGAGCCAATCGGAGACCAAAAAATAGCATCATTCATTGCCATTCATGTGTTTAATCGTGGTATTTTCATTCCAAAAAATGGAAGGAAACAGTCTTGTGGTAGATTCGCATTCCGTCCATCTCCATTCGACTGGTTGAACCACTGATTGCCTCGCTGTGCTTGACCAATGTCATCAAGCATCTGGCTGTTTAGCCAACTTTCCACAATTGAATACAACAGTATCATTTGATGGTGGCATCTTTCACATCCATGTTCCACATTGCTCTTACAACATCAAACACATCTTGATGTCTTGTATGTGCCAGTTGATGTGCACCAATTGATTTACAGACAAACATATACACAGCAGGCGTGTTTGAACATATACATTGGGCAAACTCAAACTTGCCATCGTGATTTTGAAAGATCGCACCGACTGCGTCATGGAGATTTTGGGACCAAATCCAACTGTTCCAGGTGCTTTGCAGCCAGTGTTTTCCGGGTTTCGAGAAACCGGAGAGGAACAAAGTTCGTAACAGTCACACATTCTGGGATATGATGCCAGATGAAAGGAAACAACAAATCAAGTGACACACCGAACCCCAAAAGTGTCAGTATTTGTAACAGTTCTTAGTTCCACTTCATGACCTTGCACAGGATTTGGTGCATCAAAAGAAAAAACAATTAGGATTCAGATCACCAAACATGTTTGCAAGTCCGTGCTCAAATCTGGTTTCAGGCCTTTGGCGATGCCACTTGCGGGAAATCGCTAAGGTGGCAACACAATCCGAGTTTGCAGTTGAAAAATGTGGAAAAATCAACAAAATTGGAAAAAAAAACATATTTTTTTGTAGTCCCTTTTAGCAGTAATGTGTTTCCACACTTCAAGGCGTTTCGAGTTGGATGTGCCAAAATTGCAGTCTTCTGGATGTTTTTTAGTTTGTTTTCCCTACACATGGAAAATAAACTAAGTTTCCGGTTTGGATCGTGGAGTTGTCTTGAATGAAATGTCAAAAATTCTGAAGAAGTTCTTGCACACAATAATTTTCAAATGATTTCCTCTGTGCAAATTTTATTTCCATTCTCTCAACTGCTTCGTAGGCGCCAGCGTCTAGAACAAACCACTCCATCAGCAACTGTCGCACGTGGTCATTTGCAGCGCTCACCTTGCCATTCTTTGCGAGGCGTGGCCTGAAGCAACACATGTGGAAATTGCACAACGTTTATTTTTCAATTCGATGTCGATATCGTGGATACCCTAGATCAGATATCAGAAAATATAAGTTCGCCTTTCGGCTGAAGTTGTCAACCATCACATGTGTGTATTTGTGCATGCAAAACACATGTGTATGTTCGGTTCTGACGACAAGTAGCTCTGGTGTCTGATGTTTCCGTTGCAGGGCGGTTCTGCGACGTTCGACAGCACTACGAGCATGGAACTTTGTGGCCTTGTGGTCGGGTCACTGGTCATTGATCGATTTTTTTCCCCATGTTGATATTATGTGGATGCCAAGGCCACTGGCATGGGCGATGCAACCTTGATGAAGCGATGGGCTTGGATCAAAGCTTCAAAACAGGTGTGAGTATGAACCAAATACGAGCCAAGTATGAACCAAATATGAACCTTTCATATCCTTTTCATACCTTGTGACTCGAAACTGAACTTTCAGATCTTTTGATACGTCTATATAGCTGGAGTTTTGCCACAGGAAAAACCGGAAAAAAGTCAAGGAGATGGAGGTCGGTATGCTTGAGTTTGGAGCCAAGTCCAAGAGCGAACCTCAAAATACGATTTCAAAGGTGATTTTCATGACTAATACAGGTAATAAGTATATAAATAATACATCTCGCGATACATGTATTTGATTGTATTTGCCATACTTTGCCATGCTTGAAAGGTCGATGTTTTTGGTCTCTTGTCTCACAGAGATGGCTGTCTTTTGGGCAGAATCGAATCAATTTTTGACACAGGTCGAAGTCCATACCAAGTGTCAGCTTGACCGTTGAATCAATACACGTAATCCGTTACCCAAGGTTATCATTTGTGTGCTTGTGGCAGATACGAATGAAGAATGCCAAACAGTAGAGCGAAGCCTGAACGCAGCCAGTGCCAAGGTAATTCAGACATGTCAATGAGTCAATGACTCTCAAAACTTTGGGTCAATGATCAATAATGGTCAACGCTAGTCACGATGTCTGACATGTGCCCAGGGGTGCATTGAAGACGCTCTTTAAGCGCATGGACGAACCAGACATCTTCAAGGTTCCACAAAGGGACACCAGATCACCACCACAAAACAAGTTGCAGGTTGCATCAAAAACCTTCCGGACATCCAACAGCAAAACAAAAAAAAGATAAAAAAGGCATAAATTTGGATCTGTGCTGTTGGATTCTCAGACAGGGAGACCAGTCCCAGAACCTTACACTGGACTGATGCTGACCGGCCTATAATCACACTGCAAGAAAACATAAGAAAACTTTAAGCCGCTAATATTAAGGTAATTTTCATTAAAAAAATAAGGGGTCATAGGATGTCAGAGTTGGGGAAACGGACAGGTTCGAGAGATCTTGATGCGCCTTGCGAAGACCAACACCAAACCCAACCAGAATCTTGCGGGAGTCGCTTGGGTGCAGGCATGCACAGTTTAAGAAAGTTTAAGAAAGTCGAAGAATGTAAGAATTACTGTAAGAATGCTTCTTTTTTGTGCTCCGTCAATCCCTCCTTGTCCTTCCTTTCCTTTTTTGATGGGTTCGTCTGAGTTCGTCTTCAATAATCTCTATCTGACTCTATCTTCATGTGTCTCGATGTCTGTCTTCAAGGATTGGATCATCTTCTGGGCTTCTCGCGAGGGTTGCCTGACACCCAGAGAAGTTACTGTGTGCTGTCCGTGTGCTGTCCGTGTGCTGTCCGTGTGCTGTTGTATTGTCATATATTGTCATTGTACAATCGTACTGGATCAGGGTCAATCTCATCTTAAAAATGGCACTTGTTACAGTTCTTTTGCGATGGATTAGCTTACCTGAAATCGGGCATAGTCTGGAGGAAGCATGTCAATATCTTTTATGGGTTTCTTACAGCTTCAATAGTGTGTAAGATGATGAGCATAGGAGAACCTGTATCTTCTCCAATTTGATCCTGGCACTCGCATTTGCCGAATCTAGATCGATACATCCCAAGACAAGCTGGTACTTCAAGTCGTATTCCTTTCTGAAGCCTGGATATTTTTGACGCTTTAAGAGTCAACAACAACTTGATACAACTACAACTTCCAACGACTCCGAATTGACTCTTTTTATTTTTTTGACATTTCTTGACATCTCTTTGCCATCGACTGAAGTCCAAGCTTCAGGCGTGGACAAACTTTTTGGCACTGGCATGACTGACGAAGGCTGGTGGCTCCAACTGCAGGCAGATTCCGCATGATTCCGCCATGGCATGTGGTGTCCATGTGGTGTCCATGTGATGTGTGGGGAATTCCTTCACGAAGAGATGTTTGTAGTGCTGTCATGCAGCTGTCATGCAGCTGTCATGCAGGCAATGCAGCTGTTGTCATCATCTGTTTTCCACGGGCTGTCAGGAGTACCTGCTGCGCCTGAGCACAAAGAAGCAAGGCTTCGGCATCTGAATCGGACATCTGTGGCACCAGTATGCATTATATATATACATATCAATAGATATATATATATATAACAAATGTATGATGCATAGCAACAACAACGATGAGCAGAGAACAAAGGAGGTGAAAACATGGAATTTCATGGAAATTCAACCGAAGTCTTCGAAACGAGTTGAAGTTCAATGACTTCAATGGAATTTCGACATTTTTCGACATTTCTAGATGTCTTTGTTGTCAAGTTTTTCTCAATGTCGATCCGATCGATCCTTTGAGATTTCAGGCCGCGAAGCTGAAGCAATCGAAATTGTGCGTCGGGGTGTCCCGGTTCGTGGAGATCTTGCGAACTCCAAAGAAACTATATATCATCTGATAATATCTGAAAGTATCTATTATATAAATAACTCATGTAATTATATATATATGTGTATTTGTAGAACTTGTAGAACTTGTAGAACTTGTAGAACTGCTGTGATTTCTGATGTCCTTGTATCCAAAATTTTTGAAAACATTCCTTCTGACACTTGGTTCCAATGCCAAAAATGGACACGAACTGTTAGGATTTGCCCTGAAACACGCTAAGGAAAAGTGGGACCATTTCCCAATCAGTCCAACAGTCTGAAGTCTCAGCTGACGTTGGGAAGCACGCCACTATTCGTTCAAAGACCGGGGAAAGCTGTCGGAAGTTGATAGGATGAAATTTGCATGAAAGGCTCAATATATATATACACACATATATATATATATAATATCAATATCGAAAGCTTCCCTGTGGAATTCAACATGCTTCCTTAGCCTTCCATGTTTACTTTTAGCATCTTTTAAAGCAGTCTCTCCCCTGACTTGTTTGTGAATTGACCTCTTTAGGATCCGCTCCCAGTCCGCATTGCCACCGTCAACACCCGTCCGAGAAAGTCAATGACATGGTACTTCTAAGCCCTTGAAAGATGCATGGAGTGGCTATCAGGGTGATAAACACCAAAGCGTTTTTCCGTTCTGCTTGAATTTTGACCAACCATGCGTGTGAAAGATTGTAAAGGTGAGAACGGTGAGAAGAAATTCCAATCCACGAGGCAGTCAGGCACCAGGTTCAAAATGTTCAAAGGGCTGTTGTATCATGTTGATCATGTTGTATCAACGTTCACACAGAGACGACGTGACGAGGTCTCAAAGGGACCTACGTTCCTTCTGGCACCAACAGGACAGGGCGGGAATCCGTTCGGAATCGGACATTGTGCTAACTTTCACTGACATTGTCAAATTGTGTTGCTGTTGGAGGTTGAAGATCATTTTCACGGAATTCAAAACTGACGATGGTGCGGACCTCAGCTCCCTCGGACACTTTTTGCCTCCGGCAGAATGTGAACTCGAGATTTGGAGATTGGCAAAGACCACTCATCGTTGCTGGAACGGTTTCCGATGTCTACGTCGTGTCTAGGTCGTGTATCTATGTTGTGTATCCAAGTCGTGACAGCTACGGCTACGGTCCAAGGCAAAGACATGAAGCCTCGAGGAGATCAGGAGGAAGTGGTGCGAAGCACAGCTCGAATGACGCATTGCGGACATGGCCAATGGCGGCATGGCGTGCTGCAGCTTGCCGTTGCCTGCTATGACCTGCTCCATCCTGCTCGCACTGAGGTCATTGACGTAGATGTGATCTACTCCTCCAAGACAATGATTGCATTGCAGTGGGAGGAATGGGGTTCAACAAAGTTCAACAGAACCACGTGTGAGTGTGTGGCTACTGTATTCTTTGTAGTCTCGAACACATTTTAAACATTTTTAAACGTATGTTTGCATTCAGTCGGACAAAACGAAGTGGCATGGATTGGCATGGACTTGGTGTTTCTGGGGACTGCACAGCACTGGACTGCACATACTGCACATTGCCTTCATTGCCTTCCACATTTTGCCTCGTAATTTTGTACTACACTTGCACAGGATGCCAATGGCGAGTGCGACTTCTATGCCACAGCCTTGGGCGGCCTTGGGGTGATGTGAAGATTGTGAAGTGCTTGAGAACCCCAAAAAAAGATCCTGAGATGCTTGAATATCTTGAATCAATGCTGGAAGTGCATGGAAGACTCAAAAAGGATGTGTAGCTCTGCAGCTATGTTCTTCGGGTGTGTTGAACCTGCAAGGAATCCCTGGTTCAACATGTTGAAGCACAACTGGTGTATTTGTCTTCAATGCTGGGTCACATCACACTAAAGGTTTTGACACGAGTCAACAGCATCATTGAAGAGAGAGACAAGTGGCAAGCTCAGTGGAAAATTCGAAATCTTGTCCCAACAAATACCAGATCTATAACTCAACCTGTCCAAAATCAAAACTTGACTTCTGAGGTTTCCAGATGTTTCCAGCATTTTTAAGTTGTCTCAAGTTGTCTCTGGGCTGTGCCTTGGCACTCAGCGGTCTGAGGTTCGTGGGCACATCCAAGGCCCGGAACTTCTTCAACTGATCGGTGCCAGCCCTGCACAGCCACAGCCACAGCCATATGAGGAAAAGTCACGTGTGTCGAGTTGTGTCGAGTATCGAGTGGCTGTTTTCGATGTTTCGTTTGTTCCATTTGTGTGACAGTTTGATCAATTTCATTCAATTTCATCATCCTTGTGAAATCTTGTGAATTTGGAACTCAAACTTCTCAACCCGTCACAGACGATTCTCTGGCTCGTTGGCTCGTTGGTGCGTCTCTCTTAGTCTCCACGCGATTGGCGGGTACTGACCAAAGGTCTCTTCCTGGCCTCGACTTTGATGTCTCATGTCATTCATTGATCTGATTCATTCTGATTCAGTGAATTTGCTCCTCTATTTTCCACTCACGTGGTTCCGTGTTTCAGGTGTTTTGGTTCATGCTTTCATATGCTTTCTAACTTGACACCAGAGATTCTGTGGCACGGGCAGTCACGGGCAGAATCTCTCAACTTTTCGGATCCGCATGTCACGGGCAGAATTTCAAGCTGTTGGATCCCTGTTTTCATCGAAGCAATGCGAAAAATATCTCGACCCGCCAAGCGTTCTGTTTGCATCCATGAATTTGGTCGACCGTATAACTTCCGGCGTGATCCTAGTCCTAGTGTCCATTCGTAGAGCGAGGTCTCAAGCGGCAAACCAGGAACGAGGACCGCGGCAGCCCAGTGGCCGCAGTGTGCGAATGAAAGGTCTAGATCTCACTGACGATACGAATGGCTGGATCGGCTCAAGAAACCATATCAAAATGTAATAAAATATATCAAACATGTTCAGATATTTTCAATATGAATCCCACCCATCCGGTGTTGAAAATGGTCAAACTGTGTTTGGGCAGTTCGTGGACAAACTAGCTTCTTTCCTTGGTCTTTCAAATTACCGATAGTTCTACTTTCTTACTTTTCAGGAAGCAAGGAACAAGAGGACCTTCTGGTACTAGTTCTTCTTTTCTGCGAGTGGCAAGATTGGCCCGTTGCTAGAACCTAGAGGCACAGTCACTAAGACGAACCCAGCACTTGCGCAGTTTACGCACTTACAACACAGTTACAACCCAGTTACAACACAGTCGCAAGACATTGCAGCACCTTGCAGCACCTTGCAGCACCTTGCGGCTCCGTGGCGCTGCGCCAAAAGGCGCCAGGAGCGGCCGCCGCACTGTGTGCCATGGGCGCTGATGCTAACGCTGTGGAGGACACGCCATACGACACCTCAGGGGCGCAGATTTCACTCGTTGACGGTGTGATATTAGCATAATATGCATTAAATTGCATTAGTATGCTTCAAAGCTTTACACATAAAATCGCAATGCGACAATGAAATGTAAAACAAAACAACAAAGGGAGGCAAGAAATGTCGAAGCCATCTTGGCTGACCTCTCTGTGCTTGTGAGGATTCAGTCATCAGTGGGTGTCGGGGTCTCGGACGTGAAACTGAACTTAAGAATCTGATTGATCTAATTGTGCCGACTGTCATGCACTGATATGCACTGCACTTTCACCAAGAAAGACTTAACAAAATATGACAAAATCATGATCCTGAGAGGACTGTGGCGAGCCAAATAAACCCAGGGAAGACGAAACCATTCACGTACCAAAGACTGAACCCAGTACCAGATCAGACTGACCCCACTCGCGAATCAGCGATTTGTTGTTTGCATGATTTGCCACCATTTCTTGGAAACCGTTCAGTCTGATCTTGAAAGATTTGAAGGTTTTTCCATGTCTTTCCATGTCTTTCCTTGAACAGTTCCTGGCTGAGTCGAATATGTCGAATGCTCTAAGGTGAAAGCATGACAGGCGTGTCGTCCGAGGTGGCCACAGTGGATTCAGACTGCCAATGACGGTGACTGCGAGTCCAAATTTCCCATTTTCCCCAGCCACTTCACCACACACCCTTCTTTTGCTGGTGATTTGCTATGGTGTTTTGCTATGTTTTGCTGGTCGGAACACTTCACCACATTTAGAGTCGTGAGAAGTTTGAATCTAAAAGTTTGAATATCTGCAGAAAAGATCAGAAAAGGCAAGATGACTTGGTGAAATTTGGTGAAATTCTGATAAACTTTGTGCATTTTTGTGCCAGTTGTCCGTGCCAGAGTTGAACTTTGATGCACAGGTCACCGAGTGCTCTGAGTCAGAGGTCATGTAGAATCCATGGAGTTCATGGGTTTCCGAACATCAGATTTCCCATTGATATTGAAAGCTTATGAAAGCTTATGAAAGCTTATGAAAGCTTATGAAAGCTTCAAAATTTTCAAGAATCAAGGGCTCAACACTTGAAACCTTTGACCAAGTCATCACTTGACTTGAAAACTCTTGAAATGCAGACCAATCAGCACACCTGCATTCTAGGTACAGTGCGTGCGCAACCAAGGTAGCGGAGGGTGAAGCTATTGGATGTTGGAATTGGGAGCTGCTGGAGCTGTTTATGAGAGCTTGATATGACAGCTTGGTAAGATTCAAAGATAATCAACAACGCCTTCAGTTGAAAGAGATTTCATTTGCAAATTTCGTTTCTGTTCTTTCTCAACAGCGACTCTTGGGCGCATTGGTAACTTGTACTTTCTGCCATTCCTTTTCCATCCTTCTCTTGTGTGAAGGCCTGAAGTTTTTTCAATGGCCCAGCCATGCCCAGCCTAAGTCATGTCACAGCTCACCGTGGCGCCAGTTGCAACGTGGTGCCTTGTGGATGGATGGCAGGCAGGGAATGGCCGAATGCCGAATGGCCCTGCCGGTGAACGGGTGCGAAGTTCGAAGCGGGTTCGTGATCGGATCTGTCGGAGGTCCAGCCCATTCACCGACATGGCAGGGCAGCTCAGCCCGGCTCAGCCCGGCTCAGCCCGGCTCAGCCCACTGCACGGCACTGCTATGCCCACTATGCCTGCTATGCTTAATGCTGTTTTCGGGGGATTCGAAGTGGATTCGGACCGAGTTTTTCGATCTTCGAATTTGACCCGATGGGTCGTACGGAGATCACGGAGCGGATTCCCTCCGAACTCACAAGTGGGAGCAATCCACCAGGGACCACCAGAGATATGAACCGTCGACTTGCGACCATTCTAAGAGATCGGAGAAGTGGAGCTCGGGTGCTTTGAGATTTTGATGCTGTTCTATCAATATGAAAAGACATGAGATCACGTGAACTTTCACCAGGATGAAGCAGGTTGGCAATGAACAATCTGAACGATCTGAACGATCCTTTTCCCACACTTTTACAACAAGAATTCCTTGCCAATCCGGCGGTGTCCTCGCCATGAGGATCAAACATGCAGGAGACACGAATGGTGACGTGGAGAGAGCACATGGTCATACATGGTCCACATTCCTCGTGCCTGCAACATTGACAACAGAACAGTCATTGACAAGTCATTTACGAGTCATCTACAAGTCATTGACCTTCTTGAATTTTCTTCAATGTCATGTATATCATGACTTATCATGAACCCAATCAAAATGAATCAAAATGAATAAAACGTGATCAAGTCATGCTGCACTCCGTCTGCAACGCCCCGCAGTGTTCAGCAGTGTTGTGATGGCGTCGACAGTGGAAGTAGAAAACCAAGGGACTTGGCCTCCGTGGCACCTCGGCGTGGTAAACCCATAGCTCTGCATAGCTGTGCATAGCTGTGCTTGTGCTGGGCACCCTCCCGACATCTCCCGACTTTACCCGGACTTTGCAAGCGCACTGCCAAGCTGCCAAGGATACCTCCTACACTATCCTCAAATTTGCCAGTGGGCCTTCAAGGGGTTCTCTCTCCTCAAGACTATCAGGCGTGAAAATGCGTGAAACATGAAACGAACCAAGAGGAGCTGACAGGATGCCTCTGAAGCTTCATGATGGCATGCGGACCATGTTGCAGTGAGTTATTGATTTCTTCACTAGAGTAGTTCAATATTTTTCAATATTCAAAGCCAAATTTCAAAGCAAAAAACAGAAGAAAACACTTGATAAGGATGCTTGATCTACCAAAATTTGAGATTGTCTTCATCAAAGAACGATTTTAGCCCTAGATGCCTAGGCCGGGGTTCCAATGTTGTCAATGTTTGTCCTGTTGTTCCCCCCACATCCGTGTGTTTTGTTCCCCACATCACTATGTGGGGTTCAAATTCTTTGCTCGCTATCTGCCTCCTCCTTCTCCTCCCGCCGTCCTCCCTCATCCTCCCTCACATCACAGCCATCTCTATCAACTTGTCTCCACCACACTCCTCTCTATCAACTTCTCTCTATCACACTCCTTTGGACGCCCACGTCGCGGCTGGACCAGTTTGAATTGTGTCTGAACCAGTCCCTGAACCCAATTCTTGGAACGGTCCATGGAGGTTTTTGGGCTTAATTGGAGTGTTAGATGAGGGTCATTCTTGACCCTGATCGTGTAAAGGCTACTCTGTGTAAGAACTTCTGTGTGTAAAAGCTGCTCTGTGTCAAAGCGTCTGTGTGTAAAAGGCCTCTGTGTAACAACTGTCCTGTGTAAATGCTTCTGTGTGTAAAGGCTTCCCTGTGTAAAAACTTCTGTGTGTAAAAGCTGCTTCGTGTAGCAGCTTCTGAGTGCAAAAGCGTCTGTGTGTAAAAGAACGTTTGTGTGTTAAAGCTGCTGTTTGTGAAACTGCTCTGTGTAAAGGCTTCTCTGTGTACTTGCTTCTGTGTGTACAAGCTGCTCTGTATAAAGGTTTCCCTGTGTAAATGCTGTCTGCCTGTCTGTCTATCCATCCATCGATCTGTTTATCTATCTACCTATCTCTTCCCCATCTGATCATCATCCGCTCCCATCATCCCAAGTCATCACCTTCTCAGAACAATCGGAAGGCTTAACATGTGGGGTTATCTGGTCCCTTAACTTTTTGTCGGACAGGCCATCAAGAGCAACTTTGATCAAATGCTGGCCCCCACCGCTGTCAACAAACGCACCATGTGCCGCGGACTCAAAGCCGTGACCAACGTATCCTGTCTGTGACCTCCAGTTGAACATGTCTTTTTACATGTAAAGAACATGTTGGTCATTGGGGCTTGAACAGTGCTGATCTGTAACATGTGCATGATGTGCAAATATTGCGGGCTTCTCGAGCTTCTCAGGGACGCTTCCAGACCGAGTGCTTGGTGCTTTACGAGTTTCAATTCCGGTTTCAAAGCACCCCAAGCATACCCAAACATCCCCAAGCATCCCCAAGCCTTTTTGGATCCAAGGGTGGCCTTCCTTGTGGTCCCACTCATCGTGCTCTCGATCATTCTTGTCACGACGCTGGTCCAGTTCTACCAGGCACATTTGACCGTGCGCAATCGTGCGCAATCGTGCAAATGTGCGGGCAGCTGCGGACAGTGGCTGACAGTGGCGCAGACAGCTGCATTGTATTTCGCGAGGTCCCCGGTCTCCGCAATGCCCTTGCCATCTTTGCCATCCACATAAACACTCATAGACTCAGACTTATAGACACAGACTTGTTTTGCAGCAGTAGCATTGCATCAGATTTATCACAGACATTTTGCACAATTATACATACATTGTATACATATGTGATAGTTTATTTTACAAGATTTTACTGTCAATTACGTAGACGCACATTATTACGTTATACTCATCGGGCTAGCTTGCATATATGCATGCAGAAATGCATAGATGCATTCAGAGAGACGGTTTACAATCAGCCTTATACAACATAGAGAAAAGCATACATGAGGCACGCGCAGAAATATATACATGCATGCAAGTTTGTATGCATTCCATAACCATTTGCACCTGCGGCTGTGAGGGCCCTTGAGCATTGAGGAAGATGAAAAAGCAGCTGTGCATCGCTGCGGTAGCCAATAGGTGTGAACCCCATTGGAAACGTTTCCAATAAGCCTTGAGAACCAGGCTCCGCTAGCCCTTTGGGTGTAACATTGAAGTAACAACTTTGCATACTGTCCCCATGTTTGAGGTAGGCAGTTCAAGTGAACTAGTGAACTGCAATTTTCCATTCGTCACAGTGCTGTGCTTTTCAGCTCTACATCATGCTATCTCTAGATGTTGATTCGTAGAACTTGCAGCAACTTGTATCACGTTGCTTTTTGTCTTATCTTCGTTGCATTCCTTACGGTCTTTACATTTGTTGCCCAGTCGTTCGATGTTGCAGACGTGTTGCAGACGTTTTTTGCAGAAGTTTTTTGCAGACGTGCTGATCGTGCAGGGTGAGCAGCAGATGACGGTCTACATCGGCGGTGGGTTTGGAACATTTTTCTTAGTGACATCAGTGTTCTCGGCACTTCAGAGGTGCGCGCTCAAATCGGAGCTGTAAAGAAAACAAAAGCAAAAACTCAAATGAAAAACTGAAGATTGTTTGACCTTATATCAACCTTATAGACCTGTCAGATGACCTGTCAGATGAAACGAAAATGGTGAGGGATGCGGGCCGATGCGGATGAGGAAAGACTCACTGTGCAGTGGTTTAACTGTGGACAGGCTTATAGATTCGACATATCCTGCAGAGGTAGCCCAAAGCACAGGTTGCCAAAAAAATGGAGGACACCAATGGTAAGACCGCCAGGGTAGCAAACTCTTGGGTGACCGTGATAAAAGTGGTCTAAGAAAAGTCATAGCATTTTGGACTCAGCCCAAGTTGAATTCATTTGCAACCATAGTTATCGAAACTTGTAAATCAAATCATACAAATTCATGTAGCAATTAGTAACAATATATACATTGATGCTCTTTGCATTTTTGCTTCGTCCAGTTGCTCAGCTGCTTCATGTGCCAAGCTGTGCCATGCGCCCATCGTGGCAGGCACATCAGAGAGATGAAACGGAGACGTGACAATGCGTACAACAGTTTCGTGACACAAATGCCACTTGGACATCACACCAGTGGCGCACAGATCACAGCAGCAAAGTGTTTTCCTATTTTTCCTCATGTCAATAGATTGAGCTGACCTTCACAGTTTGGAGCATGCCGTTTGGAGCTCGGTTGGAGTCTGATTAAACTTTGTGACTTTGTCACTTGATGGGCATTAGAGTAGCAGCCATCTCTGGACATTTTCAAACAGTGTGAAGTCAAGGCATGTCAAGGCAGCTTCGAGCCACAAATGATTCAAATGATCAAAACCGCCCACAAGGAATCAGAATTTCCCTCAGACGCAGTGGGAGATCCAGGACTGCAATTGGGCTTTTGGACACAACGTGATAACTAATGACGTATCTAAAATATCTAAAATGACTGCTAGTCTCCTAGTAACTTAATATGACTCTTATGACTTTTAAATACTCTTAATGACTTATTTCGGATCCTTCCGTTTACGGTGAATCTTAACATGCGGTGCGCGAGTATTTGCCATGAACTGTCAGCCAGTTCTTCTTAAGTTGGCCTTGTTTCATCTCGTGTCAGGATGTGACTTGCTACTGTGTCAGGTGTCATATTGCATATTGCATATTGCTGCTGCTACTGCTATATAGCCGGAATGATTCACTGAATTTGAGTTGCCCTTGGTATCTTGTGGAGTCAGTCTTGGGTAGAAGGGCGGGGGAAGCCTAGCGCTCCATAATTGTTTGTTTTGACTGCTGGCCGAAGGTCTTTCGTGTGTCATGAACGTGTGTTTGCCATCCCCTTATGGAGAAGCCGAGAATCAAACGGTTCAAAGCAGTGCAAAACTGTTAGATCTGTTAGGGAGAGGCAAGAGGCAGTCAGAAATCTGTGTCGCGAGGAGTTTGAATCGTCCCTTGGATCGGTGTAGCTGGATGCTGGATGTATCAAAACCCATGGGTTCAGAACAATTCGCTTCAGAGATGGACATTTCAGGTTCAAATCTTGCTTGCCTTACTGTTTACCATATTGCTTACCAGAACCTTCGGGGAATGTTCCTTATGATGCATCAAACATGATCTTCAATTTGTGCAGCAACTGATGTTGCACAGAATGGGTTTGGGTGCCATGGCTGCAATAGCCTTTTGGCCTAAAGAAAGCAAAGAAACTGAAACCGATTAACTGATGATTTTTTTCGGGCAGTTCGATTTTACTTCTCTGATTTGAGCATCTTTCAATATCTTTCAGCCTTAAGCACTGGGTCCAACTCGAAATGATCCCTCAAGGAGAGGCCTCATCGGCCTCATCTCCTTCACAGTAGTTCCAACTGGCGCAACACTGCCAGCAGCAATTGTGTCTGACGGCGTTGCACCTGGTGCGACTGTGCCGGTGGTGTGCCTCGATAAAAATGAGATTGCACAGGGCAAGAGTTTTTTTTACAGAAAAAACCTTGATTGGCGAAATTTTGTTTTGCAATTCCCCAGCAAAATCTTGCCTAGGTAGGAGCGATACAAAGATCAACAAGATGAGTTTGCCCAAGCTAAACTGCAAGGATAACAAAACGCAGGAACCAGGTGAAGTTATTGCAATTTAGCTTGGGCAAATTCAATGTTCTGTGAACCTAGGAACAATTGCAATGTGTTGCTGTGTAAATTCTCAGTGTTCTTCCGTCCGGCTGGGCTTGAAACCAGGAAGTGCCAGATAAGTTGGGGTACGAATCGGTACGAACATGTCCAAAGTACATGACTGCAATTTCTTCGTTGAGCGCCTGCACTAGCTCATGGCATCTCATGGCATTCAAAGTGCATGAAGTTCATGAAGTGCATGAAGTCATCTGGAGCCAACACATCTTGCTCCCTTGAGCTGTCAGGGCGGCTGTGGTGGTTGGATCTGCTGAGACCAACGAGGGCAATCCGATTCAAGTGACTCCTATGGTGGTTTCAGGAGGTTCGGACGCCGTGAAATGCTGTGAATTGGGGAAAGACCAGGGAATGACAGTCATCCAGATGCCTTATCAAAATTTATCAAAGATAATTCAAAGATTCTGGTAAGCGCCTGTAGGGTAAACACCGCAACAGGAAAAGCGCTCGACGAACTCATGTGTAAGAGGCATGCCTTGTTTCGAAATATTAGACAGTCAAAAAAAGTAGCCTTTTTCAGTTTTTTGTTGATTCATACCTGATCAAGTTGACTTGTGAGATGTCAAACGTACTCAATTGATCTCAATTGTCAAATGTGAAGAGTGAGTTCGGAGTTGATCCGATCCGATGTTGTTCCGAGTTGTTCGAATTTTTGCAGCCCCAGAGGTGTGAAGAATTTCTGCTCTGGCTGCGGAGCTCCACGTGGCTCTGGGCCGTTCTGCAGCCAATGTGGGCAGCGTTTGGAAACCGCGTAGGCCCAGCATAGGCCCATATAGGCCGTATAGGCCCTATAGGCCCCACAGGAAACGGTGTAGGCCGCAGATGGAAACGTAGGAAATGTGCTCGACACAAGCTGCGATACGCTGCGATACGCTGCGATATGTGTGACTTTGCATTTTGTTTTTTGTGTCACTCCGATACATTCATTGTTGTTGTATGTTGTTGTCTTATCTCATTGCACAAAATTGAGAATCTATGTGAGACGGGTGACTGGTGGATTCACGAGACTCTTTTCTCTGGTACTCGTGATACCGCCTTTAAGACATCTACATGTCCAGACCAGACCCTTTACTCACCATGTGGGAGGTGGAGGGTTTGCAGAACTTCACAAAAGGAGACAACACACAACTTCAAAAGAAAGATTTTTCCATATTTTTCCTTCTCACAGGAAGAGATCCACGGCACCTAACGCGAACGGGGTGAAGTTTTGCAGTTTTCAACATTTTGCAACCCGTTTCTGTTGCTGTTTCTGGTGAAATCTGGCTTTTCAAGGGCCACATTCCCAGCGCTTTGTTGACATCGTATGACATCTTACGACATCGTACGACATCGTACGACATCGTACGACATCGTCTTTGGTCAGCTGTGTGCCTTGAAGTGTTTGAAGCGTCCGGGCGCCACATCCAAAAGGATCGCCTGGCCGCATGCTGGTCAAAGACGCCGGCCAACCCTTTCAGTGCCTGAAACACCCGGAAAAACCAAGAAGATGCGATGTTTTTTCAGGATGGCATCATATTAAATTTATTAAATCATATTCATAATTTGCTGCATATTTAAACATATCTATGCCTATTTTATCTCATGTGTGGTGGTTCACTTAAAGACTTTGTTTTCTGCACCATTTTGACATAACAGATTGCGCGGTCATGCGCGGTCCACATCCGCTCTTTCTGCCTTGGATGTCGAAACTTCCAAACCTTTCCGCCAAGGCTTGGAACTCGGCAGATCTGTTGATGATGAAGGCAGCGAATGCCTAGATCGAAGCGGATGAAGCGCCTTCGTTTGTGGAAGGACTTCGAAGCACCGAAAATCGAAATTTGAATGTTTTGTTTTGCATAGAAAACCGAAACACACACGAAACACCCTATAAAATCTATAAATGGACTTTAAACATTTTGAATGCGACGATTTCGGAGTGACGTCCAGGCTCCAGCCGAGCGGCGACAAGCGCACCAAATTGGAGGCGCCGGAGATTGGAAGACTCGTTTAAAAAGTTGACTTGAGACTTTAACATACTACTGTAGTTACTGTATCTATACTACACACACAATTTAGATCTATCTAGCTGCGAATTTGTAGTTTAGCAACATGTCTAGGAATATTTTCATAGAGTTTCGCATAGTTTCATCATGGTTGCCTGGCTGTGATACAGATTGGAACCGGACTTCTTGATTTTAGCCATCAGGAGTGACAATACAAAGTTCAAGAGAAAACTGAGATGTGAAGAGTTTAGTCCTCCAAAGCAACAAGTTCAAGAGGCCTTAGGAGGGTTGAGGAGGGTTGAAGAGAACCAAGGTGTGTAGCACTTGTGCCTTTTGTTTGCTTGAAAGTGCTGCATTCCAGGTGCAGGTTATTGCCATTTCTGCAAATTGTGATTTTCTTTGTTGACATTTTCATGTTTTGAGTCATCCAATTCTTTGGTTGTCGTTGAGATTCATTAATCTTGAACTGCCCTTTTCGCGCAGGAGAGTCAAGCCGCGATTCGATTTGCTCTTCGCTTATCATGATCCAGGACTGGCGAGTACTGAGTCGTGACGAGTCGTGACGAGTGGTGACGAGTCGTGACGAGTCGTGTGACGCTGCGGTGAAGTGTGACTGGTGTGACTGGTGTGACTGGTGTGACTGAATCGATGTTACGACGTGTGACGACGTGTTACGACGCTGCGCTCGAGTCGTCGAGTCGTGTCTTCGTGGCCGTTTCTCCAGGCGCGGGTGGCAGATGACCTCCCAGAGATCGAAGAAATCCAGGTGCTTTGGGAAGCACAACGTTGCAACCGTTAGATGTTGGAAATTGTTGGAACATGGAAAAGATTGGAACATATTTTCAAGATATTTTCAACATATTGGAACTTTTGGAACTTGTTGGAACCAACTGGAGAGAAGTAACAAAAGTAACACGAGCCCAAGATATGAATTCCACACGCTTCTTTTCGCTTCTTTCCTTGTCACATGATGGCCCTGGACGGAGCTACGAGATCCCAGTGACTTAGCAGACTTAGCAGACTTAGCAGTCCAGCATGTGAGATTTGAAATATTTCGACGGAAGTTGTCTTTGCAGAGATTTTTCATGATTTTTCCGACGCAAAGCAAATCAACGTCTCAAGAAAAGTCCACAAATCAAGTTCAATGTCAGATCTTTTCTAGCCCGTGAGTCAAGAAACCTTTTAAATTGATATCTCTCAGAAATGCACCAGGCAGCCGTAGCCTGCGAAACTTCAGTTGGCCCCAGCAGTAGCTCAGCTCGAAGCGCCGTACTGTTTTGATGTTTGGAATCCGGGGGGAGGAATGAACACTGCAGCATACTGCAGCATAGTGCAGCATAGTGCAGCTGCAACACGGTGATGACTACGGTCTAGCTTCAAGTTTGGTTAGTACGTGGTCACGTTGCTTGGATGCACAGCCTTCGAGAGTCACTCTTTGAGGGTTTCTCTCCTTTTCTCTCCTTTCAGTGTTTCTGCTTGCGTTTGACCCCTTTTCCCTCCTCCAACATGTTCCAACATGTTCCAACTGAGACATCTCCAACCGCACCGTGGTGACCCCTCTGCCACTCCGGCGGGGTGGACCACCACGGCCGGGGCCCAGGATGTTCAACCAGAATGGCAAATATCAGAAAATATCATGAATTATATTGAACTATCATTGAGTCATGACATCACTATTTTTTGATTGTGATACTTTGTGGTATCTTTTGATACACAGACATCCAAAGCGAAAGAGTTCGTTGAGTGCTACTGAAAGTGAGAAAGTCTTTGGTACATGAAGGGAATGCAAACCCCCAAAGAAGAGAATGTAACTGAAAATGGACAGCTTTGACAAAGCTGTGGTTGTGGAATCTGAGACAGGATACCCTGCGTGTTCTTACCTTTGCACCGGTCACAATTCAAAGCTGTTTTGGCTCCATGACATGCAGACATACAGCAGTTTGCACGACGAAGTGAGATGAGATTGCCACAGACCTTCAAGCACTAGTTTTCATCACGTATACACTCAGTTTTCTTGAAACTCTTCGGGTTGAATGGCGACGAGAGAATTCACTTCTCAACAAGTATTTCGGCTCTTGTTTTGGATTTTCCTAGTGATCTGCGCTCCTACGTCTTAGAAAGCCTTGCAACCTGTAAACAACTTTGCCTCGCATAGACTTTGCCTCGCATAGCGGGCATAGCTGCATGCTACTTTGATTTTGGGCACGTGCTGCCTGTCTGCTCTCGACAACATGTTTGTCTCTTGGCTCCAAAAGGTCCTGCAAACAGAGTGTGTGTACCCTGCAGTTATAATCTCTGTCCTTCTTCTGTTCAATCACTCTACTGTTAAGATCTGTTAAGCTGTTAAGCAGACTCAGCACTGGCATGCTAGATGTGTTGGACGGCGATCTTTCGCTTCTAAATTAAGCTGGCTGATTGTCAGGGATCACAAGCTCCCCAAGGTTATCGGGGATAAGGATTCGGGATAGAAGGATAGAAGGATAAGAAATGTATAGAAATGTGGAAACATGTGGAAATGTTTCTGGATCTACAGATTCGTTACAGATCGGTTGGACCCATACCAGCCATACCAGCCATACCAGGTACCGACTTCGTACTCCCTGGGAGTGGTGATGGCCTTGTGTGCCTTGGTCTGCTGGGGTTCTTGGAGCGTCACTCTGGTCCTCGCCACCGGCAAGGACCGCACTGGGACCGCACTGTGGGGACCGCGCTGTGGGGACCATGGGACCATGGGGATCTTGGGAATTCTTCTGAGCTCTCCTTGCTCTCAAATCTCTCAATTTCGGTATGTCGCTGGAATCAAGTCAAGTGCTAAGTCTTTCCAGTTCATCAGTACTGTACAGTACACTATACTCTTTGCTCATTTTGCTCCAAAATCCTTTCAGAAAAGCTACATGACCTTTTCATTACTTTTTCTCCTTTTTGATACTTTTTGCGTGTCACTCTTGCAGGCGGTGATGCCATTTCAGCTGCCCGGCAAGTCTGGAAATCTGTGTATTGTGCTGCTGTCATGGAACAAGCAGGGAAACACCTTGGACAAGACAGCAGTGGTGCTGTGCTTTGGGGATCTTTGGGGATCTTTGGGGATCTTTGGGGTGTTGGTTCTGTTGGTTTTGTTGGTGCATTTCACAACACAACCAGTGCCATGTGCCAGCTTCGCACCATGTCAAATATGTCAGGCTGTACTACACGAACTTCACTATCTCCTTTTTGGTCACCGGTTTTGTTGTTGGTTTGCTTGGTGGCTCCTTGGGATCTGGTGGAGAAATGTACGACTTCCACACGCCTTTCCTCCAAGAGATCTCAGGCAGGGCGGCCGTGATGTGGAAGTTCTAAGTGCAGCGATTGTGAAACCATTCTTCCAGCATTCGATTCACGTTGCAGGCACTGGACATTCGGGAGAGTGCAACTTGGCAAGCGGACGTTCTTTCAGATGTTGAAGTGTTGAATCATGGAAGAAATGATACCAAATGTCGTTCGAAAATGATACCAAATGAATTCCACATGAATTCCAAATGATACTTTTAATTGCACATTTTGAAGCTCTGCTGGAGCCTGAAATGTTCGCCAAGGCTATGTGTGGGGGATGCTTGGTGGTGTGGCCACTTGGCAACCACGTCTGCCAAGCAGTTGAAAATGTCAAAGCAAAATATGCAAAGCATATGCAATCGTTATATCAAGTTATATCTCATTATGCAGTGATTGTGTCTATATTAGATGATATTAGATGTCATATGCAGCATTACACCATTACTGAGAAATTGGTGCAAGGATGTGCAAGGCGGTTTTCTATTTTTCCGGACTTTGTCTCAAGATCCACCAGATGATATCCTCTTGATCTGCAGGTTTGGAACCTCGCAAACATCTTACTTTGCAAAGGCAGAGACGTGGGAGGGGCTTGGAAGGGCTTGGAAGGGCTTGGAATGTGCTTAGGTCCGCTTAGTTCTCTTCTATTGTGGCTGAGAGCATGGTGAGTCCTCAGCAGGGTAAGGGCTGGTAAGTGGTCATGGAAACGATTGACCGATGTGCGAACTGTCAGTGGACCAGGTATCAGCATGATGGGAAATGCCATCGGCTTCCCTCTCTGCGTTGGCTTGGGAATGGTCACTGGCGCCATTGTCGCCTATGTTCAGGACAGCGTTGGAACAGCAAAATTCCAGCAGTTGTGATGACCAAAATAAATGGAACACCACGGAACATCATGGAATGACACTGATTTGTTAAATGGGAGTCAGGCAAGACATGGCACTTGTTGGCCTCGACATTTTTCAGCCGCACCCATGATTTTGTCACGTCCATGGGACATGACTTGAAAGCCGTGAAGGATCCCAAGAGCAACTTGACCTTCTTGGTTCCAGGCCCCGATCTGAGGTCGCATGCAGTCACAATGCAGTCTCCATGTGAATGTTTTGATTTTCAGTGCTCTGAGCCAACTTCAGTGGTTGCTCAATGAAATGCTACGAGGGATGTAAACAAAGTGTTCAAATGCCAGATTTGGTGCAAGGGTTCCCGATGTTCCCGTGTCACATGGGTGCGCAGTTCAGAGTATTTGACATATTTGACAGTGTTTGACATATTTAAATGTGTTTATCAAACTGTTTATCAAACTGTTTGACAGTGTTTTGTTGCTTGCAAAGGTGTCATTGTGGCCTTGATGGGCATTTGCACGGTGGGCTTCCTCTCCTATCGGAAGGACAAAGAGGTCTGGTGGAACTGTCAAAAAGTCGCAGAATATGTCAGGGAAGGGATGAAATGGGACGCATCTCTATAAGAGTTACAGTTCTGTAATTCGGGTCTGGAAAGGATTGTTCGGGATATATCAAATTTCTTAGCTAGCAAATTCAAATTTACATTTAAGTATTTAAGTTACATTTTGATCATTTTGCTTTCTTTCTTGTACCAATTAAGTAAACATTTGCTATAATTGTAGTAGACAATATGTAAACATTGTATACCAATTGTACCAATGGACGATGTGACGATGTGGGCATGGCATGCCACGGGGGCGCTGTCGGCAGGTGGAATTCCGGCGGCAGGCCTCGGGCACCTCTGATGAGTCCTCGGAAGCAGAGGTGTCCCGGGGGGGTCAGCCGCGGCCGCAACGTGGAAGTTACAAAAATGAAGTGATGGTATTTGAATGTATTTGTACGAATTTGATGTATTTGTAAGATTTGTTAGGAATTATGACGTTGGGATTGATCATGCTCTGAGATGATGTGACTCCAAGCATGACGTGCACACCTCAGTTGCCAAGCTTTGAGGGCAAACGTCAAGGATGCAGTGTGCTTCAAGTCGACTGACGAAACATGAACTGACAGTATCTGCTTAGACTTTGACCCCTTGAATTGACCCCACATGTGAGCTGCAACGCCAGAGTGGTGAGACGAGTGGCACAGCAGAGAGTGGACCAGAGCAGATTGACGTGGAGGTGTCTTCCGTTGCCTGTTGTGTCATGTTGCCTCGCTCGAAACTGGCAGGGCATGGCAAACATCTTTGAATATCTTTGCAAACTTTTTGAAGCAGACTACAAAGCCTCTGGCTCAAAACACAACAAGAATTTGAATTTGGGTGCGCTGTGGAACAACTCTGAATTTGGGCCCGTTTGTGGCAGGTGCCGGCAAAAGCTGCCACAGCACCAGGGATGATCAGGACAGCAGCATGTCAAACAAAGCAACCAGCACCACACAGAAGGAACTGCAGAGGTGTTACGAGATGTTGCAAGTTTATCAAGATTAATTAAGTTTAAAGTAAGTTTATCATAGTTTATCTAGGAACCAACTGTCTTTTTGCAGAGTTTTTGCCAGGAAGCTGGTGGTTTGCATTTTGGGCGGCCTTTTGTTGGGCTTCTCCAATATTGGTGTCGGCAAAGCTACCTCGGAGCCGTGTTTGTTGTCGCCCTACGCCAACCAATTCGCCACTCCTCTGCAGATTCTGCGGGTGTTTTGCGCATGTGTCATGTTGTCAGTTGATGTCAGTTGATGTCAGTTGATGAATTGTATGTCCAAAGTTTTTATTGGAAAGGCGTGTTAGAAACTCTTGAAGCGGACCCAGGCTTATCTCTACTTCATGCCATTGGTTGCTGGTTCTTCTTGATTTTCCAGCATTCTTCTGCAGATGTTTGGTTTGTCCATCTTCGTTCATTTATGATGTATCATGATGTATCCGCAAATCATCATAAGTCATTACAATGAATAAACATAATTCAAAATGAAGATGGAATATCTCATCACATTTCACACTTCTAGCACTCTTCTAGCACTCTTCTAGCATGTTTCATCAACATCCTACCATTTCAATCCATTTCCATTTAGCACAAGCTGAGCAGCGCCGCCTCACCGTTCTAAGCACTTCTCCGTGGGCGTCTTCATCACCTCACTGGTCGCTTCGGAGATAGCACCGGATGACAATCGGATGACAATCGGATGGCAATCGGATGACAATCAATTCAATATGATTTACAGTAATGACAATGATTCAACAACGGGATCAACGGGATCAATGGGATCATATGAATCAATACGAATCATTTGGAGAACTAGTCTGAACGTGTCAGGACTATTTCGACAATGTCTCAATGACGTTTTCGGACTCCTGGACTACTCTTGGACTATATAATTGGAAGATTTTTTTAAATGCTACAGACTCAAGCCTGTTCCCAACAAGTGGACAAATCCATACCCTTCAGATCCCTTCAGATCCCTTCAGATCCCTTCAGATCCCTTCAGATCCCTTCAGATCCCTTGAGCAACTGAAGTCGATCTTTCAGCTGTTTCAGCTGTTTCAGCTGTTTCAGCTGTTTCAGCTGTTGCACGTTGCAGGTGATGCTGCCCATCATCACCTCATTTCCCATCGAGGGCGGCGAGTCCTCGCAGATTGCACGAGTTTTCAGGGGATATCGTCAAGTGAAGCTGAGACAGCATCTCTTGGCCATCCTTGGAGGTTTCATCCTTTGTAACTCGATCTGCTTTTGGCATCTTTTGGCATCTTTTGGCATCTTTTGGCGTCTTTCAGATTCTTTCGGCGTTTCTTTTGGCATTTTTTTTGAGTTTTGAATTCTGGCGTTTTGCCTCGGGCTGAGAGCGTGCAAGGCATGGGTTTTTTCTTTTTCAACTTGGGCAACAAGTCCATGAGCCCGGCACTTGGGCACTTGGGCACTTTGGGCACTTTGGGCACTTGAGATGATCTGTTGAAACTTTGTTGAAAGCTGCAGAGTTAGAGCTGTGGACTGTGGAAGTCTGTGGAAGTCTGTGGAAGTTGCGCGACGCTGAGATTTGACGGTCTCGTACTGCATTGGCCAATCAGCTCCACTGGTGGGCATTCTCTGGGGTACCTTCTTCTTTAAGGAGCTTGGGGGCAATCCCTTGGGCCACAATCTTGAACAAAGAGGTTATCCCCAAATTGTCCTTTATTCCCATGTTTCTTCATCATTATCCCTTTTGTAAAAGACACACACGCACATATATAATCATATATGTACCTCCGTCCCGGGTGTAAAGATGTTGCTGAAGTTGTTTCTCTATAGTGTTTGGGCTTAAGCTCATGCTGTGTAGTGGTTGCCAGAATTTCATTGGCAACCCTTGCGCCAGCTGCCGTACTCTCTCACGGCTGCATTTCCTGCTGGAGAGGAACCAGCTGCCTGCAGCCTGTGAGGGGCGGGTCGTCAGCGCCCTGCGCGTGGCAGCTGGCGAGCTCTGCGACGTGGTAGAGCAGCAGGGCATCTTCAGGCCGCTGCCCCCGGCACCGAGGGTAGGAGCCCTTGACGCTGAGGCGAAAGGAAGTCCAGAAGGAGAGAGATTGGAGGAGAAGGCCGCCAAAGAAAAGAAGGAGGACAGCAAAAAGACCGCCAAGGAATCCAAGAAGGAGAAGAAGAGGAAGTCAGAAGCGGGAGTGGAGGAGACTCCTGTCAAAGGCAAGGAAGGGGAGGTAGGAGACGAGCCTACCGCAGAGGCTATCCGCACCGCGAAGGCAACGCCTTTGATCGGAAAAGAGAGGAAGGAGAAGACGGACCAGGAGGAAGTGGATCACTACGTCGCGACGCACCCAGAACGATTTGGGTTGGGGTCACTCTCCATCAGAGGAAGCGCTGCCAAGCACTTCAAGGAGAACGACGCAAGGAGGGACGAAAGGCCACCAGAGCCATCCAGGCCACCCCCGTCAAGTGACGCAACAGGGGCGCCTGAAGACAGAACTGAGAGGAGACAGAGGCAGAGATCCAGGTCTAAGAAGAGAAAGAAGTCGAAGGGTGAGAGACACCGTATCCGAGGACGAGAGTTCTGGCGACGTGCCAAGGAGCAGGAGAAATGGGGCCAAAGGCAAAAGCCAAGGCGAAGGCCGGACCCAAGGGGACGGCAAGGTTGAGTGCGATGAAGGCGGGAGTCAAGGCCAGGGCCGCTCCTGGGAGGAAGAGGCCGGCCGGGACCGTGGGAGCCCCCATGAAGAGTCCCCGCACCACCGGAAGAGGAGATATAGCAGAAGAGGCAGAGAAAAGATGGGCAGCCGGGTACAGTGTGTTCCTGAGGCACGTAGACCCTCGAGAGTACGAGAAAGCCGGCGGCCTGGTAGTGCTGGAGGGGAGGTACTATCACCGCAGTGTGACTCTAGCTGGTCAGGTCGTGAGCGTGACCATGGCTGGTGGGGCCGTGCACTTGAAGCTGAGTTTGACAGGCACTGGGGACCTCAAACTCCACACTGGGAACCCTGGCTGGCTGATGAGGGGCCACATTTGTGGGCAGGATTGCAACCAAGAGGAGGCAGCGGAGGATCTGGTGCATCTCCAGGTGGGTCGAAAGATGAAAGGACCAGGGGAGGATGCGCCCTGGGTGACCAACTTGGAGAAGCCGAGAGACGGAGGAGAGGACGAGCTAGCTCTCTTGCGTGCCCGGGCAGGCGCAGATCCCCCGGGTCGAGAGGCAGGCGTAGAAGGAGGAGCCCGACCACATCAGAAGACAGGAGAAGACGGCGGCGCACAGAAAAAGAAGAAAAAGAAAAGAGACAAGAAGTCCAAGAAGAGAAGAAAGAGAGCCAGCGAGGAGGAGAAGGACGCCTCTTCAGACGAGGAGATACGCCTGGATGGAACCAGACCCCGTCAGGCCAATCAGAAAAAGGCAAGGATGCTCTTTGCTGGGACGGGGCTGGACCCTCGAGACAAAGTGAGAAACCGTGTGGCGAGGAGAGCTCGCAAGCACATGAAGAAGAAAGCAGAGAAGAATTCCTCCAGTGCCAGCGGGAGCGAGACGCAGAGCAGCTCCTCTGTGGACGGAGACGAGGTCGAGGAGACGTTGTTCGACCAAGGGTCGAAAGTGAGGGGCCTGGCCGAGTACCATCCAGGTGCATTGGCGAGTCAGGCGTTGAGGGTGATGAGATCGTCTCTGTTGCAGGAGATAGGGACGGAGGACCGCCCCAACACCCTCCCGGCTGTGGCAGTGGCCTATTTCCGCCAGCACCTCAACCGAAAGGCCCAGGGACCCACAGCCCGAGAGCTGATGACACTGTGTCACGCAGTAGACCAGCTCTTGAAGGCTCGACCAGCCAGTGCGATGGATTGCATGATCCAGCGTATAAAGTCCATCGAACAGACGATGGCAGGCAGCCACTGGTCGGTGAGCCAGCGGCAGGAGGTCCTACCGGCGGACACAGTCACGTTGACCACAGTGCCGGAGGCGACCTCGGCGCAGAAGGAGGTGTACCAGGAGGCCAAGGCCCGATGGTTTGCAGCCTTTCCAGAAGGCCGAGTTCCGAAGGGCGGCAAAGGAGCGGGCAAAGCCAAGTCAGAAGGGAAAGACAAGAGCGGAGGAGGCGCAGACAAGGAGAGAAAAGGAAGGAAAGGCGGCAACAAAGCGGAAGCGAACAAAAAGAAAGAGAGCTGAGGAGACTGGAGGAGAAAAGAGCGGGCGTAGCAGCGCCTGATGCGGGGGTTAATGCCCCTGATAAGGAAGGAGAGAGCACCAATGAGATAGAAGAAAGGGCCTATGAAAGAGGGATGGAAATGGCCTCTTGGTCCCTGTTTGAACCAGGTGCCGAGCGGGAGCGTGGGACCCTTCCCCATGATTATAACCTTCCGCTTGAAGCAATGCAAGGGAGCCCGGCGAAGTCTGGTGCTGATCGAATTCATTCACCGGAAGGGGAACGCGATGGACCATTTGGCCCCACTTTTTCGTCAGCAGCCTTCGAGATGACGCGCTGTGACGCAGTGAGCGCCCCGGGGAAAATAGATGCGTCTGTGAGCCCTGGAAGGAAAACTATGGGTGATTTAGGTCGGTTTTTACTTCAAAAACTCCTGGAAGTTTGTCCACTTCGCAGCCAGCCCAGGGGTAAAGGAACAAACAAGGCTCTTTTTCCTTTGCCTACTTCCCATGAGTTAATTTTGGAGTTGAAACCCGACCTCAGCGTGGCTGAGATTGATTGGGTCGTTTGTGTTTGTCTCTCAATTCATTGTGGGGGTGTAACGTGGCTTACCGCGATCCACCAAATGCTGTTCAGAAGAGATGTCTTTTGGAGCTGGTTACCATGGTAGGTTATTTCTGTCAAATGGAGACGCCCATGGAACATGTAAACTGGGATGACTACTTCAAGGTCAAAGGGGTTGACTACAAAGGAGATGAAGTCAAAGTAGGCCGATGGTTTGACTGGAGTAACATTGCTCCTGCACTCCCGGCCGAAGTTGGCAGGGTCCCCCTCGAAGAAGTCTGCAGTTTGGGGTGCAAGCAGTATGTTCTCAATTTCGATGATTTTCTCAAGCCTCCTGATGAATGGCACGCGGTGCGGGCACCGAGAGTCATGGTGGATGACTCTTCGTGGAGTGCGGTTTGCACTGGGCTCGTGTCATCGGGGGTGTGTACTTGGCTTGAAGAATCTGAGGTTTTTCATGTGCACGACACCCCCTTGTTAAATGGGCTCTTCGGGGTGAGCAAAGAAGAATGGACGGACGAGGGGGTGGAGATCTTCCGCTTGATCATGAATTTGATTCCCTTGAATGCCCTGTGTCGACCCATTTCGGGGGATGTCGAAACACTTCCATCATGGGGAATGATGTCACCTTTCTTCCTTCAACCAGGGGAGCGGTTGGTGATTAGTTCTGAGGATGTGAAGTGTTTCTTCTACACAATGAGGGTTCCTTGTTGTTGGGTCAAGTTCCTCGCTTTCAACAAGATTGTCCCGGATGACGTGTTACCTCGCTCTTTGAAAGGTAAAAGGGTCTACCTCGCTTCTACTGTATTGCCGATGGGGTTCTTGAATAGCGTCAGCTTGGCCCAACATGTGCACCGCAACCTGGTGGCCTGGTCACGGGGTGATTTCCCTGAGGCGGCGGGGGAATACAACGCCCCTGAGCAAGAACTTCGCAAAGACCGGGGTTTTACGTTGAGCAGTAGAGCATGGAGGGTTTACCTGGATAACTATGACCTTCTTGAAAAGGTCGAGGCCACTGCCTTTGCCCAGTTAGAGGGTACGGTGGCCCCAGGAGCCCTGGCTTTGCGCCATGAGTATGAGCACTGGGAGGTGCCGCGCAACTTGAAGAAAGCTGTGCAACGTTCTTCTAAATGCGAGATGCAAGGGGCCACGGTAGACGGTGATTTGGGGGTGGCTTATCCTCGAGAGGCGAAGTTGGCCAAGTACTTTGCCCTGGCGCTACAGCTCGCCAATGCAAGAAAGGGCACTCGGAAACAATGGCAGGTGGTGTGCGGAGGTTTGGTATATGTCAGTATGTTCCGAAGACCGCTCTTGGGGAGCCTTAACAGTGTTTGGCGCCATATCGAGAGCTTTCGGGATGTACCTGATGAAGTGAAAATCACCCCACTTGACTGCCGATTGGAAATCCTGCGCTTCTTGGGAATGCTGCCACTGGCACGGATGGACTTCCGGCTTGGGGTCCACCCGATTGTCACCTGCAGTGATGCTTCAACCACGGGAGGCGGGATCTGTGCATCCTGGACCACCACCGCCGTTGGCGCAAGCATTGCAGCTGGAGACATGCGGGGAGAAGTCCCTGAGGCTCGCATTGAAGGTGGAATTTTGGCGATTGGCTTGTTCGATGGCATCGGGGCGCTGAGGGTGGCCCTGGAGTTGGTCAATATCCCTGTGGTAGGCTATGTCTCCGTGGAGAGACACGAGCCTGCCCGACGTGTCGTGGAAGCCAACTATCCCAACGTAGTGCACTACCATGATGTAAAGGAGATTGGTGACAAGGAGGTCAGGGACTGGGTATCCAAGTTCTCACAGGTAAGCCTGGTCCTCATTGGGGCGGGCCCGCCCTGTCAAGGGGTGAGTGGGCTTAACGCGGATAGGAAAGGCGCCTTGAAAGACGAGCGATCGTGCTTGTTCTCCGAGGTGCCCCGTATCCGTGACGCTGTCAAGGAGGGGTTCAATTGGTGTCCTGTGTATGTCCTGATGGAGTCTGTCGCATCTATGGACAAACAAGACCGTGAAGTGATGTCAGAAGGGATCGATGCGGAGCCCATCAGGTGTGACGCGGGGACCTTGGCGTGGTGCCACAGGCCTCGCCTATACTGGTGTGACTGGGAAATTCTGGAGGGAGAGGGGTATACAGTCAAACCTGGCTCGCCGGCTGGACCTCGAGAGCTGGTTCTAGATGGGTGTCAGGATCCGCATGAAGTCATCCGAGGCGGTTGGATCAAAGTCGCGCCTGAAAAGGCCTTTCCAACCTTCACTACGGCCAGGCCCAGGTCAAGCCCAGGGCGAAAGCCGGCGGGAGTGCAGCAGTGCTCCTCGGAGGAGTTGGAACGCTGGAGGCAGGACCAGTACCGGTTTCCGCCCTATCAGTACTGTGTCTCGAACTGCCTTGTCAACAAACACGGTGTCTATCGTATCCCGGATGTCTCTGAAAGGGAACTCATGCTGGGGTTTCCTCTCAACTATACGGCTGGATGTTTTCCAAAGACAAAAAGGAAAGGTGAAGTCTATGTGGACTGCAGATTGACATTGTTGGGGAACAGTTGGAGCGTGGTGGTGGTGAGCTGCCTGTTGAGCCAGCTCTTCGCTCGCTTGGGATTTATTCCTTGGCGTACCCCTCAGGAGATTTTGGATCGGAGTGCATCCGGCGGTTGCCCTACAGCCCAGGGGCGACTGGTGAGGATGCCCCTGAATCCCCTCCGGGGTATCCCTCGAGACGCTTCAAAGGAGCTCGCGACCAAGTTGTGCAGCCTTATCTCGCTCAAGGGCGAAGATATCCTGCTTACGACCCCCACGTCACAGTTGCCTCGATTCCACCGTCTGAGAGCAACTATACCAGCCCGATGTTGGAGGTGGCGTGTCGTAGCAGGGTGGCGCTGGCAACATGCTGGTGATCACATAAACTGCTTGGAGCTCAGAGCGATCCTCACCACGTTGAAATGGAGGTTGGAACACGCAGGTCATTTCAAAACCCGGTTGATCCACTTGACGGACAGCTTGGTCTGTCTTCATGCTCTCAGCCGTGGGCGTAGCAGCTCACGAAAGCTGAGACGAACTATGTCGCGCATCAATTCGCTCATCTTAGCCTCTGGAATCCACCCCATGTGGGGGTATGTGCACACGGACCAAAATCCTGCCGACAAGCCCAGTCGATGGGGCAGGCAGGTGAAGACAAAGTTCCGGAATGCCAAAGCGTAAAATCCTTGAGGGTGCGGAGGCAAGTGAGCGTGCGCGACAGCGACAACAACTGGGACATCTGCGTGATTTGACTGTTCAACCAGCCACCAGACAAAGGTATAGAAAAGCTACTGATTCATTCTTCTCTTTTCTTCGTTGTGAAAAGCTCTCGATCCCTACCAAAAAGGAACAATTTGATCAGCTTTTATGTGAATACCTAGAGCATCTCTGGAGCACTGGTGCAGGACGGGGTCAAGCCAATGATACAGTTGCAGGCCTTCAAGACCTACAACCCAGTCTACGCCATCACTTGCCGGGGTCATGGCGCCTGTTAAAAACTTGGGCCATCAATGAGGTTCCTAATCGGGCGCCACCACTCCCTGAGCAAGTAGTTCATGCTATGGCTGGTTGGGGGTTTTTCCATGGGCATAACTCTTTCGCTGTTTCATTGCTCATTGGCTTCTACACCATGCTACGCTCTGGTGAGCTTTTGGGTTTGCTCTCTTCTCATATTCTCTGTGCCCCTTCTGACCGGCAAGTGTTGATTTCTTTAGGATTGACCAAAAGTGGTAAGAGGCAGGGCGCAGCTGAATCGGTCATTTTAGGGATTGAAGCTGGTGTTCGACTCACCCAGCATTGGAAAAAGCTGGCCAGATCCAGCAGCCCGATGGCATCTTCGCCATTGAAGTGGCGAGCTCTTTTTTCAGAAAGTCTGAAGTCTCTAGGACTCACGCAGTATAATTTTCGACCCTATTCCCTCAGAAGAGGTGGTGCCACCTTTTGGTTCCAGAAGCACCAAAATTTAGACCGTATACTCGTACAGGGGCGCTGGCTGGCCCACCGTACAGCACGTGTATATATCAATGAAGGATTGGCCTTGATGGCTAAGACTCAAATCGACTTTAAGCATCCAAGAATTCGATCTTTCTTACAAGTGTACCAAAATACGGTCACAAATCCACGCTTCTCCACACTTGAGCCTCCAGCAAAAGCTGGAAGTGCTGGGGGACGTGGAAAGAAACAGGGAGGCAAGGGACGCAAGCGTGTCAAAATGCATTTTGCCGGTGCTATTTCTCAGGGGTGTCTACTATTTTCAACATGGCAAGAAACCAGGAGGTGTGGCTCGGTTTCCTTGTCAGTGAAATGGGGCATAACTCATTCACCCTGGGTGTGGCCGGGTGTTATGAGAGGAACCTGCCGGGGAGCTGGCTAGTAGACCACCCCTGTTCAGTTTTACCTGGTTTTTATTTATATTAAACTTGACAAACTTGCTGCGAAGTGGAGAAAACAACGGCACAGCTGTTCATCTTTGTACCTCCGTCCCGGGTGTAAAGATGTTGCTGAAGTTGTTTCTCTATAGTGTTTGGGCTTAAGCTCCCGAACCCTCCCCCCCGAGAGTTTTAGCTCTTGGAAAGAAACAGGGAGGCAAGGGACGCAAGCGTGTCAAAATGCATTTTGCCGGTGCTATTTCTCAGGGGTGTCTACTATTTTCAACATGGCAAGAAACCAGGAGGTGTGGCTCGGTTTCCTTGTCAGTGAAATGGGGCATAACTCATTCACCCTGGGTGTGGCCGGGTGTTATGAGAGGAACCTGCCGGGGAGCTGGCTAGTAGACCACCCCTGTTCAGTTTTACCTGGTTTTTATTTATATTAAACTTGACAAACTTGCTGCGAAGTGGAGAAAACAACGGCACAGCTGTTCATCTTTATATATATATACATTGAGCCCGCTGTATATATATATAAATTATATATAATATTATATTATACATATGTATAAATATGTTGTAAATCCACTAAGACTCCAAGACATTTCAAGACCCTTGAGCATCCCTTGAGCATCGCGCCGGTTCCAGGAGTTCGCAGGTACCTCTGAGAAAGTTTGGGGTTTGGTCCCCGTGGTCTGCCTTCTCTTCGCTGGGGCCATCGTGCTGATCGCCGTGCCTCGACGCTGTCATTCGACGCTGCATGCCATGCCATGCCATGCCATGCCATGCCATGCGGCACACGAGTTAAGTGAGGTGAAGTACTCGGTGAAGTATGGCAAGTATGGTACAGTATGGTGAAATACAATGATTTTTATTGTTTTTAATGAACTCACAGATGTATGATGTTTGAACAGATTTTCCAACATATTGTAGATCTCTTGTGGATCTTCTGTGTTCTTGTAGTATGCGTAGTATGCGTAGTATGCGTAGTATGCAGTTCAAAGCACATTTTGATTGTGCGGTTGGAGCTCGGGTGCTCACTTTAGTCTGTCCCCAAGGCAGCTGGTTGAGATGGCCAAGGTACGGGAGACGGGAGTCGTGACAGTCGTGACAGTCGTGACAGTCGTGACAGTCGTGACAGTCGTGACAGTCGTGACAGTCGTGACAGTCGGGTAGTCGTTGCGTCCGGGAGTACACCTCATTGCATGCGTCACATGTGTCACATCTCGCATCTCATTGCCCAAGATTTTGCCGAACTCCATTCTCGTACGGGCCAGGCTACACATCCATGACATCAACATGACATCAATCTGGCATCAACATGACATCAGTACAATGCTTTGAATACTTTGCAACTGTCAATTGGTACCAGCTATGAACCGTGATCACAGTATATCACAGCTGTTCCCTGGAATATATTTGATCTGCTATTTCCGCTCCAGGTTCTGGCGTGAAAGATCTTCTTGGTTTCCTCACTTGTCGACTTCAGAGTTGCTTTCCTGAGTCGTAGTGGGAACGAAATTTGAACGCAGCTGGAGGAATCAAACCTCGAGGTTCAGAGTATAGTGCGGGATCCATTTTTGTCACGTCAGTTGGCGTGAGGTTGGCTGTCTGATTTCTGGATATTTCTGGAACGCAGTTTCGCTACCGCAAGTCATCCAAACAACATCCCATATTTGTTCTGCAAAGAGAAAGCAGGATCTCTTCCAAAACAAAGGAAAAACATGTTACGTATTCAAATCTGCAGGGATTATGGCTATGATAAATCAAATTGAATAAGCAAGAAAAAGCAAATGCAGAGAGGCAAGGAGCCTGACATGAGAAGGGACATTTCTGAATAGGTCTTGACTTGACCAAGCCTTTTGAAGACAGTGAGACAGATGCAACTAGGACATTCCAAGATGGCACCTCTGTGACAAAAATCTCAATGCACACCAGCTGGCCACATTTTCTCTCCCACCTTTAGTAGTTTAGTTTCCATACATTATGAAACTATATGAGACTATTGTGTAGAGCTTCGCACACCGGCGATGCCTGTAGGGGTCGGGGGAAGGAAAGAGAGAGGGGGATTTCATCTGAACTTGCGGACATGACATGCTGCGAGCTGCATCTTCGTTGTCGTCATCGTCATTGTCGTCGTCGTCGTTGTCGTTGTTGTCGTCATTGTTGTTGCTGCTACTGGTCCTCCTTCTCGTTCTCGTTCTTGTTCTTGTTCTTGTTCGTGTTGTCTTTGTCGTTGTCGTTGTCGTTGTTCTTGTTGTCGTCGTTGTCGTCATTGTCGTCGTTGTCGTCGTTGTCGTCATTGTTGTTGCTGCTACTGGTCCTCCTTCTCGTTCTCGTTCTTGTTCTTGTTCTTGTTCGTGTTGTCTTTGTTGTTGTCGTTGTCGTTGTTCTTGTTGTCGTCGTTGTCGTCATTGTCGTCGTTGTCGTCGTTGTCGTTGTTGTCGTCGTCCTCGTCGTCGTCGGCGGCGGCGTCGTCGTCGTCGTCGTTGTTGTTGTTGTTGTTGCTGTTGTTGTTATTATTGTTTGTTGTTATAGCTGTTGCTGCTTGGTCCTGTTGTCGTTGTCGTTGTTATCTTTGTAGTTGGTACTCTTTGCAAACCCCCCAAAATCGTCAAATCGACGGTTTTTGCAAACCCCAAAAAGCGTCAAATAGGCGGTGTTTTCGCGATTTTTCACGTTCTCGGAACCAAAAAACACCGTAAATACCAATTTTTTTGGCTCCGCGCCAACGCAAAACCACGGTATTTACGAGGTTTTGAGCCACCGCTAGCAAAAATCACGGTATTTACAGTGTTTTGTGGCCCGGGCCTAGCAAAAACACTGGTATTTACGCAGTTTCCAGCATGTTGTCAGAAGCTTTTTTTGGATGCCAAAGGCACAAAAACATTGTAAATTACAGGATTTTTACGCATGGACAGTACCAAAAAATTATGAAAAATTTACCAAAAATCGACCAAAAATGGACCAAAAATCGACCAAAAAACGCCCAACAAGGACCTCCAAAACGCATCTTCGAATTTGACCCTCTTTTTTTCCACCCCGAACCCCGAAAAACGTGAAAACCCCAGCACCCTGAAGGATTTTCGGAAAGGGTCGGCGGCAGACGCGCGCCCTTGGGTAGCTAAAGCTGTGCTTAGCAACCACCACTGCACGGCGAGGCATCGCCGGATTTATAGAATGGGCTAGCGCCCTGGTGCCGCCGACCCCCCCGATTTGGGGGGTCTTGTAGAGAGAGGGAGAGAGAGAGAGCGAGAGATAGATAGATAGATAGATAGATAGACAGACAGACAGACAGATAGATAGATAGACAGACAGACATACATACATACATACATATAATATATATATATATATATATATAATATGGTGATTTCCTATTTCTGCGTTGGTTCATAAAAATGTTGTCCTGTGTGAAGGAGTGAACCGCAGTCACCACAAGCAGAGCATGCTGCTTATGGAGAACCCATGGCTAGGGTGGGGTGTTGTTGGGGTGACATGACCAAGATTGATGGTCAGTCACCGGATTGTAACATATTGTAGCCCGTTGCAAGTGAAATAAGTATGAATAAGTAGATTAGTGCATATGTTACAGAAGTTATTTTTCTTAGCACCCACCGACAATTTATATAATAGTTTTCAGGGAAAAAAAAGCAGTACTCTTAAAGACCGGCTGGGTAGCACGATTTTGCAGACGCCAAGCTGCAGCCATTTTGGGTCGCACCACGCCATCAAAAAACGCGAAGGGTCGAAGCTGCCGCGCAGGGTTTTAGGCGTTTGAGGCCTGGCAAACGGCAGGCTTGAACGCCCTTAACAACAGAGGGCTGTGGCCTGAGTGCCTGGTCGAAGCTGCCGCGAAGCGTTTTAGGGGTTTGAGGCCTGGCAAATGGCAGGCTTGAACGCCCGTAACAACAGATGGCTGTCGCTTGAGTGCTTGGTCGAAGCTGCCGCGCAAGGTTGTAGGCGTTTGAGGCCTGGCAAACGGCAGGCTTGAACAACAGAGGGCTGTGGCCTGAGTGCCTGGTCGAACAGAGGGCTGTGGCCTGAGTGCCTGATCGAAGCTGCCGCGCAGCGTTTTGACGTTTGAGGCCTGGCAAACAGCAGGCTTGAACGCCCTAAACAACAGACAGAGGGCTGTGGGCTGAGTGCCTTGTCGAACAGAGGGCTGTGGCCTGAGTGCCTGGTCGAAGCTGCCGCGCAGGGTTTTAGCGGCAGGCTTGAACGCCCTTAACAACAGAGGGCTGTGGCCTGAGTGCTTGGTCGAACAGAGGGCTGTGGCCTGAGTGCCTGGTCGAAGCTGCCGCGCACCGTTTTAGGCGTTTAAGGTTTGGCAAACGGCAGGCTTGAACCCCCTTAACAACGGACAGAGGGCTGTGGCCTGAGTGCCTGGTCGAACAGAGGGCTGTGGCCTGAGTGCCTGGTCGAAGCTGCCGAGGGGTTTGAGGCCTGGCAAACGGCAGGCTTGAACGCCCGCAACAACAGATGGCTGTCGCCTGAGTGCCTGGTCGAAGCTGCCGCGCAGGGTTGTAGGCGTTTGAGGCCTGGCAAACGGCAGGCTTGAACGCCCTTAACAACAGAGGGCTGTGGCCTGAGTGCCTGGTCGAACAGAGGGCTGTGGCCTGAGTGGCTGGTCGAAGCTGCCGCGCAGCGTTTTAGGCGTTTGAGGCCTGGCAAACAGCGGGCTGTGGCCTGAGCGCCTGGTCGACCAGAGGGCTGTGGCCTGAGTGCCTGGTCGACCAGAGGGCTGTGGCCTGAGTGCCTGGTCGAACAGAGGGCTGTGGCCTGAGTGCCTGGTCGAAGCTGCCGCGCAGCGTTTTAGGCGTTTGAGGCCTGGCAAACGGCAGGCTTGAACGCCCTTAACAACAGAGGGCTGTGGCCTGAGTGCCTGGTCGAAGCTGCGGCGAAGCGTTTTAGGGGTTTGAGGTCTGGCAAACGGCAGGCTTGAACGCCCTTAACAACAGAGGGCTGTGGCCTGAGTGCCTCGTCGAAGCTGCCGCCCTAAGAACAGAGGGCTATGCAGTGCAGGCAAAAGTTCCACACCTACGGTGGTCCCAGGCGCCGCCCCTGCCTTCGCGAAGGCCGGGGTCGGCGGATTTGAATCAATGTCAAATGCGAAAGATAAATAAATCATGACATCTAGTCTCTCGGAAGTCTTCTCATGGGTCATGAGCCGTTTCAAATTCTTCCACTATGGACACCATATATGCTGACAAAGCCCTGAACACACGACATTCAGCATCATTCAGCCAGCATCATTCAGCATCATTCAGCATCATTCAGCACATCAGCCAGCCTACAGCGTGAGCATGTGAAGCTAGTGAAGCTAGTGGCTATGCCACGGGGGATCCAGTCGCATTCGGCGACCCCCGGTGGCATTGGCTGTGACGCTGGACCGGGCTGCCCTGCGCAAACAGTCGCAAAAAAAGTTGGGAGCAGATCTGCTTCAGTTTGCTTCAGTTTATTGGATGATCTCAAGATGATAGTGGAAATATCATGAAAGATCTGATTAAAAGTTTCACGAAGTTTCGAAAACAGAAAGGATATGAACGGGTGCCACATTGCCACATTTTTGCATATGCAGAATTTTCTGAAATCCAAGGTCCTTGGACCCGCCCACGCTCATGGAGGCCGAAGCTTGCAAATTTCTGACCTGTCAAGGCTGTAAGATCTGTAAGGCTAGGCCGCTAGGCTGTACTAGGCGTAAGCGACTGAAGCGGCTTGAGCATCAGTTCAATGGCTCGACATGGCTTAAGGTGCCGCATTGTTGGCATTCAGCCAGCTACACCTCCAAGTGGCCCCACAGCTCAGTCGACCCAGTTGACCCAGTTGGCCCAGTTGGCACCACCGGTCTCAGAGTTTCTTCATGTTTTGTCAGTTTCTCTCAGTTTCTGGCTGTGTCGAATGTGTACTGCTTGCGCCACCACACATTAAGGCAGCTGGTGCACCATGCCTCAGAAAGTCCTGGCGAGGTGGGGAACTGGACCAAATTTCGCTCTGGAGCACTTGCAGTTGGTTGAGCAGTGTTGAGCACCACTATTGCAGGAACCGTCAGTACCTGTACTGTACTACCGAAGGTAGTAATTCTGCTTCTTTTCTCTGAATGGTTTTTTGTCTGAATTGAAACAATTGGAAAACAAAATACCGACGTGCCCAAAAATGATGCTTGCAATGTTTGCAGGTGTCCAGCATCATCAACGAAGTTTGCAGGCGATTCAATTTGTAGCTGCCGGTGAGCGACAAGAGATCTTTGTAAGAATCAGCATGGTCTGCAAAACCAGAAATGGCTTTGGTGAAAACAATATTGGCTTATACTGATACCGTATACTTTATGCTTGATCAAAATTCTCATCCAGCATTGCATTGGTGTGCTGATTTCAAGTCTGGTTTAATTCTAAGTTTAAGTCGAGTCCAAGCATTGTAAGACCAGCCCTGTGCCGTGGCACGCGCGGCACGCGTGGCACACTCACGGCAGGCGCCCCAGAGGCAAAAGCGCTCTCCGCAGCCGCCTGGGTCAACGTGCCTCTGCGCAATTGGCAGATGGGAGACAGCCCGGATCACCCGTTTTCGAGACCAGAAATCGTGAGATATCATGAAATATCATGAAATATGAAAAGATGGAAAGTGTTCACAAAGACACAGATGGAGTTCTCTGACGCACTGAGGAGTTGGAACACCTCGCTGAGAGTGGATGGCAACTCCCAAGAGCAAAAGAAGCTGAACAGGCAACCGTAATGAACCACTCAACCTGTAATGAACCTGCAATGATTGTAATTGACGTCAGATGCTGACCATGGAAACATCTCATGCATACAATTTGGATCCGTCTTGCCAGTTTGGCCTCTCCAGCCTCTTAGATAGGTTCTCAGTGTGTCCTTGCGAGGGAGCCTCACTTCAATACCTTCCGATCCCTTCCGTACCTCAAGATTTTTGGGCGCAGAGCCACCGTTTCAGTTTTCACGGTGGCCGTTTATGGAGCCCTTTGCTGAGCTGATAGCTTCCCCAAATGGCCATCAAAACATCGGTGGTCGTGTTGGGCACCGTGCACCTCCATCGCTAAAAGAACTGTGAGGACTTTGATGCGTTTGCAAGTGGACAGGGATGCTACTCTGCGGTACATGCTGCGATACATGGGAAGATGGCCCCTGGAACTAAACAAGTAAAACAGTAAAACGATCAAGTCAGGAATGCTCGTTGCAGCGTGCAGTTGACTCGCCCTCATCTTCCCACATGTGCTTTTCGCCGCCCAAACCACAGGTCAAGGTGGAGGACGTTGAGGACGTTTTGTATTTTGGTTTTATTCAAACTCATTCAATTCATTTCGATGCCGTCCAGCAGCAATGTTTTTATTTGATGCAGAGATTGCTTAGTTTGCTAATTTGACTGGAGATATATTTGCTTTGCTTTCAGTTTTGAACAGGTTTGACGTACATGTGGGTCAAAAACTTTTCACCCATTGCTGGGGTAGAAATTCGCACGCATCTGGCAAATAGTCGCAGCGTGTCTTGATGGAATATAAACTTGCGAACAAAACTGAACAAAATTCTCTGAGCATTTGGAACGAAAACCTGTGGAAAAGGGGGGGGCGGCGGAAACAGCATTGGAGTGAGCAACCTGTAATTTGTTGGCTTGCTTTTGATGGGCTTTCCCTGTGACAGTGTGAAATCTTTTCTGTTCAAGTGGGCGCCGTCAAGACATAGATTCCACTGCATGGTGATGTTGTTGTCCAGTCTTCATCTTTCAGTAGATAAATCACTGTTAGAACACCGAATTGTCAGTTATTTTTTGAATCAGGTTGGATGTAACCTTTTCAAAGGAAGATCCCAGCATTGGCCAGATTTCGCAGCAACTTTGACTGGATTTCATGGAGTCACAATATGGAGATCTTACTCCGGAGGACCGCGTTGAGGCGCGGATCAGACAGGGCTGGCCGGGCGGCCGGGCGGCCGGGCAACTTGTGTGTTTTCAATTCCGCAGAGATGCCACAATTCGTCGGCGTCGATGCATTTTGATGCATCTTGATGCCCCATGGCGACCATCTTTCCCTGCGTGAAGTGCACAGAAAGTTGTTAAGAACATGCCTGTTTCAAGATGTTTCAAGATGTTTCAAGATGTTTCAAGATGTTTCAAGATGTTTCAAGAACATTGTGGTCGAAAACGTGAGACAAGTGCATTGAAACCTCACTGGTCCGTCCCCGTCCCGTCTGCTGCGCAGTTCCCGGCCTTCCGGTCGCAGCAATGGATCAAAAGCGACTTTGTGAAGATCTCAGATGTGATATGATGTGCTCATGTTTTTTCGTTTCCTTCAGCATCCTTCAGCCGTCCACGCATTTGATCGCATTTGCATATCAACCTTGGCCAGTAGACTGGTGGCACATCGTGGAGTTCCTTAACTGATGGAAACGAGAAACCACCAATATACTTGAGTCATCTTGAGTCTACAGTGTACCTATTTCATCCTATTTCATCCTATTTCATCCTATTTCATCCTATTTCATCCTATTTCATCCTATTTCATCCTATTTCATCCTATTTCATCCTATTTCATCCTATTTCATCCTATTTCATCCATTCAGTGATTTCATTTTGTGAGGATAAGCTGCGCTGCCCAAGCGTCATGATGGAGGGAGTGGACTTGCAGCCCGCGTGAGGAAGCCCGAGCAGGAAAAAAAGTCGTGTGGCTTTGTGACACAATCTGAAACAAAGATCTGCGTAGGACTTCATACATTGAACATGCTTATGCTGATGCATCCTCACGAACTCCGAAACTCACTTTGAATGCGTTTTTTTCTGTCAAAATTCACAGGCATCAAAAAAAGGGTATAATTTAGAGCACGTATGAGTCTTGGGAACACAGGGACAACAGTATCAGTAAGAAGGTTCAGCATCTGGACCCACGTCCTCTATCTACACAACTTTGGCACAGCTGCAGAGCAAAAAGGCGAAGTTGTTTCTGCTCCGCCACTGCTCAACTGGCACAGAGGTTCATGACCAATTTCCCTTCTGTGAACTTATATCCCGAGAAGGCACGAACTCCAGAATGCCGGGGAACTGCCGGGGAACTGCCGGGGAACTGCCGGGGAACTGCAAGTAAAAGATAGTAAAAGCCTTAAAATATGGATGAACATGGATGAACATGGATGAACATGGATGAACATGGATGAACTTTCAATGACAATGAGGAGACATCGGAGACATGGCAAGAGGTATCTCAGATCTCTTTGTCGGTCACGAAAGTTTTGGCCCGATGAGTGGGGCCCAAATGAAGACTTTTTTGAAGCTTGAAGACGAAGCAATCTGGCCGGCTTGCACAGCAAAAACTGACGTCTAGAGATAGCTTCAGGAAAGAGACAAAACAGATTGAGACAAAACAGAGACATTTGAAACTGTGAAAGACAGTGAAAGACAGTGAAAGAGACCAGCATGGAGATTCATGAGCCGCTCCAGATGCAGTGTTTGACGTCCCTGAAATGTCGGCATGCATGTCGACTTGCATCTGCAAGTTCTTTAAATCAAGAGCACAGTCAACGGTAACCCGCCAGGTGAAACAAGTCCGCGAGCAAATCCGCTTTGCCCTCTTTCGTCAGGCGTGGAGGTAGACTTGACCCGAGCCATTCTGGCCCTTTCTGGGATCTTCGCAAGACCAATCATTCGGTCAATTTGTCGGTGCATTTCAGTGCCTAAAAAGTCAATCCAAAGCCCCAAAGTTGGGATGTGAATCATGTGAATTATGTGGCAATTCGGCCCAGCTGTGGGATGCTGGCAAAGGTCGCAGATCCCACAGTACTCCGCTGAGATTGAACCATGTGGAAAATAGAACACGGTGCAAACAAAGCTGATCATGTTCAATATATGTGTGTATATCTATATATATAGCAGTATATATATATTATATGTATAGCATATTTCAATATTCACAATTCATTTCAATCTGTGGAATCCACCGATCTGCATCCCAACATATCCCGAGGCCAAGAACAAAACAAACGATGTGACCACTGACATCCACCTGACATCCACCTGACATCCACCTGATAATCTGACATTTGGCAAGTTGCGCTGCCATGCCGTCACCCAACGGATCCTTATCTCCGAAAGGGCGAGGCCGGCACGGACAGGGCACGGACAGGGCACGGAGGGCACAGGGCGCGGTGATGCAGCGATTTCTCCTGGTGATCTCCGAGACGACTTCCGACGACGGGACAGGATAGGGATCACCGGCTCACCCACGGGGTCCCACCGGCCTTGTGGCCCTCACCAGTGCACCGCTTGAATCAGCAGATTTATCATATTCAGCTTAACCTATGACAGAGATTTACCTTTTTCCCGAATGCGTAGCAAGGGTTCCCGTTTCACTCTGGGGGTCTGGGGGTTGAGGGTGTGTTCGCTCGACGTTGCGTTTGTGGTCGCAACCGTCCGCAACCGTTCGCAACCGTTCGCAACCGTTCGCAACCGTTCGCAACCGTCCGTGCGAGGACCATATGGCCGTGCCTATGGGAAGTTCTGCAGAGGTGGTCATTTTTGGAGGTTTCAGACGTGTCGTTGCTTCGTTTCGCGTGGCAGGCGTGGCACTTCGTGACATTCAGACATGTTTTGCAACGTGTTGAAAATCGTTTTGCGTGGCAGGCGCAGTACTTTTGTGTCGTTTTCAGAAGATGTGTTGCAGTTTTCGTGGCAGGCGCAGCACTTTGGACGTGTCCAGCGTCATTTTTCGTGGCAGGCGCAGCACTTTAGACGCGTCCTGTGGCGTGTTTTTTGTAAATCGCATTGGCAGGGCTGCGTCAAGTGGTGACAAGGTGCAAATTCCGTGGCAGGCGTGGCATTTTCTGACATGTGCTGAAAATTGACGGAAGCCTCGCACGAAACATCGATTTTGAGGTTGCAAATTTTCAGGTTCTAAGGAAAACTCGTAGGAAAACGTCGATTTTGAAGCTACAAAGTCTGAAAATTGGAGGAAGTCTCGCACGAAATGCTCGTTTTGGTGCTCCCACCTGTCTCGTCTCGCGTCTCTGGTATTCCCGTGGCCTCGCCGTGTCTATGGGGGAAGCTGCAAAACTTGTCCTTTTGTCATGTTGCCAACTGTGAAAATTGGAGGAAGTCTCGTACGAAATGCTGTTTTTTCTGCATCCACGTGTCTTGTCGCGAGTCTCTCGTTTTCCTGTGGCGTCGCCGTGTCTATGGGGGAAGCCGCAAAACCTCTCCTTTTCGAATGTTTCCACGCAGCTTGTCATGTTGTTTTGCGTGGCAGACGTGGCACTTTGTGACATTCCAACCTAATTGATAACGTGTCGAAATTGTCAAAATTGGAGGATGTCTCGCACAAAATGCTCGTTTTTCTGCATCCACGCGTCTCGTCTCGAGTCGCTGGTTTTCCTGTGGCATCGCCGTGTCTATGCGGGAAGCTGCAAAACCTCTCTTTTTCGAAGGTTTCCAAGCCGGTTGTCATGTCGTTTTGCGTGGCAGGCGTGACACTTTGTGACATTCCAACCTGTTTGGTAACGTGTCGAAAATGTCAAAATTGGAGGATGTCTCGCACGAAATGCTCGTATTTCTACACCCACGTGTCTCGTCTCGAGTCGCTGGTTTTCCTGTGGCGTCGCCGTGTCTATAGGGGAAGCTCCGCACTCCACACTCTACACTTTACACTCCGCACTCCACAATTTACACTTTAGACTCCACACTGGACACTCTACACTTTACACTTTGCACTTTACCCTCCTCACTCCTCACTCGAGACTTTACACTCCACACTTTACACTCCACACTCCTCACTCTACACTTTACACTCCACACTTTACACTCTACACTCCACACTTGACATTTTACACTCCAGACTTTACACTCCTCACTCCACACTTTACACTCCACACTCCTCACTTTACACTCCACACTCCTCACTTTACACTCCACACTCCACACTTCTCACTTTACACTCCGCACTCCACACTCTACACTTTCCACTCCACACTCCACACTCCACACTTTACACTCCACATTCCACACTCCACAATTTACACTTTAGACTCCTGACTCGACACTCCACACTCTACACTTTCCACACTTTACACTTTGCACTTTACACTCCTCACCCGACACTTGAAACTCCACACTCCACACTTTACACTCCACACTCTACACTTTACACTCTACACTTTACACTCTACACTCCACACTTTACATTTTACACTCCACACTTTACACTTTACACTCCTCACTCCACACTTTACACTCCACTTTCCACACTCTACACTTTACACTCTACACTTTACACTCTACACTCCACACTCTACACTTTACACACTCCTCCTCACTCCACACTTCACACTCCACACTCCGCACTCTACACTCCACACTCAACACTCTACACTTTACACTCCGCACTCCACACTTTACACTCCACACTCCACACTTTACACTCCTCACTCCACACTTTACACTCCGCACTCCTCACTTTACACTCCACACTTCACACTCTACACTTTCCACCCCACACTCCACACTCCACACTTTACACTTTACACTCCACACTCCACACTCTACACTTTACACTCCACACGCTACACTCCACACTCCACACTGCAGACTGGTAACAGGGGAAATATGTACAAGACTGTTCAAATAAACTATTGCAGAAAAGTGTTCGGCGTGATTGCATATCCATGTGTTTTGACATCTGTTATACGTGTGAGCATTCGGGTTCGTGGGCTGCATCTTGTTTACATTTCAAGTTGATTTCAGTTGGGATTCCCAGTCTCGTGAGGCAGTGAAGTCAGCCAGGGGGCAGTCACAGACCGATTGAGCGAAGCGAGCTCGAGCCCAACGAATGGCAGGCACGGACACCGTCCAGTGTCTAAGATGTTTTCTAAGATGAAAACGCTCCGATGAAAATGTATGAAAAGATAAGATAAAATGTGATAAAATCTGATCGAAGCAGTTTGGGAGCATTTTCACCGGAGCATTTTCATTGGAATTGTTGTAGCATGCAATAGATTCGGCAGGGTAGTGTAGAGTCATAGGATGTCATAGAAAGTCATAGAAAGTTAGAAATGAGATTAATGAACTACGCGTACTGCAGGGTAGTGAACATGGCACTCCAGTTGATCCAGCTGGCCTTAGTAAACTTGCGCCGACCAAAACCCATTTGTGCAGGCGCAGCAGACGCGCGAGCCTTCACTCGACTCCTGTTTGCATCAATGAATGCCACAATATATGAACATGAAATTAAACAGCTGCACGATTTCATCATATGAGGCTCTTACCCTCACAATTTCAATGAAGCCTCGGTCCTTGTTACAGACACTGTGTCAAGAGAACCAATGGCACCAACGGTTGGCTCTGGTTGACGTAGTCACAAGCATTCAAGAGTCTTGAAAGTCTTGTGCCGGCTGACAGGGAAGTCAGCGCGAACAGAGTCTCTTCAGATCTAGGCAAGAGGGCTCAAGAGGGCCAAGACTCTTTGATTACATGCCAAACTCTACAGATTTCTGAAGGGCTTTGCAAGAGACCTACGACGTACCTACGATGTGAGATGGCTCCAGAATACTTGGACAACCTACCTGCACAACTTGAAACTCTATCAAAATGAAGACCTCTTCCATCCTCTTCCATGGAGAGCATGAATGTTTGGCATTTAAGGATTTTTGGTGTTCTTCCCATGTCATTTGCACTATTTTATTTTGATTTTAAATCTACATTCTTTGCTTCTCCTATTTGACCATCACGTGCCGTGACGTGCAGAATGCACCGTGTCGGACACTCTGGGAAAGTTTCAACCACCTTCAGGCCTGGTGCCAATCGAATCCATGTGATGTCAACTCAACAGACTCAACGGACTCTGTCATCATAAGATTGTGACGGTGTACTAACCCTGCTTGTTCACAAACGAGTGACGGCTTTGATGAGAGAATACATGAGAATACTAACGCCAAAATGTCTCAGTTCAAGCAGTCAATCAAAAATGTCAACATTGGGCATGCTAGAGCTCTTTGCCCAAACATTGGGAAACCATACTTCAATTGGAGGGAAGAAGCGGAAAGCAAACCCTGTGCCGTGTGGTTTTGGATGTTAAAGACTGTTGAAACTTTCAACTGACATTGATTTTCACACTTTTCTGCAACAGTTTGATGCGAATGCTGTGATTTCGACTGATGGTACTGGATGACCACTCTGCCACTGTGAACCTGATCACTAGACCGTCATTTGTTGAGACAGTAGACTCGTTATCCCAATGTCCTGATGAATTTGTTGATGAATGTCCTCAAAAGTTTGGTTTTCTTGAATGTGGTTGGATCAAATCTTGGCACAATTTTCATATTTAACTTGAAAATAATTGAATTCGGCGTTGTTTTCTCGCTTTTCTGTTTGCGTTTCTTGGCGGCAGAAAATGGCGACACAGCTAGCATCGCTGGCTCATCCATATGGGGAACAGAGCATACGCCGACGAAGAAGTATTCCATAGCGATCCTTGGCTGCGCAAATCCGAATCGATATGGAAAACGCCTGTGCAACGCTTCGGACATCTCAAATCTTGCCATAGCTTGCTTGATCTCTTCGTCTGCGAATCTGCTTGAGGTTTGGCGGAAGCAAATTGAGTGCCTTGGCAGAAGCCTATGATTTCATATGATTTACGTCTTAAATCGTGTTAGTACATGTTCGTGTGTTTATTTATATATATATATATATTTATACATTTATACATATATTTCGTGGCACTTGATGACTTGATGTTGACTTCCTCGCTCTGACTGAGATCTTGCCGAGACAGCTCCTGACGCAGATCTCGCCAGGGAGTCGTGGCTTTTTGTCCCCAAAGACAGATGGGTACAGGTGCCTTGGACGACAAGTCTGGCAGAGTCTGACAGCACATTTTTGGAGACATCACTTCCCATCATCTTTCTGCTGAGGCATGATCTCTTTTCACAAGGATTTTTTTGAGCATTTTTCAAATTTTGTCCTACTAGCAGTTTCATGTGCGAAGAGAACGCAGGATTTCAAACATGATCAACATATCCGTTGAACGTGGCTGGGTCAATATTTGTCTTTGACCCCCGCACTGAGTTTGAATACTTTTTGTTTTTTTTTTGAGTTCTTTGCTTGTAATCGCAAATGAGGTATGGGCGACTTTCATCCATGCCACGGTCATTTTCAGTGGATTCTTTGCTCCTTTGCGCTATGTCCCTTGACTAAAAGTCCCAACTTGGGTGCCGTCTCAAGGGCATCCAAGTTCCACCAACTTTTGCTGCGTTCCTCAGAATTTCATAGCAGCAAACCAGATGGCAATCGTTTCATCAAATGTTCTTTATTACACTTTCACTCGGTTATAAACTATTTTGGAAAAACTTGCGCAAGGAATCCCCGAAACGATTCTATTGACCCTGCAGGCACTCTTGGATTCACAGGCCGGTTGGGCGTACCTGGACGTACCTGGACGTACCTGGACGTACCTGGTAGCTTTCGAATGTCAAAACAAAGCGTGACGTATGTGCGATGTCTAGACAAATGGTTTTCCTATGTTTTCCTCACTTGCATTGGTTTGCAAGAAAAAGATCATACATGATGGTCCGATTCAAAAACGTTCGACATATCGCCATAGAAAACATAGAACTCAGTAGTTAATCGCTAATCGTGATCCGCTTCGCCAGGCTGTGGGTGCCCTGATTCTGGATTCTGTGCTAGACGCTTGCTCTCAGCTGACAAGCAGATGTAGACATGTTATGATAACGTATCTGCTTAGATGATAACATATTATGGCCTGTTCACACCAGGCTGTGGTGTTGGCTACCTTCCACCAATGGCCAAGCACATGTGCTCGAATAGGGCAATGGTTCAAGAAGTTGCGCTTGTTCTGTCAAGTCTTTCCAGTCCTGTTTCCATTTGAAAGATCTGTTCTCAGGATGTCATTTTCGCAATCGACATTCTTTTCACCTTCAACGTAACTGTTTGGACGCCGGGTGGCTACATGATTTCCAGGCGAAATCCGGTCGAGTCGTATCTCGAATCGGCTGATCATGTTCCCACAAAATCTCCACAGCCATGGATGGATCAAATCGATCCAAACAAGGAAGTCATACTTCACCAGGAAAGCAACATAAACTTCGCAGTTGAGCAGCAGATTTACACTGCGATCCCAAAATCTTTGAATGAACTGTGATTCGATTCACACTTTTTTACAGTTGTCCAAGTTGTCCGCTGTCCACTCTGACTTTGGCAAGGCTTGATATTGCCAAGAGATACTGGTGGAGTGGCAACTTGGCATATTTGGCATCGCTGCGGTGTTCGGGAAATGGCATGGACATGCACTGAATGATCTGAATGTGATCTGAATGTGATCTTTGTTTTTGATCAGATTGATCTTCAGATATCTTCAGGTCGTTTGTGTTTGGATATCCTGGCCACGGCGCCTGTGGATTTGATTGGTGAACTTGTGCGGGCACCCAGTAGGAACCTGCGTTGGCCCTTTTCTTGTCAGTTCCGATGTCACGTCGTAGTCACGTACATAAAATCATTTTAAATCGTCATAAATTGCCATAAATCGTCATAAATCGTCATGGTACAAATCGAGAAAACATCTCCCACTCCTTGGCACTCCGTGGCACTCCGTGAAGACCCAACCGCTTCATACAGCTCGATACAGCTTCAACAGCTGGTGCTTTTAGGCTGGTTTGCCCCCGTCGGTGACCAGCGCTTTAGGGCTCCTACGCCTTGTGAGGCTGGCACTGGAATTGCATGTGCCACGTGTCCTATATCTGGTAGAGTGTTGGCACAAAGTACACAATGGTGGACAGTATACACAAAGAACGGATCAACACGGATAAAAGCGGGTAGAATGTCAGGATTCAATAGGATTCACCTGTTCTGGCACCGGGACTGTTTGGCACTCTGCAACTCGAGGCTCTATAGACTCCTGGTGATGTTTAGGGAGATGCAGCAGAGCTTCTTGGAAGCATCGGCCTTCCTTGAGTCATTTCCAAGTGAAACGAAGAGATACACAGGAGACAAAGAATAAACATACGAAGAAAATAGAAGAACATAGAAGAACTATTGAGATTGTTTATTGATGTTTTTTGATGTTTATTGATGTTTATTGATGTTTATTGATGTTTATTGATGTTTATTGATGTTTATTGATGTTTATTGATGTTTATTGATGTTTATTGATGTGTATTGATGTTTACTGATGTGTATTGATGTGTATTGATGTTTATTGATGTTTATTGATGTTTATTGATGTTTATTGATGTTTATTGATGTTTATTGATGTTTATTGATGTTTATTGATGTTTCTTGATGTGATGTTTATTGATGTTTATTGATGTTTATTGATGTTTATTGATGTTTATTGATGTTTATTGATGTTTATTGATGTTTATTGATGTTTATTGATGTTTATTGATGTTTATTGATGTGTATTGATGTTTATTGATGTGTATTGATGTTTATTGATGTTTATTGAATGTTTATTGATGTTTATTGATGTTTATTGATGTTTTATTGATGTTTAATAATGTTTATTGATGTTTTTTTTGAATGTTTATTATGCTTATTGATGTTTATTGATGTTTATTGATGTTTATTGATGTCTATTGATGTTTATTGATGTTTATTGATGTTTATTGATGTTTATTGATGTTCATTGATGTCTATTGATGTCTATTGATGTCTATTGATGTCTATTGATGTTTATTGATGTTTATTGATGTTTATTGATGTTTATTAATGTTCATTGATGTCTATTGATGTCTATTGATGTCTATTGATGTCTATTGATGTCTATTGATGTCTATTGATGTTTATTGATGTTTATTGATGTTTATTGATGTTTATTGATGTTTATTGATGTTTGTTGATGTTTATTAATGATGTTTATTGATGTTTATTGATGTTTGTTGATGTTGATTGATGTTGATTGATGTTTATTGATGTCTATTGATGTTTATTGATGTTTATTGATGTTTATTGATGTTTATTGATGTTTATTGATGTTTTTTTATGTTTATTGATGTTTATTGATGTTTATTGATGTTTATTGATGTTTATTGATGTTTATTGATGTTTTGATGATTGATGTTTATTGATGTTTATTGATGTTTCTTGATGTTTATTGATGTTTATTGATGTTTATTGATGTTTATTGATGTTCATTGATGTCTATTGATGTCTATTGATGTCTATTGATGTCTATTGATGTTTATGTTTATTGATGTTTATTGATGTTTATTGATGTTTATTGATGTTTATTGATGTTTATTGATGTTTATTGATGTTTATTGATGTTTATTGATGTTTTTTGATGTTTTGATGTTGATGATGTTGATTGATGTTTATTGATGTTTATTGATGTTTATTGATGTTTATTGATGTTCATTGATGTCTATTGATGTCTATTGATGTCTATTGATGTCTATTGATGTCTATTGATGTTTATTGATGTTTATTGATGTTTATTGATGTTTATTGATGTTTATTGATGTTTATTGATGTTTATTGATGTTTTGATGTTTATTGATGTTTATTGATGTTTATTGATGTTTTAATGTTTTTTTTTAATGTTTATTGATGTTTATTGATGTTTATGTTATTGATGTTTATTGATGTTTATGTTCATTGATGTTTGATGTCTATTGATGTTTATTGATGTTTATTGATGTTTATTGATGTTTATTGATGATGTTTATTGATGTTTATTGATGTTTATTGATGTTTATGTTTATGTGATGTGATGTTTATTGATGTTTATTGATGTTTATTGTTGTTTTAATGTTTTTTTTTAATGTTTATTGATGTTTATTGATGTTTGTTGATGTTGATTGATGTTTATTGATGTTTTTTGATGTTCATTGATGTTTATTGATGTCTATTGATGTTTATTGATGTTTATTGATGTTTATTAATGTTTTAATGTTTTTTTTAAAAATATTTATTGAAGTTTATTGATGTTTATTGATGTTTATTGATGTTTATTGATGTGTACTGATGTTTCTTGATGTTTCTTGATGTTTATTGATGTTTATTGATGTTTATTGATGTTTGTTGATGTTTATTGAAACATGTGCTTCGAAACCAGCTACACGATTCAGAGATATTAATGAATCGAACCAACAGAGGTTGTAGGATGAACGGTGTGTCGGATCAGACTAGAACAAAGAGAACAAAGAGAAGAAACAAAAGCGGATGTGAGAGGTAAATGCAGCGCCCAGGCGCCCAGCTTGTGGAATTTGGGATCGGATCCATCGGATCCATCGGTTAGATCCAGTGTCAACGATGTCGCAATTTCAGGTCTTGAGGTCTTGACTGGACTCCAGTTGGGCTCGTCCAATTGCTGTGTTTGTCTCATTTGACTCCGAGGTGATAAGACGAACTTGATTGTCATCATGTTGGCGAAGTTTGTCACCTGCATTTTGCTGCTACCACCTCAGCCCGACCAATGTTTAACCACTGTTTAACCAATGTTTAACAACCTGAAATCACTTGAACATTTTTAACTCTCTGACTTTGAAACGACCCGGCTAGACCCGGTCTGTTCATGTCTGTTCCACATGAGGTCGACCCATCTCTCTGCCTGCCTCTTCTGGGGCCTTGCCCGGGATGATAGTTTTGGGGTTGGGGCGCCCAATGACGGGGCAGGATGAAGCAGATGAAGCAGATGAAGCAGTGCATAGCTGTTGGATTGCGGCACTTGGAAAATCAGAAGCATGTGCAGTCTCACTCAGTCTCACTGTAACGTTGTATAATGGATACCGTCATGGATAACTTAGTGTTGTTTTTTTCAGATTAGGATCCCAGACCTCCCAGCCACGACAGATTTCGGATGCAATCCATTTGGTGAGCTGATTGAAATTGATTGAAATCAGGAAACGACCTGGGTTGGACAAGGAGCTCCACTGCTGCCATCCCGACAATGGGTGGCACGTTGCTCGGCGAGTTTCTTAGGCCGCGGCCCTGTCATCCACGTGGATGGCTCCGTCACTTATTACTTAGTTATTACTTATCACTTGTTATTCTATATATTACTATATATTCCTGTTATTCTAGTTATCATTATAGTTATTGTAGTTATTACTATCATTGAATGATATTGAATGACAACAATGGACATTTTGTCCTTTCATGTGATATTTGCTCCATGTGTACTTCTCTACACAGTTATGCATGTAGCTGCATGATGCTGCATGTATAGTATACATGTACGAAACGAGTTGCGTGTTGTTCTATGCGAGGGCCCTGCCAGGGCCAGGACCCCATGAAAGATGGATAAGTTGGAAGGCACAGCTGAAAGGACCCATCGTTCAGTATGGTTCAGTATGGTTCAGTAAGGATCGTTAACTCCCAGTGTCGGACTGTGCCAAGGATACGTAACTTCCCTCTTTTGGGCTGTGGGCACCTTCAAAGCAGGGCCCGCTTCAGGCTGGGCAAAGTGAACAACATTGGAATCACTTGGAATCACAAGACATGTTTTGAAATGTTTTCAACATATTTCAACATATCAATGATATTCATGTTGTGTCACAATGATATGTAGTGATCTCCAAGTCGCCTGTGCTGATGCAGAATCCAACCAGTCCGAGCGGTCAAGTACGCTGCAGGTGATTTAGTTCCTACCAGCGACTCTGAAAAGATCCTGGCATGTGTCACCTGAACTGCATTTGGATCATTTGGCATATTTGGCATTTTCATGTATTTTCGGTCAAATTTCGCATTGGAAGCAACGCAACTTGATGCGTCCTGCAGATTCCTGCAGATTCCTGCAGATTCCTGCAGATTCCTGCAGATTCCTGCAGATTCCTGCAGATTCCTGCAGATTCCTGCAGAGTTGAATTCGGCTCCAGGCTGTGATGATGGCCAACATTTGCCTCCAGACCTACCTGGTGTCAAATCTGTCCGCTTTGTTGACGCGGGCAGATGTTGGTATTTATACGATGAGATTCCTGGCACGAAAACTTCATATACGAATCACAGTTTGACAGCATGAGGGGCTTCAACTAGCTTCAACATCAAAAAGTAGTAGTAATATTAGTAGTTCGTGGATGTTTTTGGTAGTAGTAGTCATTGCTTATATTGCTTGAACTATTCCAGAGCAATAGGCGGGGAGTTTGGCGAGTGTGCTTGAGAAGGTTGATCAAGAAACACACCGGAGAATTTGGTTGGAATACGGCAGTATGGCGGTGAAGTTTTTGCTTGGGGCCTTACTGATCTTACTGTGTTCGTCTCAGGAAAGGAGCTACGTCAACTCTCCATTTTTTCCAAGACCTTCGGTTTGCCGAAGCATGTGAAGGACGAAAATGGACGAAGCAATCCCACAGGGGCGAGACACGGCATAATGTTGGAGTTTTTTAGTGAAAACATACCTGACGAGTACTTCACTGAGCACTTCACTGAGTACTTCTCTGAGTACTTCACTGAGTTTAAAACCTGGGGTTTTCAGAACGCCGGATTCTGCAGCTGCCCAGCACCTGCACCCACTGCACCTCGCGGGGCATCGTTTCAGTGGGATTCAGCTGTCAGGAGCAATTGCAGAGCTACGTTCGCTTCAAGTTTTCCACGGATCAGGAGTGTCAGAATGGGCAGATGTGGAGCAGGTGACACTTCATTATTTCTGTTACAGCCACAGCCAGTGAACATCAGTGAACCAGATGGTGACCAGATATGACCAGATCCCTTAAGGATGACTGAATCCGGACTGAATCATGGCTACATCGGCTACATCATCACTGTATCCACTGCCATCCACCGCCCAAGGAGTTGGAGTCCAGCGTTATGTCAATGCTGCCAGAGCTGTATAGGCCAAGTTGCCATGCTATCGTCAATGCTGAATGGCTGCGCATCCATGCTGTGCTCTTTTGGACCCAGTCCCTTTCCCTTTGTTGAGCAAAAGGTCAACAGAAAGGACACTAGACATCACTGGACATCACTAGACACCACCAGGAATTGAGTGCAGCCGCCCAGGCAGCGAATCAGTTCTCTTCTCTACGCGAAGCTTGTAAGAGAAGTGGAGCTCTTCTCTGGTTGTGCGAAACGCTGCTTGCTTACTACTGACAAATCACAACTGTTCAGATGTTGGGGCTACACGTTGGCACCTTTGCCAGAAAGGAATTGCCAAGTCAAGTCTTAACTCCCAATATCTTCAATAGTCGACAGATGTCGACAGAACGGTGTATGTTACAAGTCATTCAAGGCACATCAGGGGATGTTGTTCATGTTGTTCATGTTGTCAGTAAATTTCATGTGAGGGACTAGGTTTCCGGTCCGAGGCTTTTTGTCCCAGCTGCACGGCAGCCTCACCTCCAATCTGCCCCTTGGAGTTGTGCTTAACGTCAAGATGCGTGGCTTTCCGTGCTTTAGTAGGCCAAGTATATATATATAATATAATAATACCCTCAAGTACGAGGTATCTAGAATGGGTACCCCTGGAGGGGTCGACCACAAGGTTCTAAAATCATCCCCTGGGATGATTGTAGAACTTTACCCCTTATGATTTTAGAACCCTATATGTTGTCACACATATATATATATACTATATATATATAATATATATATATATATAATCTATATATATATCTAATTATATATATATATAGATAGATAGATTTAATATATATATATATACCTTATTCAAAGCCAACCTTTGACATCTTCCCACATGTCCTCAAAGATCAGCCAACACTACATAGAGAAAAAACATCTCAGAACCTCTTGGATCAAGAAGATTATTTTTTTTAAATATATATTTTTTTGAGTGTTGGAAGTTCCCAACTTCAAACCCTTTCAAACCAAAGCACTCTCATGGCCCTTGCAGGTCTCATACACATAGCTTGGGGTCTCAGATCATATCTTCCCACATGTCCTCAAAGATCAGCCAACACTACATAGAGAAAAAACATCTCAGAACCTCTTGGGTCAAGAAGATTATTTTTTTTCAATATTCTTTTTTGAGTGTAACTTCCAACTTCAAACCCTTTCAAACCAAAGCACTCTCATGGCCCTTGCAGGTCTCATACACATAGCTTGGGGTCTCAGATCATATCTTCCCACATGTCCTCAAAGATCAGCCAACACTACATAGAGAAAAAAACATCTCAGAACCTCTTGGGTCAAGAAGATTATTTTTTGTTTTTAAATATATATTTTTTTGAGTGTTGGAAGTTCCCAACTTCAAACCCTTTCAAACCAAAGCACTCTCATGGCCCTTGCAGGTCTCATACACATAGCTTGGGGTCTCAGATCATATCTTCCCACATGTGCTCAAAGATCAGCCAACACTACATAGAGAACAAACATTTCAGAACCTCTTGGGTCAAGAAGATTATATTATTATTATTTTTTTTAAATATCCTTTTTTGAGTGTTGGAAGTTCCCAACTTCAAACCCTTTCAAACCAAAGCACTCTCATGGCCCTTGCAGGTCTCATACACATAGCTTGGGGTCTTAGATCATATCTTCCCACATGCCCTCAAAGATCAGCCAACACTACATAGAGAACACACATTTCAGAACCTCTTGGGTCAAGGATATTATTTTTTTAAAAACATATTTTTTTGCGTGTTGGAAGTTCCCAACTTCAAACCCTTTCAAACCAAAGCACTCACATGGCCCTTGCAAGTCTCATACACATAGCTTGGGGTCTTAGATCATATCTTCCTTCATGTCCTCAAAGATCAGCCAACACTACGTAGAGAAAAAACATCTCAGAACCTCTTGGGTCAAGAATATTATTATTATTTTTAATATATATTTTTTTGAGTGTTGGAAGTTCCCAACTTCAAACCCTTTCAAACCAAAGCACTCTCATGGCCCTTGCAGGTCTCATACACATAGCTTGGGGTCTCAGATCATATCTTCCCACATGTCCTCAAAGATGAGCCAACACTACATAGAGAAAAAAACATCTCAGAACCTCTTGGGTCAAGAATATTATTTTTTGTTTTTAAATATATATTTTTTTGAGTGTTGGAAGTTCCCAACTTCAAACCCTTTCAAACCAAAGCACTCTCATGGCCCTTGCAGGTCTCATACACATAGCTTGGGGTCTCAGATCATATCTTCCCACATGTCCTCAAAGATCAGCCAACACTACATAGAGAAAAAACATCTCAGAACCTCTTGGGTCAAGAATATTATTATTTTTTTTAATATATATTTTTTTGAGTGTTGGAAGTTCCCAACTTCAAACCCTTTCAAACCAAAGCACTCACATGGCCCTTGCAAGTCTCATACACATAGCTTGGGGTCTTAGGTCATATCTTCCTTCATGTCCTCAAAGATCAGCCAACACTACATAGAGAAAAAAACATCTCAGAACCTCTTGGGTCAAGAAGATTATTTTTTTAAAAAATATTTTTTTTTGAGTGTTGGAAGTTCCCAACTTCAAACCATTTCAAACCAAAGCACTCACATGGCCCTTGCAGGTCTCATACACATAGCTTGGGGTCTTAGACCATATCTTCCTTCATGTCCTCAAAGATCAGCCAACACTACATAGAGAAAAGAACATCTCAGAACCTCTTGGGTCAAGATTATTTTTTTAAAATATATTTTTTTTTGAGTGTTGGAAGTTCCCAACTTCAAACCATTTCAAACCAAAGCACTCACATGGCCCTTGCAGGTCTCATACACATAGCTTGGGGTCTTAGACGATATCTTCATTCTATTGCTAGGTTAAGACTTGATCTCAGAACCCCTGTTGCTAGGTCAAGATTTGATCTCAGACCCCCTAACGTACCACTTGTTTCAGGAGGTGCAAAGTTCTGATATCTAAGTGGTGGTTTTCTAAAAGAATATGATTTCAGATACCCCAAAAGGTTCTATAATGCTGTGTCCAGGGTCCCTGGCTCGTAGTTGAGGGTATATATAATATATATATACATATCAGAAGTATATATCCATTTCGAAGGGATGCATCTGCTCAGGTACATGGCTGGCCATCACTTGGTTCCTTGGCACTTCAGAGTTTGTTTTACAAGGCGTTGCATGGCGTTGCCTGGTTGACCCGTTTCGACCTGTTTTGTCCCGTTTCTCAAGGTCAGTGACTTATATAAACTGTACAATTAGATTGTGTCCTGGAGCTGCGAAGCTTTACTCGCAAGTGCAGACGTTTAAGACGTAGTGGAGACGTAGTGGAGACGTAGTGGAGACGTAGTGGAGACGTAGTGGAGACGTAGTGGAGACGTAGTTGAGACGTAGTTGAGACGTAGTGGAGACGTAGTGGAGACGTAGTGGAGACGTAGTGGAGACGTAGTGGAGACGTAGTTGAGACGTAGTGGAGACGTAGTGGAGACGTAGTGGAGACGTAGTGGAGACGTAGTGGAGACGTAGTGGAGACGTAGTGGAGACGTAGTGGAGACGTAGTTGAGACGTAGTGGAGACGTAGTGGAGACGTAGTGGAGACGTAGTGGAGACGTAGTGGAGACGTAGTGGAGACGTAGTGGAGACGTAGTGGAGACGTAGTGGAGACGTAGTGGAGACGTAGTGGAGACGTAGTTGAGACGTAGTGGAGACGTAGTGGAGACGTAGTGGAGACGTAGTGGAGACGTAGTGGAGACGTAGTGGAGACGTAGTTGAGACGTAGTGGAGACGTAGTGGAGACGTAGTGGAGACGTAGTGGAGACGTAGTGGAGACGTAGTGGAGACGTAGTGGAGACGTAGTGGAGACGTAGTTGAGACGTAGTGGAGACGTAGTGGAGACGTAGTGGAGACGTAGTTGAGACGTAGTGGAGACGTAGTGGAGACGTAGTGGAGACGTAGTGGAGACGTAGTTGAGACGTTTAAGAGACGTTTAAATACCCTCAACTACGAGCCAGGGACCCTGGACACAGCATTATAGAACCTTTTGGGGTATCTGAAATCATATTCTTTTAGAAAACCACCACTTAGATATCAGAACTTTGCACCTCCTGAAACAAGTGGTACGTTAGGGGGTCTAAGATCAAATCTTGACCTAGCAACAGGGGTTCTGAGATCAAGTCTTAACCTAGCAATAGAATGAAGATATGATCTAAGACCCCAAGCTATGTGTATGAGACTTGCAAGGGCCATGTGAGTGCTTTGGTTTGAAAGAGTTTGAAGTTGGGAACTTCCAACACTCAAATATATATATATATATATTTTTTAAAAAAATCTACTTCTTGACCCAAGAGGTTCTGAGATGTTTTTTCTCTATGTAGTGTTGGCTGATCTTTGAGGACATGTGGGAAGATATGATCTAAGACCCCAAGCTATGTGTATAAGACCTGCCCGGGCCATGTGAGTGCTTTGGTTTGAAAGGGTTTGAAGTTTGGAACTTCCAACACTCAAATATATATATATATATACTTAAAAAAATAATCTACTTCTTGACCCAAGAGGTTCTGAGATGTTTTTTCTCTATGTAGTGTTGGCTGTTCTTTGAGGACATGTGGGAAGATATGATCTAAGACCCCAAGCTATGTGTATGAGACCTGCAAGGGCCATGTGAGTGCTTCGGTTTGAAAGGGTTTGAAGTTGGGAACTTCCAACACTCAAAAAAAAATATATTTAAAAAAATAATAATCTTCTTGACCCAAGAGGTTCTGAGATGTTTTTTTTCTCTATGTAGTGTTGGCTGATCTTTGAGGACATGTGGGAAGATATGATCTAAGACCCCAAGCTATGTGTATCAGACCTGCAAGGGCCATGAGAGTGCTTTGGTTTGAAAGGGTTTGAAGTTGGGAACTTCCAACACTCAAAAAAGAATATAAAAAAATAATATAATCTTCTTGACCCAAGAGGTTCTGAAATGTTTTTTTTTCTCTATGTAGTGTTGGCTGATCTTTGAGCAGATGTGGGAAGATATGATCTGAGACCCCAAGCTATGTGTATAAGACCTGCCAGGGCCATGTGAGTGCTTTGGTTTGAAAGAGTTTGAAGTTGGGAACTTCCAACACTCATTTTTTTTTTTAAAATATATATATATATATCCTTGACCCAAGAGGTTCTGAAATGTTTGTTCTCTATGTAGTGTTGGCTGATCTTTGAGGACATGTGGGAAGATATGATCTAAGACCCCAAGCTATGTGTATGAGACTTGCAAGGGCCATGTGAGTGCTTTGGTTTGAAAGGGTTTGAAGTTTGGAACTTCCAACACTCAAATATATATATATATATAAATATAAATCTTCTTGACCCAAGAGGTTCTGAGATGTTTTTTCTCTATGTAGTGTTGGCTGATCTTTGAGGACATGTGGGAAGATATCAAAAGTCGGCTTTGAATAGGGTATATATACATATATATATAAATAAATCTATCTTTATATATATATATATATTTATATCTAACTATATATATATAATTATTTATATATATATGTATATGTGTGACAACATATAGGGTTCTAAAATCATAAGAGGTAAAGTTCTACAATCATCCCAGGGGATGATTTTAGAACCTTGTGGTCGACCCCTCCAGGGGTACCCATTCTAGATACCTCGTACTTGAGGGTATACGTTTAAGAGACGTTTAAGAGACAATTGGTCCAATTGCCCGCGGATTTCCCAGGTCTATGTGGATGAGTCCACTGCATATTTGTACATCATTTCTGAGGGTGAGGCAGGCCGAAGTTTGGAACGGCACTCCTACATGCCTGCGAGTTGAGACGGAAACCTTGACTCCCGAAATCTGGATCTCAGAAGCCACCCGATGTCATCCGATAGTCAGATAGTCAAACATAGTCAAACATCATCGAATATTACTATCATCTAATTCTACTACTACTACTATTAATATCTATTATCATTCCAGCAAGGCAGAAGAATCAACAAACATCGATTGCACAACTCCTTCAGAGCGGAAGTTTCTGCTGAAACCATGCAGCGGCCATGCAGGTGATGTTGTCAAGTCAGGGTGTCTCTGTAGAGACGCGGCGCAGCTTAGAGACGTTCTCAGAGTTTGCATTTCTCTGCATGGCCACCCAGCGTCCAGTGTGCTGGTTCCTTGGGAGATCCTCAAAATGACTCAACAACTCTAGAGAGATCTAGAGATTTTAGACTTTTTTAGACTATCTCTAGATATAGTCTCTATATGTCTCTATGCATTTCCTCAACTCAAAAGCTGGGATCCATGAATCATCATGAATCAAAACGCAGTGTAGAGAAAATTCACACATTTTCGCACCAAAGCGGAAGCAGATCTGTTGGGCAAAATGATAAGGTGAATTCTGTCCTCAGATCTTTCTTGTTCCAAAACATGCCAACTTGAGACATGCGGCGCAAGGCATCCTCTCCGTCCCAGGATTGCGTTTCTTTTTGAAGTTTTGAAGATTGTCTCAGCGATCTCCTATGATCTCCTCTCTAATTTCTAGGCACAGAGGGTTTGAACTTGCTACGAAACCTGATGTTTCCTGTTGTGTTTTCAGTTGGATGTTTTCATTTCTGCATCTCGTTTTCTCCACGTTTTCTCCATGTTTTGGCCCACCACGTCCTTTTTTGGTTGACTCTGCATCTGCAAAGCCCAGGCCGCTTGCCGGAGCCCTTTGATGTGAGCAGCAAGACTTTGTGCAGGATCTTGGCCTTGAATGGCACGGCACTCGGTGCTAGCGAAGATCGCTGATTCTTTGTTAAACTGTTAAACTTGTATAAACTTGTTCTTCTCACATCTTCTCTATCCAAATGTTCAGCCCTTAAATTTCTCTTTGCGGTAGAACAACTCTAATACTTACAGCATGTTGTGACTGTGCAAGGAAGGGTCGAGCCGAAATCCACAATCCAAAGCTTTTCACAAATCACTGCGGCATCCTACGGCATTTTCTCGTTCTGTTCTCAGTTTCTGCGTGGGAGTCTGCCATTGCAACGTTCCCCGCAGACGGAGTCCAGGCAGTCTGGCGTGGCGGGTTTCCATCACCAGGGAACCCGGAGGTCCCACGATGATATTAAGATATATTAAGTTACTAAGCCTGTTCGGAGCAAATCAGAGCTCCAGCCTAACCGGGCTAACCAATGCTAACCATATCTATCCATTATCCAATTCTATCCATATCCATAGCGCAACAATGCCATCTCCGACTCCACACCCTCCGAAAGCGCCGTGAGAGCTTGGGCAGGTGATGGAGAACCTGATCCGCATCTCAAAGCGACGCAGGTTCGAGTTCCCGAAGAACACCGTGGGCAGCAGGACAGACATTTGTCACATCTTGTCATATCTTGTTACATCTTGTCAACCTGGCATCCAAATCCTCATGCCTTTTACTTTTGCTTTACAGTCAGCAAAAAGATAAGCAAGTTAAAATAGTTAAACGAGCTGGCAAAACTGCTGCCATACTTTTCCTTCATCGGACCTGATCTGATTGGTTTCCAGATAGCTCCAGGTTTTTCCTCGCAGCAAACTGTCCAGCTCATACGTCCTGGAGATGTTCAAACCTGTTAGACACCGGAAGGCATAAACTTGGTTGTTCAGGAGATAAACTTATGACCTCAAACTCCAAGCCTGTCTCATGGCCTCCTGTGCTGCCCACCATGATGTCAAGCCGCAAAAGCTGTTCACGACCTTGAAACCAAGAAGTTGCCTGTAGCACGTCATAGCACGTCTATGTATGATATATGGGTATAGACAAACAAAAAAAATATCAAAGATATCAAAGAGTACTAACATGTTGCGTAATTCCAATTGGTTTGCACCGGCTTGCGACAGGATCTACAAGTCCATCATCAGAGATGCGCAGACACACATCGTCCACCGGAGGTGATGGTGAAAAAGGGGACATTGGATGACATTGGGACATTGCAGCGGTGCTATCAGCCAGCCCAGCCCAGCCCTTCCCTGGCAGGGACATGACCACTGCGGCCTTGTGTTTCGCATCGGCCAGCGGAGATGTGGCAGAGGCCAGACGTCCTCGAAATCAGGTTCTGTAGGCTTCAGAAAATGTAGATCTTCTGCCAAACTACTAACCAACTACTAGAAGCGAATGCCAGAAAAGACTGGGATTGCAAACTTCAGAAGTTGGAAGATCGCCCTGCTTGCCGAGAAAAACATGGCCGTAAATTCTAATTCATGACCTTTTTCACATTCTGATCTCCCCAATTTTCACTGATGTTTAAGGTGAGGAAGTTGGTGACTGGGCAAAGCCCCAACTGCTGCGACTATGACAGACGGACGCCGCTTCACGTGGCTGCGTCCAAAGGCACCAGCGAAATGGGACACACCAGAGAAGTGGGGTGAGAATTGGTGCGAGGACAGTATGATGAACATTGATTGACAATCTGTGTAAAGCAATTTGGTCGAGCACTCTCACAGGAAAAAATGTAACACAATCCTGGTCAGGTCAAGTGGATGTCATCAAGATTTTGCTAGCAACTTGGGTTGCAGACATGGCGGACTTGTGAAATTGCTGTGCTTTCGAAGTATCCAAGTTTTCTCCTCCAGTCAACTTCTTCCCGTGGCCAAACTCGTTTTTTCATGTTTTTTCGCGGGCAGAAGGATGCAAAATGCGGCAAACACTTACGCAACTTTCTGTTGACAATCCTTGTCCACTGGTTCACTCCACTGTAGGACGCCAAAGCGCAGTTCCTTGGCCAATGTTTCGGCGGCCGAACATGGCATGTTTCTCTTTGCGAAATGTTGGCCATTTTTTAGTCCAAGAGGTGAGGGAAGGTAAGGCCTGGGAGAAGCCTGGGACATCCTGGGACAAGCTTGGCAAGTCTGAGTTGTCTGAGGATCAATAGTATGGACAATTTTTCGCGTACACCTTTGATGGAAGCCTGTAACTTGGCAACAGGCAACATTCACCAGCTTGAACAAGTTGGGACCGAGTTGGGATCGATAGGGTCAGCTGGATATCCTGAAAAAACGAATCTCCGTGAATAGCGGAGCAGCATCGAATAGCCTTTGCCTTTCTTTGATGCTCATTGGATAAGTATGGATAAGTATGGATAAATGGATAAGAAACTTCTTCTCGGGAGGCTGGTCCTGCAGCGTAGAATGAATCAGGAATGGATGCGTTCTGACACTCAGATTTTGATACATTTTACATCCTTTCGCTCTTATTTTGGGCTTGCTTCAGTTGCGTTCGATGCATCGTTTTTCAGTTTACATCTCTGCTGCAAATGATTCTTCACCTTAGGTCGGCAGCGACAAATGGGTGCTGCACGAACGCTCCTTGGCTCAGGGATGTCCTGCATGTTCCGTCGCGCGTGCTTCCATGTTTCGTGGAACCGTTTTGTTTTTCTTTTGGGAGTCGTGGACACTGGAGCACATCGTCAGCCTCTGGGCTTGTCAGAATCTCTATCGATTTGGGTCGAGCAGTCTCCGTTTATTCGCAATAAGCTTTAGAGAAGAGATACTGTTACAAGAGATATATGATCTGACAATATCTGATGTGTGACCCACTGTTACCCTTGAACAAAAGACATGTGGCACTTGCGCATTGGATGGGAAACAAGGGGGACGGTCTTGCGCTAGGCTTCATGATGCTGGGGCTCAGCTGGGCTTTGGAGAAGACATGTCGCTGAAGGTGAGACACACGTTGACGCTTGGTGAAAGATGGTGAAAGATGGTGAAAGATGGTGAAAGATGGTGAAAGTGAGATGCAGACTCTGAAAACATGTGAAAACGTCATACAATGGGATGGACATGGACAACGAAACGCCCAAGTGCGGTGCAAAAAGTGCGATGCCGGGAAAGTCGTCGGCACAAAGCAAAAGGAACGAAAGGAACGAAAGGAACGAAAGGAACGAAAGGAACGAAAGGAACGAAAGGAACGAAAGGAACGAAAGGAACGAAAGGAACGATGCAAATCGATACAAGGTGCTGTCTGTCACGTGGCAGCGCCAAGGACAGGGGAATCTGATGACTCTGGTCAAGATGCGCAAAGCGAAGCAGACTCCAATGCACCGCAGGCTGGAATTGCCGTGTTTTGTGAGTTTTTGTCTGAAGCTGAACTTTGGTTGGTGGAAACCAGGTGAACAGAGCTTTTCGACCATATCATTGCATAGCACGCTGGATCAGGCTTCTGGACCAACAACATTTATTAATGTTAGTCCATCTAATTCAGTGATGTGCAACCCTGTCAAATTAACCCATGGATAAACTATGAAGTTTTGGATGATTTGGATGCACATTAAACGTAACTGAACCAGTCATAAGTAAAGCTGATCGAGGGCTAAACCATTGATCATTGATAGGATTTGATTGCTAGATACCCAAAGCATCTCAAACCATTGATCCTTTATTGGTTGAAACACGTTGAAACACGTTGAAACACGTTGAAACACGTTGAAACACGTTGAAACACGTTGAATTCGGATGAAATTTGACATTTTTCACAGGAAGTCTTCGACAAGTTCGCCGAAGCGGCGGAGCTCTGTGCTGCCGCAGCAGACCCGCAACAGCTGTGGTGCCTGGGACGACCAAAAGACAGCATTCGCTCTGCAGATCTGGCATGGATCTCATTGGATCTCATTGGATCTCTGGATTTTTCTTCATTATCTAGATATATAAAGAAGTAAACATATTCACATATGTAAACATATGTAAACATATGTAAACTCGCATAAACATATGTAAACATGTTTCGAAGAGAGTCCAAGAAAGTTCCTGAACATTAGCCAAGTTCCTTTTGGATTCCCTTTCCCGCTGACTTCTGGTCGATTCCAAGGTTTTTGACCAGTCTCTTGAAATTCCGCTGCTTGGCAAAGAAGTGCACCACTGTGCCAGCTGCAAAGAAATGTCCAACATAGAACTGGCCCCCATAGGAACCAATCGAGGCCAGAAAGCTTGGATGAAACAAATCAAATGTTGAACCAATTTGAACCGACTTCAACCAATCGAGCGAAGGGATGCAATTTTTTTGCAAGGGTCCAAATAATCTGCAGTCACCTGAGGAGCGGATGCCAATGCAGGACGGGACTTGAAACGCAACTCTGGTTGCAAACACCACGAAGGGAAGCACAGGTTCGAGGCAACTTTTTGTTAGTCGCAATTCTACCGAAATGGTAATGAGCCAAGAGCTTGCATTCTATTGTTTGATGCACGGATGCCAGTGTCCTGCAGGCAGAACCAGGAAGCTCCTTTTCAAACTTCAAGCATGGTAAAGCGTTTTGCACAAGTGCAGATTTAGAAATGACTTGGCCATTCGATCCATGAACCATCATAGCATGCATAGCATGCATAGCATGCATAGCATGCATAGCATGCATAGCATGCATCGTACAGATCAATACAGATTAATGCATTGCAGATCAATGCAGATCATACATCCTACTGGGAGGCTACTGAACGGGACCCATGGAAGACCCATGGGCCCATGGAAGATATGGAAGATGGACTGTTGAGTCTGTTGAGTCTGTTGAGTCTGATCTCATGGTGACAGCATGGTGACAGGAGATTATGACAGACGGACGCCGTTGCACTTGGCGTGTGCCTCTGGCAATCATGGCGCCGTCGAGGCCTTCGATTTGTACTCCGATAACACACAGCTCCGAGCTCCGTTGACTTCCGTTGTCCGTTTGAGTTCGTGGAAATCACTCGGAAATCACTTGGTGCTAGGATGATCTATGATGTGCTATGTTAGTTCTGCATAGATGTGTATAGTTGTGCCAGGTGCTTCTGCACGAGGATGTGATCAACATGGACTGTCCGGATCTCAGCCGCTGCAGAAGTTTTCACCAATCGATTCAGTTTCAGTAAGGGCCGGTGATCGTGATTCTAAAGTGATAAAGTGATTCTAGGAACAACATTGCTGAACCATGGTAACATATGGTAACCATGGTCTTGATTGACCTAGATTGACCAATCGATTGGTTTTGACATGTTTTGACATTGGTCAGGTCGGGACAATTTTGGGCGAACGCCCTTGATGGAGGCTCTGTTGACCTCGGGAGATCTTGGGATCACACCATGTCGCGGATCGATGGTCGTATGGTCGTATGATGTCGTATGATGTCGTACCTTGAACGTTTTCCATGGCAGAAACCTAGTAGGAACGTAGTAGGAACGTAGTAGGAACGTTTGGGTTCTGCTTTCATCTGCTTTCACTCAATGTTTTCTATCTTTGGGTGTAGAGGTATCTTGACATCCTACCATAGTACTTGGCTCAACATTCATCTTATGTAACAGATGTACCATAACTATCCATAACTTTACTCAGTTTCGATTTCAGATTTTGTTCTGATGCAGGCCGTCAGACATGGCAATGAGTGGGGACGCTCAGTGAATATTCGCTATATCGGACTTTCACAGCTGGGACTGTAGGGCATTATTTGATATTATTTGCACACCTTTGGGAATGCTGATGTGTTTCGGAGAGGTTTTGCTGGACTTTGGCTGTTGGCTTTCTGGCTTTCTGGGATATATAATACCTCTTGATTTGCTCGCGCATTGCACCTGATTCCTCCAGATGGGATGTTCTTAGATGTGGCACAAAAAGAATCAAAAAGACATCCACAGACTTTCAAAGACTTTCAACTTGAAACATATTTCAAACATTTTCAAACATTAAGCCATGGATTCTTTGGACATCCATGGAATCTATGGATCAAAGATGAAGCCCACATCCCACAGGAGTTGTGCTCGGAAGTTGATGCACCGCGGCGCCCATCACGGCTTCTGTGTGGACGGTGAGACTGTTCCTTGGCAGAATGCGTTTCATGAATTTCGTTTGTTTCTCGTCGTATTTCGTTTGTTTCTCGTGTTCGTCTTGAATTTCGTCTTTCCATGTCTTCAGCGAGAATTCCACGAAGTGAGGCTGAAAGGTGATCTTTCGTAGCCATTCATCACCTTTCTGACAATTCAAGCGACGGATCTTCCAAGTTTGATATTCCAAAGTTTCCAAAGTTTCCAGAGTTTCGTGTGTCAAGAAGTCGGTGTCGGCGTCGGTGAACTCGCCCATTTCTTGTGCGCCTTCAGGACGATGCCAATGCCACCCATGCGGGACAGGAGCTGTGTGGGACCGAGAAGTGACCTGCTTGGAGGTGTGCAATATTGAACTAACATGTGAATATATTATATAATTATATAATATTATATACATGTAATATATAATATTATATACATGTAATATACATAATAAATGTATGTGTATACATATATATATGATATATGATCATGATTATGAATATGTATGATTATGACTTCAGATTTATTGTTGTTTCATGTTGTTTCTTCTTGGATATTGATGGGACTTCTTTTTTCATTTGAATTGCCATGAAATCCTGAAATACACGACGAGATGACTTTGATGCCTGGACGTTGCTTGGCAGTTTGAATGTGAACCACATAGTCTGCCGTGTGTTTGAAATTTCTAAGGTGCCAGGCTGCTTTTTCGGGACAGAACAAGTACCTCAACAACTTGCAGCTCGGGCAAAGCTGCTAAAGTGTTGACACAGTTGACACAGCTCTCCCAAGTGTCAGGGTCACTGTTGAGCCTTATGGCTGTACATGCCCTGAGGATCTCCCTTTGCGGCCTCAGCCCAGACTGTGACCTGGCAGCATTCGATGCAGTTGGCTTGTGTGATGTGGGGTGGTGGTGTGTAGAGATCTGTCAGTGTTTCAGTACACATCAGATATACATCAGATTTTGTTTGAAGGTCATGAGACAATTTGTTTGCACACCTGGTTGAGCTGCTGGATACAGGACGATACAAGCGTTTTTCGGTGATCTACACAAGTGTCCGCCTATCACAACGACTAGCATTCATTGGTCTGTCAGGTGAGAACCCTATCACTAGATTCTAAAAACGATCTAGGGAGCTTCATCTTCAGTTTCAGCGAAGCGGTCCAGTGTAATGAGACTCACTGCAAATGCGTGGCACCAGGGTGATACCATCAGAATCGATGGACATCTCCACGAACACTTTGCTCCAGACTCTTAGAGTCAGACATGGTGCTATGACAGCCATGACAGCCATGTGATTCAAAGGCTGCGACTACGACAAGCGCACAGCACTGATGTTGGCGTGTGCAGAAGGCCGCCGGGAACTTCCCTCTTATGCATTGTTTGATTCTGCAAGAGTCTGGCAGATTCAAATGTTTCTTTCATGGCCAGGATAACATGAACCCAATTTTTCGCGACTGAGCGCATCGGAAAGTATTGAGACTGACTCCACAGAGGGAGGAAATACTCACCTGACCGACCTGACCGACCTGACCATTGCTGCGACCAGGCAACATGGATGCAGCGGTAACTCTGGTCCAGGTGGGAACACGCACTTTCAGAATCGAAGTCACCCGAGAGCGGACAACAAATATCAAAAAATGATTTTGTGAAGTTTTGGTAAATTCATTTTTTTGGCAAGAAAGCACTGCATGGAGTGTGCCGCTTCAAGAGACTTGCTGTTTGAGTCAAGCCGAGTCAATTTCTGAGAATTTCCTTGCCCGAGTTCTTGGAACTGGCACTGTCGAAGACCTGGGTACATCTCCAGTCGTCGCAGGTGCACGCAGATCCGTACCTCAAAGACCGTTGGGGTCACACGGCACTGATGGAGGCGCAGGGCTGTGGACACCCCCCAGAGTAAAGCCTCCCACAGCCTCCCATTTAACCATCCTACGAGTCTACATTTCCCTGCAAAAAAGCCTCTAGGAAGACCATGAAGACGGATGTGAAGGAGTCAAGATGCATGACCATCATGATACGTCTTGATACGTTGGCACCGAAGCAATGTACCTGACGCCTCTACATGCTCCAATCATGACATACAAGATGAGCTTGAGGCTTTCTTGGCAGAGAGCGAAGCTTAGGAAGCTGCGATATGCACAGCCAGTTGTTCTGTTTTAATGCTTACTGTAACTTACACAACCACAATTCAACGACCTATGGAGAACCTCGGCCTCGTTTTCCTCGTTTCAGTTGAGAACTATGGAGAACCGATGTGGCCGCGTGCATCAGCCGGAGCAAGTGACGAGTTTCTGCCACATTTTGCCACCAAATCCCTTGGAATCACTCGTGAGACACAGAAACTCCGGCAATATGTAAAAATCATGTGAAACATGTACAACATATCAAAATGTCAGGGACGGATATTGGCTTTCAGATAGGACCTTCCCAAATAGTGATATGTCAGGTTATGTCAAAAAAGGACATACTTTTTTTTTTCCTTGAGTGATACCCCAAATTTTGCCATACATCTTTTTTGTACAACTGTGGTAAGCGATGGGAGCTTCCCAAATTTGTTGATGTAGATCGCTCAAGTGTTGACTGTTTGCTTCTTCCTTTCGTTTCACTTAACTTCTCTGGAGGCCAAAGACAATGGGCACTATGATCTCGTGCAAGTCATGGAGCGCATTTGGAAATCTCATCAGAAGCAGCTTGGCTCAGCTTGGCTCAGCCTGGCTGGTGAGTCCTCGAAGTTGGCTGTTAAAACCTGCCGTAAATGGTACAAGAGCAGCAACAACAGACTGACAGCAAACATCAGAGATGGCAAAAGAGATAGCAAGGGAACAAAATGAACCAGGATGGAAACCTCCCTTTGCATTCTGATCTTTCAAGATCTTTCTGATCTTTCCTGATCTTTCAAGTTGATAAGTTGATATTGATGGAAGATGAAGGCTGACACTTTCGATAGCGGCATTTTGGGACGTCGCAGAGTGTTTCTCAAGGCGAAAGAAGGAGAAGGAGAAAGCCGAGAAAGACTTGTTCCCATGCTAAGCCGAGCCGAGGCCACGGGGGCCACGGGGGCCGGAAGCCGGATTAGTAGTACGGATGTAGGTCTCCAGTAAGTTTAATATCTGTACTACATATTGATGTGGTGGAGAGGAGGTAGACAGAGTAGACGCTGTACCTGCAAATCACTTGGACGAGTTGGACGAGTTGCTGACCGGCTTTATCCGGCTACTGTAGATAGACAGACAAGCAGGCAGACAGACAGGGCAGACAGACAGGTAGGTAGGTAGATTGATAATCTGAACATTTCAGCACCAAAACACACAGTTTTCCTGGTGTCAAGTTGCTTTCCTGGTGTCAAGTTGCTTGGTCGTTGATACAGCCCCAATTCACTAGTAGCATTTCCAGTTTCCGCCAAACAACACATTGTTTCCTAAGAAATCCTACAAGATGCCTAATGGACAACCATATTGTTTTCCCGAGTTTGGAGATTCTCCGATGTTACAACATGTTACAACATGTTACAACATGTTACAACATGTTACAACATGTTACAACATGTTACAACATGTTACAACATGTTATAATAGATTGTTTTCATGAAAGTGCATTACTATTGACATCTATTGACATTTATTGACCACTTGCGTCTGCGTCACGGCAACGCCGTGGCAAAACCCACCCATCACCCTGAGGTCATCCTTGGCAGCTGTCGATGAATCCGTAGAATCATTTTTGTGATATCAAATGTGAGGAATTCGGGAAGACATTGCGATAACAACAAAATTCAACAAGCGCAAAATGACAGCGATGAAATCAGAACATCCCAGGCAGGCACAGGCATTTCAGGCACTTCAGGCACAGGCTTAAGCCACGACTTGAAGCCTTGATCGCCTTGATCGCCTTGATCTCAAGACATGCGCCCCAATGGGGCGACCATCGTGTTTCACAAGGCTTGCAGCTCTCACTGAAGCTACAGTATATGTGGACATTGTGAATACTATGGGTATTATATTCATTTATTAATTGTGGTGTTCTTCTGTATTTTCTTATTGCCAGAGTTCCAGACACAAAATTGACTCGAAACTCATCAAAGTCTCCTGGAAGTCCATTGCAAGACATGGCGTTGCAATGGCGAGACCATGAAAATCTTTGATCATTTTGATCCCTTTGTTCCTTTTGATCCTTTTGATCATTACAATTTCGATCAATTTCGATCTTCGAAGTCGAGTTTCTGAGTTTCAGCTTGCGTCGGAGCTGTGGCCTCGAACTCCGCGAGGGGCACTCGCGATGCGCGCGATGCGCACCTGATGGGCGGATGTTGTTGGGGGGTGGAGCTCCACCAGCGATCATCTCAGATCCTATCAGACTGCAGAGGCTTTTGCGATGGAAAAACAGTGAAACACATGATGTACATGTTGAAAAACTGATAATATCATATAATATCATCATATATATATATATATATCATCATATATCATCTGGCATAGCAAGGATATGACATGATATGATATGTGGTTCACGGGGGAAATTGATGGAGCTATGAAATGTCAGAACATGGCATATTCTCCTCAGGCTCTAAAGTCAGAGTTCTGGGTCCTATTTTCCCAGAACGTTCTCAAACGGCCTGTTGGTTCAAAGGTCAAAGTTCATGAATTCCATATGATTCCACTATGATTCCACATTTCCATATGATTCCACTCATGATTCCCAGAAAAAAAAAATCTCAAAAGCCATTCTGATTCATTATAGGGAATTGGTGGCATGGGCGATCAGCTCCAGAGCGGAAGGTGAGTGGAGTGACTCGGAGTGACTCGGAGTGACCAACAGTTGACCAGTTTTCTATACTTCGAAGCACATTGAAATCTAATCTAAAACAATTCAAACGAGTCCTAAAATGAAATGCATATGAAATGCCACTCATGCCACGAGGCGCTCAAATTGTGTGAAGTTTAAACATGTTGAAACATGTTGAAACCAGCGTCTCTTCGGTTGCACCTCATCATCGCTTCCGCACCACCGATACACCGATACACCGAGCTCCGGTAGCCGCAGAGGTACCAATGGCTACCAATCGCAAGCGGATAGCATCACCAAACATATCCAGTTCCAAGATGTTCCAAGAAATGAACTCGTTAACAACATTCTGCAAGTGCCTGAAGTTGCCTATTCTCGATAGCATTCGCTTCGTCATGTGCACCGTTCGCTTCCTGCGGTTTTCGGATTGCACCAGAGGACTCATATGAGGTTGAATGGGTTATGTGTTGATGAGGGTGGAAGGATTGCTAGGAGACTCGCTTTGGTGAATTCGGTGGTTTTCAGAGTGATGAGGCACCGAAGTCCGCATGTCTTGCATCCACTTGCAACACATGTTTTCTACAGGTCCATGTTTACGATTTCAGGTTATTTCAGGTTTGTGTTTTATTTTTGATGCTTTGTCTGCCGCCAGTCACCTCCGGGTGACCCCACCCCCCAACCCATCGCCTCATGGCCTTGCCGAGCCTCTGAAAGAGATTTTTCGGCGAGGCCAAGACCCTCAACGGAGCTTGTCTCGAGGAGGATTTTAGACATTTGTCTAATCCAGCCGCTGCCGGTATTGGCTTGACGGCATCTTCCCTTCAACCCAAAACAGTCTGGCTGTTGTTCAATTCTAGTGACCTGAACCGGGAAATGTTTCTCATAGCGCATGTTGCGATTTTTTTTCGCGCTACGTCTCCCGCAACACAAAATCGCCAAAAAAGGATTGAACGCAGCTTGCAGCAAAGTCGACGCAAGGCATCATGCATAACACAACTTTCATACACATGTCAAAAGGACCAGGAAATGAGGAAAGTGATACTGATCCGAAACACTTTGTGGTCAAAGCTCACTGTATGATTTGAAAGGATGGCCAGACCAGGTACTACTCCGTCATCCCTTTCATGCAGAGACAGATGGGGCATAGTGGCTACAATCGAAGACTTGTTACCAAATTACAAGCTAAACAACGATAAATAATGCTAAATAGATCTCTGCCACGTACAGGCCCTCTTCAAAATACAGCCACCTGGCTGCAGTGTAGCTTGATGGCTTGGGCCTGAAAGTTGCAACGTTCCTGAAGCCTTGGAACTTGGAAGGTCGATTTGGAAGGCGTACTGCGTTGATCTGCGTTACATTAACATCTCATCCACAAACCACCAGATGTCTAAAATTGTACGCTGCAACCCTGACGTTGCTCCGCGTCTGACTTCAGGTGGCTATGAAGATAACCAACATATTGTTCATAAGGGGTGGCGAATTTTGATCCCTTGTGAAGATAAAGTTGATGTTATTACCCCAGCCAACATATTGTTCATAGCGGGTGGCGAATTTGAAGATAAAGTTGATGTTATTACCCCAACCAACATATTGTTACCAACATATTGTTCATAAGGGGTGGCGAATTTTGATCCCTTGTGAAGATAAAGTTGATGTTATTACCCCAGCCAACATATTGTTCATAGCGGGTGGCGAATTTGAAGATAAAGTTGATGTTATTACCCCAACCAACATATTGTTACCAACATATTGTTCATAAGGGGTGGCGAATTTTGATCCCTTGTGAAGATAAAGTTGATGTTATTACCCCAGCCAACATATTGTTCATAGCTGGTGGCGAATTTGAAGATAAAGTTGATGTTATTACCCCAACCAACATATTGTTACCAACATATTGTTCATAAGGGGTGGCGATTTTTGATCCCTTATGAAGATAAAGATGATGTTATTACCCCAGCTAACATATTGTTCATAGCGGGTGGCGAATTTGAAGATAAAGTTGATGTTATTACCCCAACCAACATATTGTTACCAACATATTGTTCATAAGGGGTGGCGATTTTTGATCCCTTATGAAGATAAAGATGATGTTATTACCCCAATCAACATATTGCTCATAGGGGGTGGCAAATTTTGACCCCTCATGAAGTTACAGGTGATGATTATGATGAAAATGATGATGATGATGATGATGATGATGATGATCATGATGATCATGATCATGACGATTGTAAGTGTGGAGCAACGTCCGGGTTGGGGCGAAATTGTATAAAATGGTAGAAAACCCCTAAAGGAGCCTCCCTCATAGCTGGTATTATCATGATCTCAGGAATGTGGAGGTGACCTATATGGATGAATGTTTGGAGGCTCAGGATACAAGCTTTGTCCGGAATGACATGCCGACTTGAGAAAGCAAGATGTTCCACGGTGATGAAAATTGATGAAATCTGCGTCCAAAGGCTGACTTTATTTTGTAAAGATGTCTTCGACGTGTTTCTTTACGAAATGCTGGACTGAATGTCTACATAAGTCGACATTTTATGACCATGTTTACACATGATTAATCAACATGACACTACAAGGCTCTGGCAGCTCTGGCAACTGTTCATGTGAGGTCGTGATACCAGGCTGGGGTCAACCGGGTCAACCGGGTCAACCGGGTGAACCGGGTCAACCGGCTGCCAGACATGGCGTGGGCCGTAAGGAAAGGACTTGCTAAACTTACCATTGTCCTTTGTCATCCGTCCAACTATGTCCAACTATGTCCAACTATGTCCAACTATGTCCAACTATGTCCAACTATGTCCAACTATGTCCAACTATGTCAGGGGTTGAAGTTACCTATTTCACCTTGACACGTTTCTTTCCCATCGAGCACCACCACAATAGCTCCAGCCAGGGTGCTACAGCGCATGGTTCAAGGACGTGGCTCGATCTCTGCAAGTGGCCTGGCCGATTTCCCATCCATCCTTTTCAGACGGTGCAAGGGTTGCATTCGCTGGATTCAAACTTATTCAAACTCCGGCCTTTATCAAAGAACCGCCCAACTTGTTTATCCTTTTTTGATCAAAAGAGGCAAGGATGAGGCAAGGTATACATTGAAGTAGGTTAAAGTTGAGCTCATAGCACCATTCCAAACTGATGGTTGAAATATGTTGAAATATGTTGAAGTTGCGGGTGATCTGAGGTCTCTTGGATCTTCGAAACCCCAAGGCCTGGTGGGCGAAGGGCGACGTGCAAAAAATTGGAAGTTCTTCAGTGAATGGGTCGCAGTCAGTTGGTTTTCTTATTGGATGTTATTGCATGCTTTTGACCATGTCAGAAAGACGTCCTGTAAGCAGAATCTGTCGCGACTTGGAGGATGTGGAGTTGATCCGTGACGAGCTCTGGACGATCGATCGATGTGGGCAAGGTGTGGCAGTCGATGGTGGGACCATGGTGGTCATGGTTTGTGGCCCATGGGTGAAACAGCCGGAAACGTTCTGGTCCTTGCAGACCTGCAGTAAAGCGTCAGTGTAGCTTGCAGGAGCACACTACGAGGTTCGCTTCTACAAAGAAGGCACATAGCTCTAGTGACATCTTTTGCATCTTGCTTGTTGTGTTTTCCTGGATTTTCTTAGTTTTTCTTCAGTTTCAGAGTGTTTGTTGTTTGTTCTTGTTGTTTCTCTACATTGTTTTTGCTCCATTTTGCTCCATTTTGCTCACATGTTGCATGCATTTTGCCGAATCCTAAACCGGAAGACTGGAAGGCGGAGATGGTTTCTCAGCCTTGGTCCTGCCACAGTCTTGGCGGGACAAGTGGAGAGCCTTGAGGCAACGAGACATGGAAGTGGTAGCACCAAAGTCTCGAGAGCAAACCTCTAAGTGAAATAAGGAGATATAAGGAGTATACGAAGTATATGGATGGAGTTTGAACATATGTAGTATGATTATAGATTATAGATATATGCCAGACTTTTTAACTTTTGAGAGACTGGTGCATGGGTTCTTTCTTGGTCTAAGGGTGCTCTGTTTCAGGTACTACTTCTCTGGCGAGTGATCTGACTGATCTGAGCCAAGAGAGCAGAAAAAGGTGCGGCGGGTCAGAGGCGGGTGTGGTGGTGGAAAAGTGGGTCACATTTTTTCGAATGCGGTGTTTTTGGCCCTCTAACCTTGACATGGGAATGACCACATTGTATACAGTAGGTTTGTATAGCATGTATAGCCGCCTTCCTATGTTACGTGCTGAATCGAGCATTCAAGCTGACCGATTGAGTCCTCCAGCAGTCCACATGCTTCTCCCACGGCGTCGCCGAAAGCTAGGTTCAAGGACATGGGTGCAACACAAACGCTAAGAGCCGAGAAACAAAGTTTCCATGGAGAACTATGCCCATTTGCCAAAGGCTTCATATGACATGTCCTTTACTTTGTGGAAAGATCGAGAGCTCCAGCAGTTGTCGAATGAGCTTGATGCAAATTGAGCTTGATGCAAATTGAGCTGTTGTTTCTCATCACTTTTAGCTTTTGAAATGTGTAGATTCGTCTGGCTGCGCTCTGGTGAACACAAGTACATCACTCTGTGAACATGAAGTCAAGTAAGACATCAAACGCGCATGTCAAGTATCAAGTTGAATCAAGTAAGACTAAGTAAGGCAAGACTGAGTGGCATCAGGCACCAGGGATACGTCATTTGCATGTGAATTTGCTGCGGAATGGCTCCCACAAAGGCCTTGAGCGTTTGCCGCTGAGTGTTCACCAGTTGCTGTCGATGTTTCGGTCAATTTCAGTCTCGAGTCGGCCTCGAGTCTCGAGGTGTTAGTCTGGAGTCTGAAGAGTCTGAAGAGTCTGAAGAGTCTGAAGAGTCTGAAGAGTCTGAAGAGTCTGAAGAGTCTGAAGAGTCTGAAGAGTCTGAAGAGTCTGAAGAGTCTGAAGTATCCCATTGTAATATTAATGACCTGTAATAACTCAAGTTTTTAAAGTTTCAGGACACGGAAGGACACGGAAGGACACGGGGCAAAGCGATTGAGCACTGAGGAGATCAAGCTCGAGGATATCGATTTCGAGTGCATTCAGGAGGGGTGCTTCACTGACTTCACTGGTACACAACTTACACAACTCTGCATGGTTTCGCGATGTTTTAACAGGTTTAACAGGTTTAACATGGTTTAACATGTCCTAATAGCTGCATGGTTTCACATGTTTTTGTGGTGATTCAACACGTTTCCTGACATGTTTATCATGTTTCAAGATGCCAGGAGTGTACAGATGCAAAAGTCCTGAAGCGCTACTTGAAATTGCTCGAGGACGATGGCCACCACCTCGGTGAATCGGTGACATGCCGACGGAGCCGACGGAGCCGATTCTTCCGATTCACAAATGATAGGAACAAGATGGAACAGGTGATTCAAGGTGATTCAAGGTGATTCATCTTCAAAATACAAACGACAAGAATAACATGAATAAAGCTAAGAATGAAGATGAATAAAGACACCAAGTAGCCTCTTGAATGATATCAACAGTCTACATTTCACCAATCTTGACTTTGCGACCTTCTTGTTCCTTTCCCGACTTCTCCCACTCCCATGCGTTGAGGTCTTCTCAGAGTGATTCTTTCAATGACCCGGTGTTTCTAACTGTGTTTGGAACCGTTTCCGAGTACCGTGAACGATTCCTGTGGATTTTCTTAGGGAACTACTTTGTGGATCTCATCCGAGCATGCAAAGACAAGCTGCTGGAGGCGCGTCACGATGTCGTTTTGTCGATCGTTTTGTCGATCGGCCCAGAATCCGGACGTCGGATTCTCGTCCCTCCAGGTCCCTTGTCACTGCCTCCCAGGTGGCGCCCAAGGAGTACTACCTGCTCTATCCGCGCTCGACGTTGCTGTCCTCAGATCCGATCAATCTATGGCCGTAAATTGTGCCAGATCCCCCAAAAACCGTATATTATCAATTATTATCAATTAAATTATATTATCATCTATTCATGATTATTCATGGCCTCCCTAGAGTTGACTCAAAGAAATCCATCCGAAATCATCAGGCTTTGGTGAATTGCCCAAATAATCGGCCTTTTAAAGATACCACAACAAGAGGGATAGGATGCCGTCTACTTCCAGAGACCCGCAGGCAAATGTTAAGAAAACCTGGATGCTATGCAAAGGCAAACTATGCAAACGTGCCACATCTGCAAGATTTACATCCCAAACTGCTACATGACAGTCATGACAGAAGGCCCGTTTTGGAGACGCCTTTGTATGCGCTGAAAGATTATTGGCCTCTTCGGGCCCAGGGAGGTCCTAGACAGGTGAGGATGACCAGCTTGTCACCACCGAAACGAACTTTCTGATATTTGCATTGACTTTGACCACTGGCTGTTTGGGTCCTAAATGTTAGACAGTCATGGCATTTCAAGGCCAACATGATGAACACGTCATGAAACGCTTGGCGATGCCACCAATGCCTCTCTTTCGATTCCCCGCCATGGCCGTGCTGCCATTCCTGGTGCTCGTGAGCGCTGTCGCATCTGTCACACCTGGCAGCTGTGGCGTTTCCAAGCCCCTCTTCAAGGCGAGACATGGCGAGACATGGCGAGACATGGCGAGACATGGCAAGCGCAGCACTGATCGATTTCTCTCCATGTTGCCATGCCAGGACAGCAGCATCAAAGTGGAGCCCATCGACACCCACAACTGGCTGCAGATAGGCTTTAGTGCCTTCGTTGAAATCTCGATGTTAGATGTTCACTCGATGTTCACATACCCCCAATTGGACAAACGCCCAGCCCTGTAGAGTACACTGCAATTCTGGGTTTTCTTTGGTCTTGCCTGAAAGCTGTTTGCTCAGGTGCTGTGATTGGATGGGTGGGCCATATGGGGTTTCTTGGTTCAAGAAAAGCAGGCCCGAGTTTGCGAAGTCAAGGGAAAGGATCTAGATTTGGTCTGCCATGCACATGCAATGTGTGATAAAATAGGGGCGCACACACACACACAATACACGCAATACACACGTACCTTTTCATCCACAGATATGCACATACATGTCTGCACATATACGTACCAATGCATGTCAGAGGCAGGGGCCAACCCTCCTCAGGTTCCCATTTATGCCGCCTGGACAGCACGCGACGAAACACCATGATGGACTTCGATGCTTGATGCCGTACTTGATGAACTGCAACTGGTCCAGAGATGTCCAGAGTCTACACAGTTTTGATGAGTTTTGCATTTTGCCATAGCTCTATGTCGATCTGCATCATTCATCATCATTCTACATCTCTATATCTATATAGAGATCATTCTGGATCTATAAATGTAGAGGCATGGATGAGTGTGAGCTTCATGTGGCTCCTCCAGCGAGTATTGGGTTGCGAGTGTAGGGCAGAACTCTTTGCATTGTCGAGTCTAGGAGGTGACCTAAAGTGGTGAAATCAGATGTTAAAGGATGACATTGCTTTGGAGGCACAAAACTTTTGCACAATCCTGGCCATGGTTCTCATTCTCCCTGTGTTGACTGAGGTACACACTGGCAGGAGAGTGACGAAGTCCGTGATCTTGTGTCGCACGGTCTCGTTTCTGTGAATTCTGAAAGACTATGTAAGACTGTAGGAGGAGTCCCTTCTTTGAGTGATGCAGAGTCTCGTGTGAGCTTTGAGTCTTCACTTCCAGTTCTCAGAATTTTTGTTCAGGAGCTTTCTGCTGGAAACCCGTGCCCAGAAGAATGTCCCTTCATTGCCCAAGTGACTCTTAGTGGCAGAGAGCCTGGTTGCCTGAGAGTTAGCCACAAGGCCAACGAGTTCAACGGTCCTTGAGTGTCACTCGCCGTGATTTTCAGGAAACCGTTCGCCTGCGCGTTTACCTGCGTCAATGTTGCTCGACAGCAGAAAAGAAGATGGTAACTAATGGCAACACATGTTTGAAACAGATCGTTCCTGACTTTCACACTTAGAACTTTTCGGATTAGTTCACGATATTCACGATCTGTTCGCCAATGGGAGCAAAACTGTTGAGATTTTTTGAACTGTCTGCGGCTGCGGATGACTCAGTTTCAGTTCAACTTCACAGATCCCAATGATTTCAGGTCACGCAGTGCCACTACACAGATCCCAACATGCCCTTTGCAAACCCCAGCAGTCAGCTTTGCGAGGACAGAAATGATGAGAAATGTAACTGGTGTCAAAACTCTGCACTAAAGACATCCAAACACCTCAAGAATAAAACATAGACCACTCATAGACCACTCAATGATCTCAAATTTTAAACCATGAAAAAAGACCATCGAACCTGGTGACGGCAGACTTGGCGTGTACAAAGACGTCAGGAGAGCAGCATCGAGGGCTGTGGAGTCCAGGAGCGTCTGAGATTCCAGGGCATTTCAAGATATTGTTAATTGATGTTAATTGATGTTAATTGTTATGTTATGTCATGTTATGTTGTGTTGCTGGTTATTTCTTGTTGTTTGTATGTATTTATTTCATCAATCATAAATCAGGCCTTTCCGACTTTTGCCTTTTGAATCCTTTTGATATACCAGATGACATGTCCGTGTCTCCTTGGCCATGGAACGACAGATTTCGAATTGACACAGTTCACATGATGATCGAACAGTATCCTTGTGAACCTGTTGTGGCAAGCATTGTCACCACGTTCTTGCATGGACAGCAAGGTGATCGCATCCATCAAATGGCATATTCTCTTCCACGTTGGCTTTGCACTCAAGATCTTATTGATCTCCTTCAGATCAACCATCTTTGTGATGTGCATCGTTGCACCGCTATGGCAGGCATCCAACACTTCGAGAAGTACATTCGGCATGATGTGTATACGGCTATCAGTATTGAAGTTCACATTCAGCCGCCACAATGTCATGGTCATTCACAAGCTGCCAGTGCTACTGATCCCTTCATTCAGCGCCCTGAGGAGCGTGATGATGTCAGCAACTTTCTTCAACTTTCGAGGAGTCAAGAGCTGCCTCCTGGAATGCAGGTTGAAGGTGCACGTGCATCGTCTATGCCTGGTACCACACATTTTGGTAGTGCAGTGAAGGTGCCTCTTGCACATGGCAGCTCTCATGATGAACAGGTGCTCCCCTTGAGGCATTGGGCTCCCCTGAAGTCCTTTGAACCCATTGGGCCCTGCTCTTTACAACCAGTCGACAAAGTTGATGATGATTACCAGCAAGCTCAACAAGAAATGCAACATATTGCGCGACAACGAGATCATTTTCCTCGTCTTCCTCACGGACAACCGCCATTGATTCAGGAATTGCATCGGTTTCTACAGCAACAAGCTCTGATGTGGCAGGAACATCCCCCGGAGACCTTAGCTATTGCTGTTTGGTATGCTGATCATGACCGTCGACCTCATAGTGGACTAAGCCGTGAAGTTCGACTGACAGGAGACGTTGCTCAATGGTATCATGATATTATCATGGTTTGGGACGATTGGATTGATCCATTTGCCTCGCTGATTGAGGTCATCGTGCATCCTACGCCCCTCGATGGACAAGCTGATGTATTTGCCCATTTGATTTTGGTGCAACATGCTCAACCTATTCGCTGCTCCATCGTGGTCGCCATTTTCGATTCTCATGATGATCCATGGCATCCGCGATTGCTTTGTCTCACAGTCCCTTGCTTCTTGTCTCATGACATTCTTTGTGGCTATGTGGATTTGGATGGTACCTGTAGAGGCGCTCGTGCGGCTGACTGTCGTACTCTTCTTGGAGACCGTGATCTCACTCATGTACTTCAATTTGAGGCAGCGCATGGCATGCATTTGGCCTTTCATATTCATCATCCTGCCACTACCCTGTCGGGTGCGATTGCAATGGATTCTCTCTCCCATGCAGCAGTTGAGGATACACATGATGACTTCAGTCTGCTCCAACAGGTGAATACTAAAAAGACCATCAAGCTGGCTGAATGTATTCCACCATCGAGATTCACGCTGGTTGATTGTCAGCGTGTTCTTTTTCTTCGAGCACAGTTTGATTTGGAGCAGCCTTTTCAGTCGGACACTGATATGCATCAGGTTTGGTGGCATGAGTCTACATGGTACTCTTTGGCCTCTGTTCCTATGTGGCAGCACGAGCGTGTCACGGGCTTGTCCTTCTACACAGATGGATCTGCTTGGCGATCTTCAGGTAAGGCTGCAGCCGGTGTATTTCTTCTTGTTCACACGGAAGACGGCCTCAGATGTGGCGGGTTTCTTACTACCCAATGCCTTGGGCAACCTACAGCACCACGGGCTGAGGCCACGGCCTTGATTTTAGCTGCATTGTGGATGCGTCAACTGGTTCGTTGTCATGCTGCTGATGTATCATGGTTGGAGATTGCATTTGATTGTGAACACACAGCCAACATCGCCCAAGGACTCCAGATGGCGCATTGCAATTCTGACCTCTCCGTGACCTTGAGATCACTCATTCAATGGATCGACATCTTATTGCCGACGCCAATCACTTGGACTCACCATCGCAGTCATCAAGGTGATCCATGGAATGAAGCGGCGGATTCCATTTGCCGCCATGCGCTTCAGTATGATGCGTATACCATTGATCTTGCTGCCTGGTTTGATACATGTACCTTTCAAGGACAAGATCTTTGCTCCATTCAATGGTTATGGCTTCTGGAGAAATCATTGCGTCATCATGCGGACGCTCCTTCCTTGGTTGGCACGCAATGGCAATTTGACGTTGCAGCTCCCTTCTCGACATCACCATCTGCTTGTCGTCACCCAGCGGTCCTGCGACGTTGCCACATTGATGATTCAGGTCCTGATCACTTTGTCCTTCCATTGAATGTTGCGACTGCTAATGTCCTCACGCTCTTTCCTGGTCAAGATTTTGCTGCGTCCTTTTTCAGTGCAAGAGCTAAATGTCTGGCTGCACAATTTCTTCAAAAAGGGCTGCACGTGGTTGGCATTCAGGAGACCAGATCGAGGGCTACTGGACATTCCTTCTTTGAGGAGTTTCATGTGCTTTCAGGGCCTGCGACGAAGCGAGGGCATGGCGGAGTTCAGCTTTGGATACGGAAGAAGATCTCCATTGACTCGGATTGCATTGAGGTGAGTGCCTCTGACTTACGTATTCTTCATGGTACTTCCCAACGATTGGTGGTTCGGTGGGCTTACCCAGGTTGTCGGCTTCTCTTTGTTGTCGTTCATGCTCCTACAGAGGATGATGAGGACGTCCTGCAGGCCTTCTGGGATGCCACTACCGAAGCCATCCCACTGGCATATCGACAATGGCAAACCATAGTTTTGGCAGATGCAAACAGCCGTCTTGGCAGCAACACATCTTCAGCAGTTGGCGATCATCAGGCTGATGATGAGAATGCCAAAGGAGCCTGCTTTCATGGTTGGCTTCTCAACCACAACTTGTTTGTTCCTCAAACCTTTGCCACTTGCCACAAAGGCTCCGGAGGAACATGGACCCACCCGAAGGGCACCACGGCGCGCATTGACTTCATTGCCATATCCTCCAGCGTACAGATCGACCAGGTGACCACTTGGGTCAGTTCGGATGTGGACCTGGCACTTCATCGCAAAGATCATGAATGCGTTTGTGCTGCTATTGGGCTACAATATTATCCTGCTGATCGACGTCCCCGCGACAAGCGTGTAAGGGTGGATTTTGACCTTTCCTTTGATACTGTTTGGTCTATGGATGTGCACACCCACGCTGCTCAGCTTCAGCATTGGATTCGACAACACAATCCTACCACACGCCATTGGCGCAAACGTCATCTGACTGAGAGCACCCGGCAACTTGTCGAAGCCAAGCGGTATCATTGGAAACGATGCATGGAGGTTCGTCGTCATGTCCGTTTTGGCTGGATGAGACTCATCTTTGAGGTATGGAGACGACCGCAGATTTTGTGCTCTTCCCTCTCTGCATGGGTCAAACAATGTGATCACACTGAGGCATGGCACAGATGGGCGTTTAACGACCTCGCCCCTCGTGTAGTGCAAGCCGTCCGAGCTGACGACCAAGACTTTTATGACAAGTTAGCGGCGGACACAGGGATTGAATCCTCGAAGGGTTGTCGTCAGATGTGGAGGGCTGTCCAACACGCACTTCCTAAGTGGAGGTCCAAGAGGCGCTCCAATCTTAGGTGCGCAGGCCCCTCCTTGGAGGCACAATTTCAACATTACGATGCATTGGAAGCTGGCCATGGTGTCACATACGAAAGCCTACTGGCCCAGTGCCATGAGGCGCAACGGGAAGATGCTGAAGATATTCCTTTGACAATGTCCTTGAACAGCCTGCCATCCCGGCTGCACATTGAGTCTTTGGGATGTCGCATTTCCACCAACAAAGCCCCCGGCATTGATCGTGTCGCACCGCTGGCTCTTCAACAGGTGTGTCAGACCCATTCAGATGTTTTACATCAATTTTTGATGAAGGTGTGGATTCTTGGTGCGGAACCTTTGCAAGGCAAGGGAGGATTGCTTCACCCCATTGCGAAAAAGGAGGCCAGTCAGCGCATTGATGGGATGAGAGGAATCATGTTGATTGACGGCATTGGCAAGTTGATCCACTCGCACCTTCGTGGACAATTCTTACCAGCCCTCGAAGTCATGCGCATGCCGCTTCAGCTTGGGGGATTTGCACGTAGCTCCACCCTCTTTGCCACTATGTATGTGCGCACCTTTACCCAGATGGCCGCTAGGAGATCACTATCCTCGGCTATTCTTTTCGTGGATATCAAGAGTGCCTTCCACTCCATGGTCCGCCAGCTGATTTTTGGTGGAGCTCCTTTGCGCCCGAAGTTGACACAGATCCTTGAGCAACATGGCCTGGATTTGATTGCACTTCAGTCAAAGTCGACCACCCTCCACCCATTGACACTTTGCCGCTAGCACAGCCAGCAGCGCGACTTCTACGAGATGGTCATCGGTTTACCTGGTATACACTTGGGGCTTCAGAAGCTATTCATCAAACCGAGAGAGGGAGTCGCCCTGGTAGTCCTCTTGCAGATGTGGCCTTCAATAGCCTCATGGCGCTTGTCCTTCAGGAACTCCAAATCCGATTGGATCAGCATGGGCCACTTCAGGATGCCTTTCAATTGCTTGGGCTCCGGGCATCTCCAGTGGCATGGGTGGATGATCTGGCAGTGCCGGTTGTTGCCTCACATGCGTCAGCGCTTACACCCATTATCCAATGGACATTGCAAGCGTTGATTGATGTGTGCTCGTCGTTTGGACTCCAGCTGAACTTGCAGCCGCGCAAAACTGAAGTCGTGCTCACATTCCGGGGCGCTGATGCTCCTGCTCACCGGCAGGAATGCCTTCGTGATCATTTTGCCAGAATCTCAATTCCTCACACAGAGCAGATGGTTCGTTGCGTGCCTCTTTATGAGCATCTTGGCACTATGTTTCAAGGTGATGGTGGTATCGAGGCTGAACTTCGACATCGAACTCATAAAGCCCGCCTTGCGCACAATCAGATCCGGCGTGGGATTTTGTGCAACCGTCATATCACGGTGAACGTTCGTTTGCGCTTGATGGAGGCACTTATTATGCCCATCCTGTTTCATGGTGCTGGAAATTGGCCACTTCTTGGCGCTTTACAGGTTCAACGGCTCCATGGTGTTTATCTCAAATGGATCCGATCCGTGCTGGGGAATGGATATTGGGCGCCTGGGCAGCTGACCGATGTGCAAATTCTTCTGCAGTGGCGGCTACCTTCAATTTCACTACGCTTGGCCAAACATAGGCTCTTGTTTGCCTTCCATCTCTTTGCTGATGCACCGCACTTGGTTGTCGAGGTGGCTACAGCGGTTGCGGACACTCCTCGATCTTGGTTTCAGGCTCTTCGACAAGCAATGGCGTGGGCTGTTTCAGTTGATGCATCCTTTGTCGTTGATGACCCGTTGACCATGTCCGTCGATGCTATTGTGCAATGGTTTCATGATCATAAACACGATGGTCCTCGTTGGGTTCGACGTCTCTTTCGGCGTGCTCTTCTCCAAGGATCCGTCATTGGTGAGGCTCTTGCAGGACATCATGCATTACGACAACAGTTTGAATATGGTGGTGCTTCCTTTGCCAATGACATGGTGCTGCGCCCCTCCGTTGATAAGTCATTCGAATGTCAATGGTGTGCCAAAACTTTTGCAACACCACGACAATGGCAAGCCCACTTATGGAGTGCGCATGGTGAACCAAGCGATGAACGCCGTTACATGACCACCACGACCTGCCCAGCATGTTGGACGTGTTGTTGGACAAGCAATCGGCTTCAAATCCATCTTCACCATAGTCGTCGGCATCCTGGTGGTTGTTACGAACGTCTTACTTGGATGCACGAACCTCTTGAGCACATCATGCCCATCGACGAAATGGATAGAGATGAGCGCCATCTACGTTTTCCTGCTGCGGTTATTCCTCACGTGTTGACGGAGTCGGAAACACATTGCTGCACTCGTGAGGATGCAAATCGCAGATGGGAACAGGCATGCAGGGTTGAAAATTTTTATCCCCCTGTTAATGATGAAAGGGTTGAGGATTTTAAGATGGCGTTTGATGCAGTGCTTCGCGACCCTTCCTTGCACAGCGCTCACGATCCTGACGGAGTTCTATGGCGCCTCTCTTGCATTGCTGGTGAAGGTGATGAAGATCCGTTGACTGGGGGTCATGGTTCGTGGGCTCTTGCGCTTTGGCTCATGGATGATGTGCGATTTTCTCGTTTCTCACAGATGGATGTCCTTTTCTTTGGGCGATGCCTCCGGGCCATTCGACAGATGGTGCAGCACTCACCGATTGGACGACTGGCATGCTGGCAACGGCGTATGAATGATGCTCTTTTGCCAGTACGAGAAGAGGACCCCGTGGTGGAGGCTGAGCCGAGCAGCATCGTGATGGAGCTTATTCTTGATCCGGTCCGTGCTCAACATGCCTTGCTACAGCCTTTGCTCCAACCTATGGTGCAGGTCCCATCCTGTCGTGGCATCCCCATTGATGCCGCTGGTGAGACACCCGTTCTTTGGGTACTACATCTTTTTAGTGGTCGACGGCGCATTGGAGACTGCCACTGGTGGTTGGAACACATTGGTCGGCATTTGTGGCCTGGGGTCATCATTCGGATGGTGTCTCTCGACACCGCAGTGCACCCCGAGCTGGGCAACCTTGCCACTGGGCCAAACTTGGCCAGAGCCCGACGCCTTGCTGAGCGAGGCCTCATTGCAGGGGTCTTGACTGGACCCCCTTGCGAAACCTGGTCTGCGGCCAGGCATATCGAACTTGATGATGGCAAGGGTCCCAGACCTGTTAGATCTGCCACTTTTCCATGGAGTTTGACCTCGCGCACAGGGAAGGAGATGGTTCAGACTTCTATGGGTACGCAGTTGCTCACCAACTCTTGGACCATTGAGGCTGCAGCAGTGACTCTTGGTGCGGGAGCCATCATGGAGCATCCATGGGAAGCTGACCAGGATGATCGAGCATCGGTCTGGCGCACTGATGCTCATCAGCAATGGCTGATGAAGCTCCCTGGAGCCTACCGCCACTACATCCAACAGTACCTCTTTGGCTCCAAGGGCGTGAAGCCTACCTGTCTGCGTGCACTCAATTTGGGCGATCCTGGCATCATGGACAAGGTCATCAAGGAGGGCATGGAGTTGTGGCGCCCACGTCCGACCTTGCAGCTTGCTGGACGAAGTGAGAGTGGAACCTTTCGCACGGCTGCTGCGAAGGAATATCCTTCTGCTTTGTGCCGTACATTAGTGGTAGCACTGATTCAGGGCCTGAAAAGCAGAGCCAGCACAGAGGGGTTTAACCCCGCAGCCACCTGTCGGAAGGCCGACTTGGTTTGGCTCCGGGACGCCTGGAGGGCTTCCGATGTTTACACCCGTCAGTCTTTCCTTCCAGACTTTCAGGGTGCTTGATCCAATATGGGTCTGAATTCAACCGCGAGACCGAGCGAGGATAGACCTCTTGTCGGCAGAATGGAAAAAAAAGATATACCAAAAGAAAGAGTTAAAAAAAACACATCTGCCAAATTTCACCAAATGGCAAGCTGTGACACAAGCAAATGTCGCTGCAGGCACAAGCGGGTCAATGCGAGAGGTGTCGCAAGCACTTCGCCATGGATGGGGCGTTTCGGCTTGCATATAACATCATATAGCACATATTGAAACATAGTAGAAACATACTGACAACCAGTGGAGGTTGTTTCGTTTAGTTAAGAATTGCATCAAAATGAGGAACTAGAGTCTGAGACTACAGCAGACAACTTAAACAGCAGATGAGTTTTCTATGGCATGGTGAACATTTCTAAGTTACAGCCCAACTTCATCAAAGTGACTCAAATACGTTCAGCCCACCATTTTGCCATGATTTCTCTGGTTTTAGGATGGCACCCGCTGCCTCTATGACCGAGAGGCTAAGCTCTGGACATGCGGTGCTTTTCACATTTGAGAATGGATTTTTGCGAAGCAAATCATCGCAAAGATGGGTGTCAGTTAATGGAGGCAACAAGCAACAGCACAACGTTGCCCTTGGACGTTTGAAATCTCAGAAACATAGCTGCTTTCATTTTGTCCTGTGGCTCCAACTGTCAGGGGTCGATTATTTGGTTGGTGGAACACTTGCACGCCATGGGTCCCTTAGCTGACAAAGCTCCCACAGCATGCAGGAGTCAGCGATCCATCAAGAAAAAAAACTTAGTGACTTAGTGGAAGTAAGAAGTAAGTGGAAGTTTCACACCTTGACAATCCTTGACTGAGGATATTGGGTTTGGGTGATCCTGGTGATGATGCTGAGCTGCTGTTGCTGGCAATTCCGTTCGGCCTTGTCCAAGCATTGGCATTTGCTGACCTTCGCACGGATGCACTACCACCTTTGTAAGGCCGACTGGCAGTTTTCCCCCAACATGTACAGCCAATAGTTGTTGAGATGTTTTTCTCTGGCGATGCTTTAGGGACTTCCAGAGCTTTGTCTCCTGGAGGTTTTGTTGACTACAGATTGCTGATGCATGCTGTCGATCAACGAGTCATAGGCCTCTGGAAAGTGATTTGTGTCAGGTTCGGAAGAATCCCAAAGTTCACGCTGGAGCTCCCCTATTCAGTATTTGCGAGAACTTGCACACCAAGTTGCTTGGTGGTGGAGGACCAGAGAGAAAGCAACGATTTGTGTTTCGGAAGCTGGTGCTAGCAGCAAAGGCTGAAAGAAAAGCGTACTGCAAGGTTTCAGAATCGCTGAAGTCCCCTCTGGTCAGATATGACAGCTGAGGTTTGTGATCGGCATTGGCTTGCCGCTGTACTACAACTCCTTGGTATTTCTTCTGATTCTTACGGTCCCTTGGCGTTTTCAGCCATCACGGTGTTCCATTTCCAGCATGGAGTGCTCAGAGTCAAAGAATCTGACTTTAAAAACATTGTTAAGATTGCAGAAACCAGTGTCGTGAAAGTTGGAGTGAAAGCTCATGCGGAACAAAATGGAACGAAGAATTTGCTGCCTTTGCCTCTTGGAATCTCTTGGAATCTCTTGGACATCCCAGAGTCCCAGATCTCGGTGCAATGCTGAAGCTGAGGTCTTGCTGTTTTTCTCCACGCACCTCGCCCTGGACTCGGATTCCCAATCTTTGTTCAACTACTCGGGCGTCTCTTCCAACATGGTGCAGGCTGGACACAACTTGCAGATACTTGCAGATGCCACATTTGATATTTTTTGATATTTGAGAAGACCGTTCAGAAGACCACATGAAATTTCCATAATTTTGGATGAGTTTGATTTGGCTATTTGATCCAACTCATCCAACTCATCCAACTCATCCAACTCGTCCAACTCATCCAACTCATCCAACTCATCCAACTGTTTGGTGTGCAAAGCTTCCAGGTTCTGAATGTGCCCATTTATCCCAGTGCCGAAGGCGCGCCACACTTTGAGTGGAGTTGCTATCACGACAAACGATCTTGCCCAGCTGAAATAAGCATATGAGTTTAACAATAGTTTAACATAATTAAACGATCAACACCAAGAGGTCACTCAGTCGCAGATTCCGCAGATTCTATTGCACAAGGAATTCCGAAATCATCAGATCAATGTGAGGTGTATCAGATGCATCGATTTGCAGCTGGGCCATGGAGGACTGCCTATCAGACGAGCCACTGGAGACACATTTTTGTCCCACCAAAGTCAAGGTAAGACTGTGGTAACACCCCTAACCCGGGCCCAACCCGGGCCCAACCCGTCCCAAAGAGCAGATTTGGTGTGGCAGACGTGTCAGTGCCAGGACAAGGACCAGACGCGGTTCAACGTGGACACCACCTCCAAGAGCTTCATGCATCGCTTGTCCAGGACATGGCTACAGCATGGCTACAGCATACAGATTGCTAGACTGCAAGACCCTCAAGACATGGTGACCAGGCCCTAAGCCAAAACAAGATCTTTTTTCTGGCCTTGGCACTATTCATGATTCTTCTATATTTTCTTTGTGTGCTTCTTGTTTGCGAAGCATGTCCCCAGATCGCAGACCTTGATGCAGGACAGCTCTTTTCTTGTGGTGACTTGGTATGTCGCGGGTGGTGCCACAAGATTGCAGTAGGCTATGTAGAAGAGCTCAATGCAGAAACATGTCTGTGCTCTTTATAATTGTAGAGACTTTTTTCTGATCAGCTTCTGATAGAACATTTCATCATACCTTAAGATGAGAAGGAAATCAATCCAGTGAAAGGCTTCAGGCAGACCAACTAGCAATGGGCCACGTCAGCATGTGAGGTTGGCATCGCTGGCTATCATGTTGGTGCACGCCTGGTTTCAGCTTAAACATGCCAGGCGTGGATGACGATCAGTTGGTGATTGCCAAGCGTTGCTAAGTCACTTCCCAGTGTTACATAGCGTTGCTAAGTCAGGCTCTATCAGCGAGTCTAGCGTCGTCTAGCGCCGTCTAGCGTCTAGTGTTACAGTGTTGCTATGTCTTTGCTCCTAGGGCAGAGGGCATGGCAGAGTTGATCGCCTGAGTACCTCAAATGTAGCCAGCGTCACCGTCGCCGCAGGTGGTTTGAGTCACAACATTTAACAATGAAGGACTGGCCTCAAGCAGAGAGGGGTCTTCGAATGTCCATCACAACAGTTGTCACAGCTTCCCTCACAACCGGATTTCTTCAAGTTTTGAAGCTTCTTGGAAATCGGATTTCTAGCATTCTCAATGCATGTGACCCTGAGTGGGAAGGACTTTGCGCTGGTCTTGCATCGATCTGAGCGTGCACAAACCGAGTTGTTTGGATGTTTACATACTTCGTTTATCTGTACTTCTATTTCTTGAAAGTTGTTGACGTTCAGTTTAGCTCGTATCGAGTTTATGCCATGTTTTATTGTTTTCCCCCCCTCAGCCCTAGGTCTGGTCTACCTCCACATGTTACAGATGAGAAGATGTTGGTGCGCTCCCGGGATCTTTAGCTGGGTCTGGTTTTCCATTACGCGTTACTAGTAGCAGTCACGCTTGGTTCAAGGCTGGTCCTCGCATTTTCCTGGACCAGGTCTGTCTTTAAAGGGTTCCCAAAGCATCCCAAAACCCTGCAAACCACAACCCCACATGCTGACAGAAACTTCCAAAACCCTGTCCTGGCCCTTGCAGAGAGATATTCAAACGTGGCAGATTCGGATGGAAGTCCGAAATCATGCCATGAAGATGAAGTTTTGTGTCAAACTCAAAAGGTCAACATAAAATCACGCGAAATCAAGAAGTGAAATGGCATTTCCCTAAAAACAGGTGCAACATGGAAGCGTGACTTGAGGGAGTACTATGCATTCGGAATGTCAAAAAATACTGGCAAACAGGAACAGCTAACTAAACAAAACAGTGTAGCAGCTTTGGGTTGGCCCTTGATTTCCAGAGCCAATTTCAGAGTGATGCCGGTATTTCCGGTATTTCAGAATATGTCACATTGGTATCTACATATTCATACATATTCATACATATTCTACATTTTACCTTCACATTCTTAATCAGCTTTTGTGCAGGCAGAGTGCATCTCCCGCCAGATCGGTCTGGGAGCTCATCTGCCATATCGCAAAGGGTCGGTGTCGGACGGTGTCGGACGAATCGGATGCAACGCACAGTACAGGTCTGTCACAAAATGTCCAGCGATGTCAGCGATGTCCACTAAACATCCAGAAACGACAATAACGATGCGTGTACCCAGGTGAGGACATTCGTGCAGTGTCGATCGGCTACGACGTCACTTCTTGCTGGAACGAGGCAGGGTATATTAAAAGGCAATTGTTTTGACAGAAGCATTTTCATGAAGACAAGAGTGCACCTGCAGAGCAATACAAACTAGTTCATGTTGACGCATTTGACTATTTTACTTTACAATATGCTCCTGTCTATTTGATCTATTTGAGAACAAGATCATCACCATGATAGACAATGAGAATACCTTGATATACTTTGTCAAATGCAATTGATGTTCTCAGCACCAAAAAAAGCAAAAAGCATTTTTGTCCAAAGAGTTTGGGGTGATTTCAGTGATTTCTGAGATCCAGGTGGAGACACTTTTGGATCGACATTTGGCTTATTGCGACGCTCAGTTCTGCGGCCACCCTGATGTTGGGTTGCGTCCCTGGCCGCAGGCAGTGCGGTGAGTTCAGATTCCGGCAACCGTTCGGCAACCGTTCGGCAACATCTGAGAAGGATTCCCAGCAGTCGAAGTGTCTCTAGATTTTTCTGACATTTCAGTTACAGCTGACTTCGCTAGGCTTTCAGTCCTTGCACCCTTAGCACCCTTCTTCAAAATGTAGTTGATGCTGACAAACGCAAAGAGTAGTACACATATAGGAGATTTATCTAAGACTGATCAATCAAACCCGTTTGCTTGCCACAACTTCGGAAAAATCCCCGTACTCCTGGAAATGCCTTTTTATATTCCTTGAACCCCCTCTTCTGCTTCTGTGAGTATGTACTTGCAGCTCACTGGTTCGTAATTGATTGTACTTCTCAAGACTTTCGTTTACGAATTCACTGGATTGTTGGGATCAATTTGGGATCACTTGAAGCCAAGATGAAACGTGAGGGTGGGAGCCGGGACTCGGAGATGCTGGGTCCGCTGGCGCTGCAGCGCAACATGGAGCAGGAGACCGAACTACTAGTATGAACTGCTATGAACTGCTTGGCACATGACCTCTGTCAGTCTGTCAGAGGATTGTTCCGAATTCCATGTGGAGAACATGTGAATCAATGAAAGATAGTATTTCAGAATGTTCGCCGAGATTCGCTAGGACCGGAAGTGGGTCCAAGACTGGTTCAGGTTGGTGTGCTTTTCGACAAATTGTGAAGAATTGTGACGAACTGTGGCCGGTTCGCATCGTTGCAGTCTGACCATCGTGTGATCGTCTTCCGCTCTTTGCCAGGCCTGGATCATCCAGAGAGATTCAGGGCTCAGGCGCCAGACGTGTCACGGAACTTTGAACAAAAAGATGCAGAGTTTCCATGCGTTTCCTCATTTTCCGATCTTTACGAAAGCCAGCCGGACAAGCTGGCTAGTTTTTTTTGCAAACGTAGTGAGAGATTGGAGCTGGGGAGAGGTGTTGCCTGGGAGTGTTTTGCAGGGTAATGTACCAGGTCGCAAATGGGTGACGGTGGGCATCGATTCCCCCCTGGTCCGTGATATTGGGGTTAAATAGGTAGACAAATACTAGGGCTAAATAAGTAGACAAATAGATCAATAGATAGGCAGAAAATAGATGGATGGAGAGTAGACCGAGAGAGGGAATGTATCGATAGCTGGATGACAGCTAGATGGAGAGGTATAGAGAGATAGAGAGAGAGAGAGAGAGATAGAGAGAGGGAGAGAAAGAAAGAGAGAGAGAGAGAGAGAGAGAAAGAGAGAGAGAGAGAGAGATAGAGAGAGAGAGATAGATAGATAGATCGATAGATAGATGGATAGATAGACAGACAGACAGACAGATAAATAGATAGATGGATAGATAGGACGATCCCGACGGCTGGCTGGCTGGATGACATGGGTGGATGGATGGACGGATAGATCACACATAGCTACATAGATGCAGAGATGGGAGCATGGAGAAAGAGAGAGAGAGTGAGAGAGAGAGTGAGAGAGAGAGAGAGAGTGAAAGTTAGGTTGATACATGGATGGATTGACGGAAGGCTGGACAGATAGGTTGATAGATAGCTAGATGGATAGAGGTCGCGGAAACTTTGTCGGCAGAAAGCTGCAATGACAAGCTGGCATAGGGCTATGCCGTGCTTCCTGCTTGGGAGGCTGTGTCTTGTGCTGGCAGTTGGTAGTTATGCTTGCAGATTTTGAATGGGAGAAAGGACCGCAGAGACGGGCGGCTACCATCCATGACAGATGTAATGCTAAGGAGAAGCGGCAGAATCAAAGCCGGCCTTGAAGAACGCATGCTTAACAGATTTCATATTTTGTCAAGAAAAAGATTGCAGATGCACTGATAAACAGATGCTGCAGTCTAACAGAACTGTAGCAGAGCAGGGCCTTTCCTTTTGGCTTTGGGCAGCTCTGCTGTGGAATAGTGTCAAGTCACATGCGATATCTTTTGCATACCGTGGACCGTCACGTCATCTGTTTCTGACGATACATGTTGATACAACTGGGATAATCTGGGATCGTGGGAAAAATGGGCCGTGGCAGATACTTTTGCGAAGTACAGGGCGCTATCATCGTGCAGCGTACCAATGGAGACAAGAACCAAATCTAGAGTCTGCATGTTAAGGTCACGGTCATGTTGAGGCGCGTTCGGCCTATGTGGGACCTATGTTAGGCTTGTGTTGGTCCATGTTGGGCTCTTAGGCGCCATGTTGGGGCTATATTCGTGCCATGTTGAGCTTATGTTAAGCCAAGAACGGCGTGCCCCTTTTTTGCCTTTACCCGGCCCAAAAGGAACACGCCGTTCTTGGATCATGTCGGGACCATGTTGGGCGTATATGGAGCCTATGTTGGGTCTCATGTTAGGCTCTTAGACGCCATGTTGGGGCTATATTCGTGCCATGTTGAGCTTATGTTAAGCCAAGAACGGCGTGCCCCTTTTTTGCCTTTACCCGGCCCAAAAGGAACATGCCGTTCTTGGATCATGCCGGGACCATGTTGGGCGTATATGGAGCCTATGTTGGGCCTCATGTTAGGCTCTTAGACGCCATGTTGGGGCTATATTCGTGCCATGTTGAGCTTATGTTAAGCCAAGAACGGCATGTTAAGCCAAGAACGGCGTGCCCCTTTTTTGCCTTTACCCGGCCCAAAAGGAACATGCCGTTCTTGGATCATGTCGGGACCATGTTGGGCGTATATGGAGCCTATGTTGGGCCTCATATTAGGCTCTTAGACGCCATGTTGGGGCTATATTCGTGCCATGTTGAGCTTATGTTAAGCCAAGAACGGCGTGCCCCTTTTTTGCCTTTACCCGGCCCAAAAGGAACATGCCGTTCTTGGATCATGTCTGGACCATGTTGGGCGTATATGGAGCCTATGTTGGGCCTCATGTTAGGCTCTTAGACGCCATGTTGGGGCTATATTCGTGCCATGTTGAGCTTATGTTAAGCCAAGAACGGCATGTTAAGCCAAGAACGGCGTGCCCCTTTTTTGCCTTTACCCGGCCCAAAAGGAACATGCCGTTCTTGGATCATGTCGGGACCATGTTGGGCGTATATAGAGCCTATGTTGGGCCTATGTTAGGCTCTTGGAGGGTATGTTGGGGCCATATTCAAGCCATGTTGAGCTTATGTTACGCCAAGAACGGCGTGTTCCTTTTAACAACTCCAATTTTGAAGGTGTTACGCGCTGGAAATTGGCTGCGGTAGGGTATCGATTCTCTTCGGTCTGGGTCTTCGTGGGTGAGCCAAGTAGCCAGTCAGAGAAATCGATAGAGCGAGATATTTTGCTTAAGAGACTAGGGATACGTAGCTGACCAACAAAGTTTTAGGAAGGCGACCTGGAGTACGCGCTGTGGTGATGCTTGCGGGTTTGCTGCAACTAGAGAACTCCAATTTTGAAGGTGTTCTCCGCAGGAAGTTTGCTGCAATAGGGTATCGGTTCCCCCTCAGTCCGGTTTCTGGCCAGCGAAACCAATAGATGGAGAAAATATATTGCTCAACGGACTGAAGACACGAAAACCACCAACAGAGTTTCAGGGTGTCTGCCTCAAAATTTTCTGTGCAGTTAGGGCTAGGCTACAACTGGAGGATTTCAATGTTGAAGGTCAGGCAATTTGCTGCGCGCAGGGGTTTTCATTATCAGAGCTGGACTTCGTTCCCCTTTTCTCAGGTTCTTTCCATCTGAGTACATTTTTTTAGCCGTGCAGTTTTCACTTTGTGCAGGCTTTGCCTGGGCAGTCTTCAGCAGTCACCGGGACCGCGACGAAGCACTTCACAAAATGCTGGCACTGGAAAAGGATCGACGAGGCTCGAAAGCTTCCAGATCTGTACTGTAGAGGAAAAAATCATATTACATAGTGACATAGCCGACATAGATCGACATAACACTTACCTGAAGAATCCTACGCGGAAAATTCCGGAATCCCATCCCGAATCACATCCTGCAATCATCGACTCTTCAGACCCACTCCAAATCCCCGAGGCATCCACTGGTGCGACGCTGACGGCACATGCCACCCGTTGGATTTCGGAATTCCGTGCCTTGACCGAACTAGGCGATTCAAAAACATTTTTTTTCTTGCCAGTGTTTTTACAATTTTTACATGATTTGACTTTCGACAGCCTGTTGATGGTCTTCACATGACCACTGTGGCCAAGTCGGTCTCAACTTCAGACTTTGTATGTGTTCGTGGAATGCACAAGAATCGGAGGAAACGAGTTTTCTTTGGCTCACATTTGGGTAGTACGAAATTATGACATGTTAAGAAATGTTATGAAGGTAACACAGAAGGTAACACAGAGAACTGATCTGAGATCAGTGACCGTGCCCATCCGTGCCCATCCGTGCCCATCGCCCTGAGGCGTTGTGAGCCCACGAATGTCCGCTGGGATCATCTGGGCCTGGGGTTATGCTCCCGCCGGTGTCGCTTCCTGGGAGCCCCTCGGTGGTTCGATACGGCTGATGGAAACAATTTGATATCGTGGTGGATGAACTCACGAACCATTTAATGATTTTCAGAAGGGCGGTACCAGGGGGGTTTTGACCGGTGACCGGGCAACCGGGCTGACCGGCCCGGTTGACCGGGCCCGGTTGGCCGACCGGCCAACCGGCTGACCGGCCAACCGCCGACCGACCGGCCAACCGGCTGACCGACCGGCCAACCGGGCGGCCGGCTGACCGGCCAGTAGTATAGTAGTAGTAGTAGTACTAGTCTAGTCGTAGTAGTATAGTTGTTGTAGCAGTAGAAGTAGCAGTAGCAGCAGCAGTAGCAGTAGCAGTAGCAGCAGCAGCAGCAGCAGTAGTAGTAGTACTAGTCGTAGTAGTCGCCGTCGTAGTAGTGGCAGCCCAAACACATATCCAAGAAAAAAGCAAAAGCAGAAAAAGCATGAGGAGGAAGAGAAGAAATTACACGCAAACACCCTTAAACAAAAAAGTAATATGTCAATAACTTTTAGATCAGGATTTGAGAAAAACATAGTTTCCCAAACGGACCAGTTTTTGACAACTTTCTTTACTAAAAAAGGCAATTTGAAGTTCAAAGAAGGGTCCCCTCCACAAATTGCCGAATTTAACTTGTGCGGCAGTCATTGTATTGACACGTGTATGATGTTCATCCTTATTTCTATGTCCTGGTTTCTGCAGCTAATATTTGATGGCAGCCCAAACGCACATCCAAGAAAAAAGCAAAAGCATGAAAAGCAGAGAAGGGCGGAGCCGGGCACTCTCCAACCGTGAACCGTGGAACTCAACCGTGGAAACCGTGAAACCGTGGAGCTCGAACCGTGGCCCACGTTTCCACGGTTCAACCGTGGAACCGTGGAACCCGAACCGTGACACACGGTTCCACGGTTCAACCGTGGAACCGTGGAGCCCGAACCGCGGCGTACGGTTCCACGGTTGAACCGTGGCGGACGGGCGTACGGTTCCACGGTTCAACTGTGAAACCGTGGAGCCCGAACCGTGGAGCCCAAACCGTGGCCCACGGTTGCACGGTTCAATTGTGAAACCGTGGAGCCCGAACCGTGGCACACGGTTCCACGGTTCAAGTAGTAGTAGTAGTAGTAGTAGTAGTAGTAGTAGTAGTAGTAGTACTAGTAGTACGAGTACCCAGTACCAGTACCAGTACCAGTACCAGTACCAGTACCAGTAGTAGTAGTAGTAGTAGTAGTGGTAGTGGTAGTGGTAGTGGTAGTGGTAGTGGTAGTGGTAGTGGTAGTGGTAGTGGTAGTGGTAGTGGTAGTGGTAGTAGTGGTGGTAGTGGTGGTAGTGGTAGTGGTGGTAGTGGTGGTAGTAGTAGTAGTAGTAGCAGTAGTAGCAGTAGTACTAGTAGTGCTAGTAGTACTAGTAGTACTAGTAGTACTAGTGGTACTAGTGCTAGTACTAGTACTAGTGCTAGTACTAGTGCTAGTACTAGTGCTAGTACTACTTGTTGTAGTAGGAGTCGCAGTAGTAGTACTAGTACTAGTAGTAGTACGGGCAACCGGAACGGGCAACCGGGCCACGGTCAGCCGGCCAACCGGGCAACCGGAACGGGCAACTGGAACGGGCAAACTACAACTAACACTACACTACACTGCACTGCACTTTCACTACAACTACAACTACATTACTGTTACAACCACAACTACATCTACAACATTCTACAGCTACAACGGCAAGCACAACTACAACTACATTACATTAGAACTAACTACACTGCGCTGCCTCCAACCATTTGTCGGTCCATCAGTTGGCTCGCTCTGCCATCTATCCTTCACAGCAACCAACCTCTCCAAAAGGTTCCTATCTTTAAATTTCCGTCATCGTCTTGTGCGGTAGTACTGGTCGTATAGTCGTCTATATCGGACTTTCTTTGGTAGAGTACATAGTTGTATATATAGTCGTATACATAGTCGTATATAGACAACTCGGATGAAGTCTAGAAACCTTTGTTTTCTCATCCTCTTTCCTGCCAGAAACCGATGACACAAAGATATTCCAGAAATGACGTGGCAGGACGACGTGCCATACACACACATATATATATATGTAATTATATATATATTATATATATATATTATACATATATTTATATATGTATATATACCTAGAGACTCCTGGAGTCTTTTGCTTGGTCCTTTTTGAAAAGGACGTTTTTTTGTCTTTGCTGCAGAAAGGTGCTGGTTCTCGCCGCAGTGTTTTTTTCGAAGTTGCTGCATAGTTGTGTTTTCGCAGCGCTGTCCATGGATTTTTGTTGCGACGGGTCTGCGCTAACGCTGTCTGTCAGCTCCTCTGTGCTCTCAGAACTCTTGGGAAAGTGCCTTGGTTGCGACGGGTACCCACGCAATACACAAGATATGAATGCCATGGTCATAACTTTTGCACACCATGCTTGTGTGCTGCGTGCTCATACAAGTCTGTGTGTTGTTTGATCCTTGGCTTTTACCTGTTTGGATCTACCTTCTTCGATTTAGGATTCTTGCTTTGGTGAACCACACCTGTGTCTGGAAAGTACTCGTAACTTCTTATGCTAGGTTTGGCCACAGATAGGGTGCTTTCTGTTTCTTTCGCTCTCGCCATCAAGGGTTGTGGTTGAGGAGGCATGTCATTGGTTTATGGTTTTGTCTTCATTGTGTTTGCCGTTGCATTCACACGCTTCGTCCTGCTGAGGCGCATTCTTCCTGATTCATCTCGTGGACGGTGCCTGGTTTCCGACGGGTTTGCAATTGACATGTATTCACTTGTTCGTGTCTCTTTTGGTAGACCTGTAGGTCTTGCTGCAAATGGGTGAAGCTGTTCTGTCAGATGTCGCCCTCAAAGAAATGGGTTCCATTAAACATACCGTCGCGGTCTTGTTGCGCTATTTTTTTTTGGACCTGGTGTGATCACGATTCAGACCCCGGACCCGAGAACCCACTCCAGCTTCATCTCTATTAACTGTATTCGGTCTCTCCTTCTCACACGTCTTGTTTGTGGGACTTAACTGTGATCTTTCCCATTTCCAAGCATGTCGCTCTGCGAGGCCATTGCCGCAGGATGACTGCAAGAAGGGGACGACATCGCGAAGCCTTGTTTCAAAAGGGTGCTTTGGATTGTGTGTGAGATCAGAAGTAACGGTTTCATGTGTACCTGATTGTTGTCAATATTTTCGTTCTGGAAGATAGTCTTCTGATTTCTTTTTTGGCTTTTCTCAGTTTATGTGGCCTGTTGCCATGACCGGAAACGTTGGACTTATTTCTCCACCTGCCAGGTGAGGGTTACTAGATTTTACCATGGCTGCGCGGGGGGGACGGAGGGGGGGTGGAAAACCTCCCGCTGCCTCCCATCTGCCAGCTCAAGATCCCAGTGGGCACTGCCAGACCTCAACGGCGAGCTCCCGATCCCAGTGAGAAACGCCGGGCTCAACCGCGAGCTCCTGATCCCAATGGGCAACGCCGGACCTCAATAGCGAGGTCCGGATCCCAGTGGGCACTGCCGGACCTCAACGGCGAGCTCCAGATCCCAGTGAGCAACGCCGGACCACAACGGCGAGCTCCAGATCCCAGTGGGCAACGCCGGACCACAACCGCGAGCTCCAGATCCCAGTGGGCACTGCCGGACCTCAACAGCGAGCTCCCGATCCCAGTCAACAACGCCGGACCTCAACCGCGAGCTCTCGATCTCAGTGGGCACTACCCGGCCTGAACGGCGAGCTCCACATCCCAGTCGGCACTGCCGGATCTCAAGGCCAGATAGAATGTCAGATAGAATGTCAGATAGAATGCAAGATAGAATGCAAGATAGAATGCCAGATAGAATGCCAGAAAGAATGCCAGAAAGAATGCCAGATAGAATTCCAAATAGAATGTCAGATAGAATGCCAGATAGATTTCCAGATAGAATACCAGATAGTATGCCAGAAAGAATGCCAGATAGAATGCCAGATAGAATGTCAGATAGAATGCCAGAAAGAATGCCAGATAGAATGGCAGAAAGAATGTCAGAAAGAATGCCAGATAGAATGCCAGACTGCATGCCAGATAGAATGCCAGATAGAATGCCAGATAGAATGTCAGATAGAATGCCAGAAAGAACGCCAGATAGAATGCCAGAAAGCATGTCAGATAGAATGTCAGAACATATGTCAGATAGAATGGCAGAGCATATGTCAGAGAAAATGCCAGATAGAATGCCAAGAGGAAGAGGAGGAGAGGGCAACTCTCATGAAATCTAGAGACCGAAGGTCTCTAGATTTCATCAGAGTTGTCCTCTCCTCCTCTTCCCTGCCAGAAAGTTTTGCCAGAAAGAATGTCAAAATCTGTATGACATTCATGGTGGGGATCACTCGAAGAAAGGTCACCAATGATGAATCTTCGATTTAGGATTCTTGCTTTGGTGAACCACACCTGTGTCTGGAAAGTACTCGTAACTTCTTATGCTAGGTTTGGCCACAGATAGGGTGCTTTCTGTTTCTTTCGCTCTCGCCATCAAGGGTTGTGGTTGAGGAGGCATGTCATTGGTTTATGGTTTTGTCTTCATTGTGTTTGCCGTTGCATTCACACGCTTCGTCCTGCTGAGGCGCATTCTTCCTGATTCATCTCGTGGACGGTGCCTGGTTTCCGACGGGTTTGCAATTGACATGTATTCACTTGTTCGTGTCTCTTTTGGTAGACCTGTAGGTCTTGCTGCAAATGGGTGAAGCTGTTCTGTCAGATGTCGCCCTCAAAGAAATGGGTTCCATTAAACATACCGTCGCGGTCTTGTTGCGCTATTTTTTTTTGGACCTGGTGTGATCACGATTCAGACCCCGGACCCGAGAACCCACTCCAGCTTCATCTCTATTAACTGTATTCGGTCTCTCCTTCTCACACGTCTTGTTTGTGGGACTTAACTGTGATCTTTCCCATTTCCAAGCATATCGCTCTGCGAGGCCATTGCCGCAGGATGACTGCAAGAAGGGGACGACATTGCGAAGCCT